CGGTGGTTATTCGATGTACATTTCCCAGAGTGACGAGTCCGCATGGATTGAAGAGTCGAATGCACAGAAGCACATAGCGGGGGAAAAAGACAAAACATTCGGTGTTTTGTGCTAGTAAAGAAACTATCCTCAAGTGCGATGCATTGGCGTCTCACATTTCGCGTCCTTTGTTCTCCTCTGGAGTGCAACGCAATGTGTCCTTCCCGCTGCTCTGTGTGCTGTAAAGTGATCACACGTTCACAATTTCCCGCTCTTAGACTTCCAATCGTAGATTGTCGGCCGGGGGCGTTGCTGTCGTCAGCATCCTGTCAGTTTGAACGCGGGGGTGTCGTGTGAGAGTGAGACACCGATTTCATTATTGTATTGTATATACACCTACGTTTGAAATACATTCAGCGTTTTCATACCTTAACTTTTTTGTTTAAAAAGAAAAAATCACACATTTACTTCGGAGGGAAGAATCAATGTTAGGCTATAATAGTTTTTGGAGGGAAACCACGCATGCCTCTCCCCTAATTATGATTGACAGTGTCCTTGCATCTTGTTGACATGATATCCACTTGAAGTTTACTAACCTGCCCCAGGCCATCATTGAACGACCTTGTCCGCGTACACTGGAACACTTTTCCACAATATACACTGATCCACAATGCACTTTGAAGAAACTTTCATTTCATATCTTGTTTCATTTTGAGGATTCATGTTGATTCACCGTATAGATCTTGGTAATAATAGAAGTATATAATTTGATGCACCTAGAAAGATCTACATTATAGTTGTTAAATACAATCCGAGCTTTCGACCCCTGGGCCTTCTTCGGGGATTATGAACAAAAAGTAAAAAAAAAACAAACTCCTAGGATACGTGACGTCGGTGATGTGTTGAAGACATGCGATGGCCCAAAAGCGTGCTATACGTAAACAACGACAAAATTACGTAACAAAGAAAAAAAATCAATACTCATTAAAAAACTATTGTCCCTATTGAGTCCATTATTCAAGGTGTCTAGTGTTCTTATAAATTTCTGTTCGGCGATCCGTCTTTGCCTAGTGTCGTTTAACTTTCCTTTTAGGACGGTGACAGTGATGTCATTAATAACTGAGTGGTTCGGCGTGTTGAAGTGCTGTCCCACTGGTTCGAAGATGTTTTTGTTGTTTACAGTGCAGCGGTGGTGTCTAATTCTGTCTTTTCATTTCTGGCTTGTTTCTCCGACGTACATTTGATGGCATTTTTTACATCTTATCAAGTAGATGACGTTCTGAGAGTCGCAAGTGTATTTTCCCCTAGGGATGAGTGTCTTGCCTCCCGGAATGATGATGGGGTTGTTAATGATGCACGGGCAGAGAAGGCACCTTCTGTTGTTGCAAAGAAATGTGCCCGTGACGCCAAGGCTGTTATTGTTAACCAGGAGTGTTTTCAGATTAGGGGGCTGTCTGAAAGAGACGATAGGTGGAGATGGAAATATGTCTTTGAGCGGAGTGTAGGAGTCAAATATATGCTGCAAATCCCGCGCTATCCTTTTAAGGTGGTAAAGGGCGGGATTAAAGGTAACTACTAAAGGGACCCTTTCGTGGGTGTCCTTTCTTTGGTATTGGAGAAGATCTTTTCTTGGGATTCTATTAGCTTTTTCCATGGTTTCTTTGATCATTTGTGTGTCATACTGCCGTCTTTCAAAAAGCTTTTGCAAATCTGTAAGCTGTTCACTCTTCTTTTCGGGTTCCGAGTTGATTCTATTACATCTTAAGGACTGGCTAAATACAATGGATTTTTTGATGTGTGAAGGGTGAAAGCTGGTGTGATGTAAGTAGGCCGAGCGGTCCGTAGGTTTCCGATATACACATGTAGCCAGTCTATTGTTTTTTATAGAGACGGTTTTATCCAGAAAGTTTTGTTGTTGGTTGGAAAAGTTAAGAGTGAGGCGTATCGACGGATTTTCATTGTTGAAAAGTTCTGCAAATTTTTTGAGGTCATCTTCTCCGTGTGTCCATATAAGGAAAATGTCGTCAATGTATCGGACGTAGAATGTGGGTTGTTTTTGGGTCTTCAACACATCACCGACGTCACGTATCCTAGGAGTTTGTTTTTTTACTTTTTGTTCATAATCCCCGAAGAAGGCCCAGGGGCCGAAAGCTCGGATTGTATTTAAGAACTATAATGTAGATCTTTCTAGGTGCATCAAATTATATACTTCTATATCTTGTTTCACAGATGATGACAATAAAGATAAAGTGATAATACATTTTTGCTATAAACATTTATGTGGAGTTGTCCAGTTTTTTTGGTTGCTTTGATTTTGCAAGAAGAAAGGATAACGAAAAGATAATATGCTTGATGTGATTTTTGAATTAAAATATTTTAGTTACTTTTTACAATTGCTTAAATATTTTAACTATTTCTTATATTTGCTTGAAAGAAGATGGCATGCAGCGCCCCATAGTTCCCCTTTTCACAGTTCAGAACTGGCATGGTTTAAAAAGACTTTCGCGCGCACGCGCGTGTGTGTGTGTGTGTGGGGGGGGGGGAGGTAGGGAGTAACCTCCCTCAGCTCCCATGATCTTTTGTGTTGTTTAATTACCAAATTAAATAGGTCTGTAGCCGGAAAGAGGGGGTCGAACACGGGGGTTTCATGGTAAAAGGTCAACTTTTACAGGAAATGACCCCCCTCCTTTGAAATGGCTGGGTAAACTACAATTTCTCTTTCCTTCTTTCAATTTTATTTACCAATTAGTTGGATATAGAATAAAAAAAGTCACGTTTTGATAATCTACATCTCCTACAATTACCCACATGGTCTTTTATTTTAAAAAAGATCAACAAAAAGCATAAAACCATATAATGAAGAGGACATTGTACATTTTATCAGAAGACTGAGTATCTAATAACCAAAAAAAAAATATATATATATATACATTTAGCTGAAGATGGACTTAACGGGTTCAGGGGTTGGGGTGAGAAGTAAAATGTAGAAAACTAAAATGATGAAATAACCTTAACATGATATTACACAGCTTAAACGAAGCATATTTTTTCTGACTGGCGTGGAGTTTTCATTTTTACAGCATGGAATTCAATGTAAACGATACTTAGACTACCTGTTCAATACCCGCTAGAGATATGCAGCAAGAAAACAAGGCGGTTACATCGTGGGATATGGTGGCCAGGCCATGGATAGACGGCAGAGAGTTACAGGTGGTGCCCCCCCCCCCCCCCCCCTCTGAAAATGGGGGTAAGGCCAATGATCTGAGAAATTAAGTATTGTACCTAAAGAAACAACAGTTGATGAAACATGTACCGTTAATTAATTTTCGATTTCAATGGTGCGATGTGCGTAGAATAGGTGGTTTTTCTACTTAAAGATAAAGCCTATTTAGTGAGGTCAATCTATGGCAAATAACGGGGGATTGTGAAAAATGGGTAATTGAAGGTCTGCTCATTCCCCTACTTCTACCCCTTACTCTCAATGGACAAAAACTATGAAAACATATATTTTAGCTGATACTTATTATATATAAATGATATTTATATTCTTATTAAAGATAAATTTCCTAAATTGATGGGTTTCAGGGCGGATCCAGGATTATTTGAAGGGTGGTCCGGAACGACAGGCCTCGAACGCGAAGCTGACCATCGCCCCCCTAGGCGTGGGGTTCGAGGCCTGCTTAAGGGCCCCAAAATTTTTTGGTGTTTTGGAGGGCAAACGGTGCCCTTTAGTACGGTTTAGAACTATGATTCAGCTGGTCAAATTGTTTATTTCAAAAGGGGAATATTGGTGTGATATATTTTTCAGAAACCGAAGGGGGGAGGGGGTCAGGACCCCCCTGACCCCCTCTAAATCCGCCACTGATGCTGCACCTGACTAAATAGTGAAAATAGTGAAAACTCGGGATCTCTAGAAATTATTTATATGGTCTTTAAATTGGCATGTTAATAATTGGATGCTATCTGTGCGGGATCCCTATAATTATTGTATAGACACGTCATTTCAAAAACATTTTGATTGCGTTTCTATCGAAAGCCGATTTCAATGGATTATCAGTTCAGATATCGACCAAATGTCACCTAATCATTAATATTATGACGGAATTACTCATTACAGCTTGATAATTGCCTATTCATTGGTTTTTATGATAAGCATATTTGCGATGGTAAAAGGATGGGTAACTCTGATAATGTTAGGCTGTGATGTCATGTTGAAAAAAAAAAAACAAGTTCTCTATAACTCTCTCGAGTTCGACTCTCAGATGTTTTGATAATTGTATGGTTTGAATGTCATGGGACTGATAATTCTATCGTTGTAGTATCACATCAGTAGATAAACCTGATTACAGAGATTTGATATCATTGCAAGCACCACGCGTATCTCATCACTGGTATGGTACTAATGACTAATAATAAAATCCTTGCATAATAGACAAGGCACGCCGGGTAGCGTTTAGCGGCTTCTTATTGGTTTATAATTTGTCGCTTTTATTTTTTATTTAAAAACTTTATAACTGGTTGTTTAAGTCTGACAGTATATTCTAAGTTAACGTATCTTTTACATAATTTTCCCAATTCAGACCTTGCAAACTATCAAACCCATGATCTCCAAAGATAGGGCAGTCATTTAGAAAAGAATTATTTTTGATTCAAATTAGAGCTGGCATAAGGCGTCGAATCTAAGCGCAGGGATGGGTATAACAAGGATTCGTGTGCAAAATATTTTTCCTAGGAAAATTCAATTTAATTGGTCAGGAAGACCCCGTATAAAATACTTTTAAAATTCTAATGAACCTACAAAAAAAAAAAAAAAAAGAAGAAGAAGCGCAACATTCTCAAATTGAAAGGGTAAATATTGATCTGGATCCAAATCGTAAGCAATACATGAGGGATGGGTTTATATGATACAGCTGCAAGTAGTTTATAATCAATCTGAACAACAAATAAAGCTTATCTCAAATCACCAGGGTTTGATGTAATCAGTGTGAATCAGGCCAATGTGGACGCTGCATCACCCTATTAATTAAGCTTCACAGACGAAACGTTTTAGATAGCCCTCGTTTCCCTGGCGGAAAGGATTCTCCTAGCACAACGATGATCAAGCTTTTTTGTTTATTCTTAGTTCTGCTGGGTGGGTCATTTATATGCTTAATTTTAATATCTTTAATTTTATTTAGCGTAATCAATCGTAGTAAACAAATAGGGGCCTATATCACATTATTTTTGATCATCTAATTTAAATTTAGCTTTATTATCATATTTATCAAAATTAGCATTATTAATTTCAATTTTCATATACAGCACTTGGACCTTAAGCTGAATTCAGAGCATGTATAAGATTATTTTATCCTTAAATCTAGAATAGATCACAAGGTAAAGAAACAAAGTGGAATAAAAGATTTTCTTTTATTTCAGTTGTAGCTGCTGTCACAGCCGACCAAAAATGCAGCGGATCCCCAAGAAAATTTCGCAATAAGCCCTGCGCCTCTACCACTCGCTACACCGACAAAACAAAGGGTGCCTGCGGGTGCGGTACGGGAACCGGATCAGGCACCGGATTCTCGTGGAACCTGAACGGCTTCACCACCGCTCCGAATGAGGCTTTCTATAACGATGAAAGCCCCGGTCCATTATGGTGTGGTAGAAAATGTGGAAGGTGTTTCAGGCTCACTCCTACTGGTAAAAAGTGAAATTATAATATTTGATGTCGGGGTTTAAGATTTGCTTTAATTCAATTCTTTAGAAAGCTTTGGTATTAAACAATGAATTGTTTAGAGGGTTCTAGAGGGTTCGATACATTATGAAAGCCTACAATTGGTAAAATAGTGGGGTGTTTTCGTTTCTTATGTAAAGCCAACCCGTAAAATATCTATCTTACTGCAATTGTTTATCGGCAATTTAACTGCTTTGTAAATTATAAAAAAGTGATCAGTTTCCGACGTACCTCTATTAGTAGGTGAGATATTTTCATGAATATTGACACGGGTGACGAATGTTGCGTGAACTACAACCCGGTGCCAATGTTTGGCTTTATATTTTTTACTTAGGGGATATGATTCTGTTATAAACATGTTATATGAAACAAAGGTATTATTTTGCCCCTTTACCGAAACAGAAACAAGCCTTCAAAAAATTTTAAAACGGTGTTGATAGCTGTTCAGGGGAGGTAGATCTATTTGAAATCGATATTACAGTTTTCTCCCCCAATACTCTAGCTGCTGTTCACCCCGATGCGTTTTTAATGTGACAGCATTATCTCATTACAGGACCATGTTTATTTCTGCATTGTATAAGCGACCAGGGAAATATATCCTAACATATATATCCTATCGAACCCCGGCCCCTTAAGAGAAATATAGCGCGGAGCGCTCTGAAACGGGTCTTTTCAATACTTTACCCGTATCTTTCATTCATGTTCATCTTATTCTTTCAAAGCATTTTACCCAAATGTATTTCCAAGGACAAGTGTCTTTTATAATACTTCATAATGATTATTTACTTATATATATATATATATATATATATATATATATATATATATATATATATATATATATATATATATATATATATTTTTTTTTTTTTTTTTTTTTTTTTTTTATTTTTTTTTTTATTTTTTTGAGAATGGCAGTCCTCGGATGCAAAGCCGACCCTTGCCCCCTTGGTGAAGGGTTCGGTGTTTTGAGGGCAATCGGTGCCATTTGGCGCAATTTAGAATTATGATCCAGCTCTTCAAAATTCTAATATCAAGAGGGGATTATTAGTGCGGCTTATTTCAAGAAANCGAACCCCGGCCCCTTAAGAGAAATATAGCGCGGAGCGCTCTGAAACGGGTCTTTTCAATACTTTACCCGTATCTTTCATTCATGTTCATCTTATTCTTTCAAAGCATTTTACCCAAATGTATTTCCAAGGACAAGTGTCTTTTATAATACTTCATAATGATTATTTACTTATATATATGTTTTTTTCTTTATTAACCTATCATGATTTATCATATTTTCTGGCAAAACTGACGTGATTTAAATGCTTGAACAAATAAATGGCAAAAATTATGATCTTCTTCCAGGTGGTTTTGTACCTGGCCAGGGTGGTCCCCCTCCCAATGATAAACCCGTAGTGGTGATGGTGACCAATGTTTGTCCTAGGCAAGGGAACATGCAGTGGTGCGGACAGACACCCGGGGGTGGCACCAACCAGTACGGCTACGCCACCCACTTTGATATAGAAGACCTTGGTGGACAACTCAGAAGAATTGGCTGGAATAACCCCGAGGTGACCTGGGAGGAGGCCGACTGCGCTCAGGCTCACAGGCAAAACGGCGAAACCCCCGGGCCAGACCAATACAAGCAGTGCCAGTGCCACAAGTACAGCAATATCACCATTATTAGCCCACCTTGAAAACTTTCGATTGTGAGGACATTTTGCGCATTCTGTAACAGTGAAATGTGTCCAGACATTCGCGAATTTTTTTGGTTTAAACTGGAATGTTTAACTATGAAATGGCGACGGCAGGGCAGGTGTAAGAAAACGAAAGTAAGAGAGGGTGCACCTTATATTTGCCTTATCATTATTTCTCGGCATCAGTTTTTTTAATCAAGACCGATTCTGTCGTATTTGTTCTTCTTAATAAATAAAGATAATAGTTACGTCTTTCTTAATATTTTTTAATAAAAGTTCAAATCAGTTTTTTAAAAAATCCAACAAAAATACCTTTCCGTTCTATCATAATTGAAAGAAGATTTATATTAAAATATATATTCCACTTCACAAAGAAATCATCAATAATAAATGACAATTAAGAGAGTAATCTATTTCCACATTTATTTTACACATTTTCACAATTTTACATAGGTATATAACCGTTCTTTCCAGTAAATTAAAATATGTTTAATGTATGGAAATGTGATAAAACCCCTAAAATCATCCATTTCAAAAGACAACGAAGCCCCTTTTGAATGCGTATATGATAACACGTTTGTATTTCAATTACTCTTTACAGACAGATTCACAATTAAAATGGAAGTAAACAAACATGTGCAAGCAAAATTTTAAAAGAAAATTTCCACCTTCGTTAAGGTCTTTCATCAAGAAATTATGATTATGCACGACTTTTATAAAATAATATGTAAACATCATTTCTATCAAACTGTCAAGCTGCTACACAGCCCAATATATCAAATACTTCGATTTTGAAAATGAATTTCTAAAACATATTAACCTTATCACCTCTGTGAATTTCCTAACTAGGCAAACATTCAACATGATTCCACTACTTTTTTCTTCAAAACTTTCAATGAAAAGCTTTAAATGAATGAAGGAACACACAGACTGACCATATCCAATGACCTGGAAACTGTTTTAATGGGAGAGGGTAGTAATATTTTATTATTGAACTTCTGATGCATATTTTAGCATAACTCACTTGTGACCCTCATATGCTAACCGACTTTGCCAAAACACAAGGCTTAAAACAAGAATTAAAACACATATACCAAATCTGAGTGCGCCTCTTTTTGCCACAAGTTGTATAAAATATTCAGATTGGTAAATATTGAAGTGACATAGGAGTGCCAAACACTACTATTAGCCATTGTCTTGAACATAAGCAGCATAACTACATAAGTGACTCTTGAGAGTATTTCATGTAAAGTAGATATTGCTATTGCACATTAAGTATTGAAGAAGTCGAAACATGAAGTTCCTTTTGCAGTCTGATACAAACAGAGTTTACATGTTCCTTTTCAAGTAATTCTAGGGAATATAAATATCACATGAATACACAAGTGTTTAACCTTTCAAACAGTATAATGTAGTTATCATGTTGGCCTATACACAGCAATGATACCGATGCACAAAAACATGTTCCTAGCCTTAAAAACTCATGTGCTGCTGGGAACAATATGTTCCTCCTAAAACTTTTGCAGTTTTCCCTGGGAAAATATTTGGGATTACCACTCAGAATGTTCTAACACAATGCCAGCTTATTGATAATAAGACTGGTATTTACCTGATACCCTAACACTGTCCTATATTATCAAACCCATAATGAACACATAAATTGACACTTGTTTAAAATGAACTATTATTATTCCGTGACATAAAAATATATACTGTGCACCTACATACATGTAATTACATGGCCATATTTCATATTGTACATATAAGCATACACTGTGCACTGGCAAGCCTGAATGAGAACATATACACATTTCTCTGAAAATCACAGTTGACTATAAAATAATATATTCATGTTCACATGCTGTGCACATCAATGATGGACATTGTATCAACACCGAATTGCAATTATTATCATTTCTTTTTTTTTTTTCAAAATATGAAGGATCAGTTGTTCTTAAGTTTTAAAATGCTGTTTTTAAGACTTTAAGATATTAAACAATATATTTAGATTTAACTACATATGACCTCCTAAATGCAGGATGAACTTGTATGTTCCTCAGTCCTGTTTTACCGACCACAAGAAAATGTGACAAAACCGATGTTTTTTTTAATAAAGGTCCCTACAACTTAAAAGTTCACAATGAAGAACTGAGTAAAATATACCAAAATGTACATGTATCCCAATAATTCTCCTGTTTCAATGGATTTTCTAAAAATGGCAGCGTCATTTCTTTCTGAAAGATGAGAGCTGTATGGAGATGAAAATTTTGGTGTGGAATTGCCTACATCACTGGTTTCCTCCACCTGGATATTAGTGCCTCCTGGTGTTCATCCTGACCAGGTCAGCATGGCATGGTATTAGTGGTCTCCAGAAGCCTGAAGAAAAACACAACAGAACATCATCCATGAGTAAAAACAGGTTTTCACAAATGCCTTTTGCTTTTTGAAGAAACCATAGATAATGCGTTGCAGAGAAAAAAGTGACTCACACTTTAATTTTAGAAACGTACAAGACACATTGTGCAGCATAAAAATCCCTCAAGGAATTTGCTTTTGTTCATAGAAAGTGTCTTTTTAAAAATTTGACCCAATTTAACAAGAAACTTCATACATTCTGCAAAAAATGTGAAATACATTATACTGCATTGTTGCTATGGATCAAAATCAGTACCACTGTTAATAGTTATGGTCAGAGGATCAAACCAGACTAGTTCCCACCATTTTAATACATTAAACGAATCTGAAGCTCAAGATAACACCATCCAGCTATTGGTAACTATCACTTACCTTGGCTTCCTCTGCCTGCTCACTTTCTCCAGCCAGTTGGTAATGTTTCTTACGTAGCTCACTCAGCTTAACTCTCTCCTTTTCCAGTAGGCTTTCTAGCTCCAGGACCCGCACCTGAGAGTCCATCTCCAGTCTCTTGGCCTGGTGCAATGTGATCTTGGAGAAGTCTAAGGTGTCTGGAAATACAGGAACAGAATAAAATGTTAGCACTTTCCACATCAAAAATAAAAGACTGTGAGGCTGATATACCTTTAATATCATTTCAGACACCACTGAACAGTATTATGATATTTAACACACAAACATGCACCAACACATTCATACACACACACAAACACTGTGCACACACACACACACACACACACACACACACACACACACACACACTTCCTCTGCTTACTGATCTTGGAGCACTGAAAATTCAAAATTCTTTTTACAAACAATATTTTGTAACACCAAATTACATAAGCCTACAAAATGCACTCGATTCAATTCAATAAAATGATAAATAGTACACCATGCTCTGACCCAAAGTTTAGAAATTCTAATCTGCAATTCTCTCTCTATTAGTGAAACAATATCCTCAATATAGTAAGACTTATCAATAACACAATGTAATGCATAGCTTGCTGACAATCACGCTGGAATGATATTCAACCTTCCATTCCCAGTATATGGCACTAAAATTGATCTACAAATTGCATTTGGATTTTTCTTTTCTATTTAAAAATGAAAAAGCTAAACTGGATACAGGGTAAGAAGAGTCAAATATCGAAAACTCAATCAAAATTTGTTTAAATGGAATAATTCATGCTTACAATTCAGCACCTAGGTTTTTATCACAATGACATGCTCTTATCATTCAACTGCAATCTATTAACAAATTTGCCTACAAAAACAGTTCTATTTCAAAAGATCACTCTCTAAAAAAAATCATGTAAAAATGCAGTTCAGTGTTATCTTTCAAATTCTGGTTATTTTTAGGGAAACAGACTGGGCTGCAATCTGTCAAATAATACTCACACCCAAAATCTCACTTGTCATGCTGCACATGCAAGCCTTACCCTCTCTGTACTCAGAGTAAAACTGGTCCACAAATTCTGTGGTAGATAATAAGAAAGGCATGACAAACGTCCTCATGTGCTAGAAATAGCACTAAATATTTCTGCAATTTGATCCATTTTCCCTTTTGCCTACAAAAGCTTGATGTTTGTTTTCACTTCACAATTTAAATACATTTTGGTGAAATAACTTTTTTAATATTTTTGATATGTACTGTTTGAAAGAATTAGTCAAATAACCAAATTAACAATTATACAGGTGCAACTTTATCATCTGATTATGGCTAGTGAATTCAAGGGGAGGGAATGGATGGTTTTGGACAAGGTAGGAGGGAGCAGATGGAGACTGGGTTCCCATGCCTATATCTAACAGGATTGATCCAACTCCAAGGGGTTTCTCACTAAATTGCTTTCAGCTTAAGCAGCTTAGATGTCTGGCACACCTACTGAAGCTGCTAAATGATAATTAATTACCCCCTAGCAGCTTCAGTGGGCGTGACAGACTTCTAAGCCGCTTAAGTTGATAGTGAGAATCCCCTTGGTGATAGATCGATCCAAAATTAGTGCGATAGGGTCTGGGAATGGTCCCGGAGACCGTCTCAGAAGGAGGGTTGAAAGGGAAAAAGTAAAACCAGATCACCTTGTTCTTCCACCATGGCAGCAGCGTTCTTGGCAGTAGCCACCACGTTCCCTGTGGCCTCACTGACCCCCTTGGCAGCATGGGACATCTGGGCCAAAGCCTGGCTGCCCCTCTCTGCCTTCACCTTAGAGGCTACAACCAGCTGGGCTGTGCTAGCAGCTATCTCTTGGGAACACACCATCAGCTCCTCAAATTTGCCTTCACCACGGACTACTTTATCAGCCCCTTCCCTAAATAAGTTGTATAATGTGTAATTATTAGTAAATTAAAAATAAAAGTATTAAAATACGTATGAAGATAATGACCATCAAAATGAAATCCTCATATAAGTGACTCGTGCAATTCAGTTAAAACAGAAGGTAGTGTTGTAAAACAGAGGGTAGTACTGCAAAACCTTAGTCAATATGCCCAAATTATGTGTGAAAAAATTCTTACACTAAAACATTGGCACCCCAGCCCACTGCCTTTGCAGCTGATATGAGGCCCTCTGTCCATCTGTGGTGCTTCTTGTAAAATTCTTTTGCTGATGAGGTGCCCTGAGACATGGAAATGAAGGATAAAATTAAAGAACAACATATAAACTGGAGAGAATGCAAAGAAAGAACTGCATATTTGGTTTGCATGAATTTATGTCAAAATTATGCAGACTTAAAAAGCAACCTAACTTGAGCTTAAAATTATAAAACTTACCCGCCCTTGTGAAACAATCTCTCTTTGTAAGTCTTTGGCTTTTTCCACTAATATTTTGATTGCCTGAGGAGAAGAGAAAAGCACAATTATATTCAGAATTCTAATAAAACAGCTATTATGTTACAGCTGACACATCTATTTATATTATTTTAATAAAATTATAGAATTACAACAGAACAAACTTCCATACTTAACAGGTAGCCAGAAACAATAACTGACAAGGTGACAAAATATCAAAATGTTCTGAATTTATAAAATCACTCTAGTCTTATAGCTGCTATTACCATAATCAAGGAAGTACAAGAATCCAACATCTTCTCATTCACTTCTAGCTGGATTCCAGAATGAGTCTTTCGAGACTGTTCCAGAATTTCCTACACAAGATAAAATAATAATAATAATAAATAAGTAAATAAATAAATAAATAAAAGGGGTTAAGTTTTAAGTTACAATATTAATACCATTCCTTTTCTGTATAAATTATACTGATATGTATATTTTAGGCAAAAAATACTTCAGGATGGAATTTTGCAAACATGAATTGGTCCAACATACACACTTTTCTGGAAACAACAAATTTCCAAAAACCTTAAAAATAAATTTAAATACATTTAATACATTTAAAGGGAAAACCCCACCTGGAATTTCTTTGTAGCCTGTTCTATAGCATCTGCTGTTGACTGCATCTCCTGGTCCACCAAGTCTCCAATATCTTCTGTCTTCACATCCTCTACCTTAGGAAGCAGAGTCTCTCCCAGTTGCATGATCTTCTGTACCGACTCTGTCACCTTGTCCAGCTGAGAACTAGCATCATCTAAGGCACCTATTTCGAGGAAGTGTACAAAGAGAATAGGTTAGCAATAAGTCAATATTCCCGGGTTTTCTTTCACTGAAGTGCTTATACATTACACATCAAGAGAATTAAGGGATAACTATAGCTACTTAATCCTGTATTACAAAAGAACTAGTTAGGTCACAAAAGAAAAAGACTTGGCCTTAGTATAAGCCTTCCACATGTGAATAATATTATCATCAGGCAATATCTCACCTTTCTTTAACAATTCTAACACTTGTAGACCTTCCTCTCCAGCTCCCCGACAGGCATTTATCAATTCTGAAAATATGTAGTACACAAGTTATTTCCATATTACACCTTTGTTCACTAAAATGATTTTTTACCATGTATACTCTTACTTTTGCTATTAATGATCTTTGTCTGAATAATAATAATAATATCCCCTATGTGATCAGTAAATAAGCAAAGCAATTCATAGTGTTACTATGCTACTAACATTAGCTAGTAATAATTTTTTTACAATAATTTCTCAAGGAGTACCCACCATCCCCCTGTTCCACATTTGATGCAGAATTTGATGTTGACTTTCCCTGTACAATGGTCTCCCCAAGACCATGGGAGCAAGTTAGGATGCCGTGGATTAGTTTGTCTAATACTGAAATAAATAAAATCAATATGATTTATAAGATTTATAAACAATGAAATATGTGTTTTCTAATTACATTATATACTAAGGTTAAAAATAATAAGGGAATGTACTGTTAATTTAAGTACAATTAAGTACAAGTTACGTACAAGCTTTATCAGCTCCATATCCCTTGATGCTTTGCTTGAATTCTGCTAGTAAGGGAAGAACTGGTTCAGCTCGACTCAAGAGGTACTCTGTAACAAAAGTTTAGTTGTGCTATTAGGTGACACTTGAATCGATTTAAATTATCAAATGATAAAAATGTTTTATACACAATAAACTGTAACTCATAATCATATTAAAACTGACACAAATTGATGGATATTTGCAGCATAAATCTCTGTCTGAAAAGTTAAACTCTCTTACTCTAAACTAATTAGCTCCAAGCAGTGTGTGTGTGTGTGTGTGTGTGTGTGTGTGTGTGTGCGCGCGTGCTAAATCTTGAAACATGATACTATGGAAATAAGTATTTAAAGAGAAGTATAGACCTACCTGCAGTTCCCATCACAGAGTTGTGGGCAGAGCTGTCAAACTGGTCAATGGCATCCTGAAGTATGGCTTCTCCCTCAGTTATGGCACGATCTGAAAAATAATGGTAAAATATACCACACTGACAGCAATGCTTCTGAAACATTATCCCTCGCAATTGTCAGTAAAACTATGGGATCACATCTTAAACGGAGTTTGTTGCTGATCCCCAAGTGTTCTTTCTTATTATCAGACCTAGAAAGTGTTCTATTCAACAAGCTGATATTTAAATTTTGATTCTAAAATAAAAACGATCTGTCAAAAGTCTAATAAGCATTATTTCATCATCAAGCACTCCTGTGTCAAATTCTGGGTCTATTTCTGGTTTAATTTATGCTGGTTGTATACATGCCTTCAGAGATATGTACATACATACCTAACATTTTCTGTTCCATGTCCCCTAAGGTTATTTTGTGCTGATTTTGTGTTGTTTCTTTGTCTGCTTTAGCTTGGTCCAATTGTTCTTGTAATGATGCAAGATCTGACTGAAGCTGACTGAGTGACGACTCTAAACTAGACTTGGTTTTATCCAGGGACTCCATTTGTTCCTCCAGAGACTACAGAGAAAACAAAATAAGTGACCTCATAAAAATCTGGTGCTAGGCCAAAGCTGTTGGCAATGTGCTGTTTATTTCAAGGGCTGGCTGTATAAAATCACATGTCGTATTGTTTAGCACCCTCATGCTTCATATATGTCAGATTCAAGCAAAAATCAAATCTCTGTAGGAATCTTTGCAGTCTATAAGCAAACTATCTCTTACTTGTTTCTCCTGCTCCAACTTTGTATTGAGTGCAGCAGTGGCTGCCAGCTGAGAGGACACATCATCAGCACTTTTCTGAAGACTCTCGGAAAACACCTGCTGTTCCATTTTCACTTGCTCTAACTCCTGCTCTAATGCCTGTATATTGAAACAAAAACTGCCATTAACTTGTAACTTTACACATCTACGTTCATGAGGCCTTTTATTTTCATTCTGGTAAGTTTTAGTTTCCAATTTAAAATCAATTTCACAAAATGATTCTCAAATAACACAAGTGCTTTTCGTTTTACCTTTCTTGTTTGTTCTTTTTCTTCAATGACTGTTTTGTCAGCTTTTACTTGTTTTTCAACTTCAGCAAACTGAAATAAAAACAATTGTTCAGATTTTACATAATTTTAATTTTAAAAAAATTTATCCAAAAGAACATTAACTTCCAAACTTCCAATGAAACAATATTTTTTATTCTTAATTTTTTAAAACCTTATTGCAACAAAGTTAGAATAAAAAACTTACTGATCTAATCAGTGTGACATGCTCCTCTCGCAGTTTTCCATATATGTCTTTCATTTTTTTAAATTTCTCATCACTAGCTTTGGCATGCTCTGCAAAACAAATATTACAAACATATTTAGAAGTAATTCAGTGGCAATTATAGTTGTTGTATAACAGTTAACAATGAATAATTTCTCTTCAAGAACCTTTGCCTAGTTGTTATAATAAGCCAAGCAATCTTTTCCCCAATTCAATTATTACATCGAAATGTTTGCGATATTTTATTCAGCTATCATCTTTTGTGAAAAAACGAGAGCAGCTTACTTAATATATGCAGATGAATAACAGGTTAACAATATAACCTAATTCTTTATGAAAATATAAATGTTGAAGGGGAAAATACTTCAGTAGAATCAAAATAACATTATTCTAATGCACTTACTTTCCATTTCTTCTAACTTGGCAACTGCTGCTGTATCTTTGGCAGAGGCTTCTAACTGGGATTTCAAGTTTTCCTTTTCCTGAAAAAATATGTTTTTCATAAATGTTTGAAATTATTTTACAATTTTGGACACAAATATTTTGTTCTGGCACTATCTGCTGTTCAAAATATTAGCTTTAATTAAATCAAGACATTACATAAATATGCAATTAATATGTTCTCACTTGCTCAGCTTCCTGTGCCTGTTTTTTCATTTCTTCCAAACGCTCTTCTAGATCAGCTATACGTTGCTTCAGAATACCAATAGCTTCTTCCGCCTAGGGGAAAGTTTGCATTAGATAAGATAAATATTCATCTTAAACCAGATAACACTTTTCTACTTCATTTATAACTACATTTCATTAATTTTCACACACAAATAAAAAATCAAAATCATGGAAATTAAAATATAAATTCATACATTTTCAATAACATTTATATTAATTTTCAATTCAATATAATTCTTCTACACTTTGCGTTAACAAGCTACTGTTATTAATCTGTAAGAAAGCATCTTAATTTATTTAACAAATTCAATTCTCACCCTTTCTTTTAACCGAGCATTTTCTTGTTTTAGCCTTTCAATCTCTGCCATCAACTGCTGTATTAACTGATCCCTGTAAGCAAAGAAACTAGGGTCTGTGCATACATTGACCAAACAGTAAACAAGGATCTTATCTATGACAACAGGGGTAACAGACCGCTTTCCATGATGAGTCTCCTGACAAAATGGTTTTATCTCAATGACCTTATATGATGATTTGATTTAAAAGAATAAAATTATATAACAGAATATATTCAAGAAAACAATGTCCAGATGCAATACTCTATATTCACTAATTCTCCCATTCAGCCACCCCAGATATCAGAAGACACGGGAAATTCATATATCTATTACATATTAGCAATCCCCTACTGTTTCCAGTATCTGTTGACTGGAGTTTAAAACGCCTTCTGAAACCCAGGGTGCATTGAGTTGAACCCCTTATAAGTTTGGTTACATACTCCTGGAAGAGGCATGAGAAAAGCTCATCAATTATATACTGTTAGTATACTCAGGAGAAGCCACAATCTGCAACTATATGCCAACTTTGTTGCAATAAGGTTAAAACAGTCAATGCAAGCAATGCACTATTTAAAAGGCAGGAAAAGGTATAAAGAAGTTACTGGAAGATTAATTGGGATGGCAGGATCGAAGAGCTCTAAAACTTAATTGTCAAGATATGAAAGTGATAAAGAAATACTTGTGCCATTTGTTGATTAGTACTACTTTTTCCATTTTCAGAGTTATTAGTTAAAATATAATAAGTAAAGCATAATAAGTCAAAGCAATATGGACAATGGCATTTTTAACCTATTCAGCTAGACCACACTTTTAATAATTCTTTAGTAGTTTAAAGCTTTAGGGTTGCTGCAAAACACATTTTACAACACTATAAATAGTCATTTAATGGAACTTTGTAAGATGACTAAAACAAGCAAAATTTGAATGTTAGTAAAAAAAAAATAAAATAAGTAAAAACATTTGCATTCCATTTCATGGACACATTAGTGTATATAATACAACCTAAATATTCTACAAGGTTAGTATTATGTGAATGTTAATATATGAGAGCCTTTCAAAAAAGAAGCCTGCCCCTCAGTTGCCCACTTCCAATACATACCTCTCATCAGGAACTGGAGGAGAAGGTGTCCCATTCTGACCAGAGAAGTTGAAATCACCAAGGTTAGTGCCAAACACTTCATCAAATTTATCCGACTGATGAAGGCACAAAATATACAATAATACAATTTCCTTAAAAGTTAATTCCATTTAGTTAAAGAATGCATTTTTAGTAACAGCACAACTTCATATTAATTTTGTAAGGCAAGTTCAACACCTAAAAAATTGTATTACAAAACTTGAATTGAAATAAAAATATGCCTCCAAGATAAAAAAATTAAAATCTTAAAAATTAGTTTATAGTAAATGATGACAATTTAACCATGTTAGTGCAAGCATGGTTTTTATATTACTTTTAATGATGCTGAAAAAAAAACATTACTTTAATCTATTCACTTCATAAACTTTAAGAAGACCAAACAATATATTCATACACTTTTTGAAGTTTTCAACAAATAAAGCAAAAATCTATATGTTACAATTCAAAATGTAACAGCAAGTGTATTGAAGACTGAACATATACATTTACCTTTAAAACATCTAGGAGACCTCTCAAATTTTAATCATTCCGTAAAAGAAAATGAGCTACTTCACCATATTGCCCCTACCTGTTGTACAGTGGTGTCCACCAGGTCTGCTGTCACTGTCTCCACCTCTGGAGTCTCTATCTCTGGCTCTGGGGGAAGAACTACTTTTGGTGTCACATGACTTGCTAAGTCTGAGGCAATGAGGAAGTTGGGAGGATTCTGAAAACAGAAAGCAGTGTGCCATCTATATCATTTTGATGAATAGTTTCATTAGGTTTGTGTTTTGAATGAATCACTTTAGTTTCATTTGTCAATAGCTTTGAAAATAAGCTGATATTTACCAGCCAATATTTTGTCTGCTGACAGACAGACTTCAGCAGGGAAATGAGGGCTGTGATAGGTATTACAATTTATCGCCCCCTAAGGTGTGCTAGTTACTTAGGTGCTCCTCTGCTTGCCCCATATATTAGTTTGCTTTTATAAAATGTCCTTACTGAGCACTGACCTGTCTGTCTATTCATTTGCTTATTTACAATGTGTTCACCATCTTTCTAAGACTTATTCTTTCTGTATTATATTTTGTTAACCGAGCAAAGCTCCATGTTGTCTCACCTCAGGTAGCACTGGTACCTGTATAAGTGTCTTGAAATATTGCAGGTTTCCAGAGCTTAGGTAAAAGGTCTTCAGCCTAGAATTTGAACACAGAATAATAATGCAATAGGTCAAAAAAAATATTTATGGTGCACAGCATTTTTTTTTTTTTTTGATGTTTTCATTGTGATACACACTCATATGTAGTGTTTATATGGAGATAAGCCCAAACCAGATAGTACCTAGACAATTAGCAAGAGAATGCAACTTACAGACCATACTGCTTTAGAAATCTTGACCGGTGTCCACTAAGTGTATCTGGAGGGATCACTGAAATAATAAACAGACTAAATAACCCCACCAATTATACATTTTAGACAGCAAAATAAAATCTTAAGTAAGATGATCTTGGAAGTAGACAATTATTTCACTTTCTTTTTTCTTTCTTTCTTTTTTATTCTAAAACTGATATAATGGATATTAATGAGATTAGCAAATTAATCCCAGCAGCATTATTTCATCACATGGAAAAAAATTCCAGCTGTACTATCCTATTCCCTGACCTGCATGGAGCTTGAATAGCAGTTTTACTATATAGTCATACAGAGCACAGGAGTCCTGTATACACTGGATCAGAGGTGCCAGGCGACACTGGCCAGTGTTGGTCATTGAGTTGGAACGAGACATGTCCAGGGAATTAAACACTGAAATGATATTATACGGCTTACAATTATCATAATACATAACTGTACAATTTGTTTTTGCATAAAAATATTTCTTTATCAAGGAAAAGGGGATGCACTTTAAAGAATCTAAGTGAGCATATATAAGTCCTACTGAAACGTTTGAACACAAGATCCAACAAAATGTAAATATGACATGTTCCAGTGGTTTATATCATATGACTGAGGAACATGATCAGTCATTGAAAAATTATGTCCTATATAATAATAATAATAATTGTATTATTTATTACAAACCTGCAGCTTGCAGACTCAGAATCTCATCCATGTAATCTAGCATGTCCACACTCAGCTCAAAACTGAAATAAATGCACAACTTCGCTTTGCTATTGATTTAATAACACATTCCCTAACTCTATATGATGTTCTCTTTTAATTTTTCATTACTTGGCCATTCATCTGAGTGCAATAATGCTTAGCACCCTGATCCAACAACAAAAAATTATATTTAAATTATTTATCAACAAGATTACTGCAGTTGATGACACAGCAAAAATTTATGTCATGATAAGATAAAAGGGTGTTCAAATATGCCCTTATATTGAAGCATGCGGACTGTTTGTATAAAAATGAATATTCAATTCTGCAGGTAGCTTCCTTAACACTTACTATCCATTTGGATCTCTTCCAGCCATCTCATCTAGCTGCTGATCTGTAAGCACCAAATTCCCTGGAATGTTAGGGTTCTGGAAATAGAATGTAACATATGGGTAAACATCTTAAAGGCAAGATTTCTTGTCATTCTATACCATATGAAATTCCTCAATTGAAAAAAAAAAAAAAAAAACAGATGTTCAAAAACAGTGCTGTTGTAACTTTTAATCTTTATTAACGTACAAGTTAACACCATATTACAGTATTCCCAAGTTTTGGGAGCAGATTATTGCAGCACACCAACGTTAAAAATGGCAATTTATGTTTATGCAGTCATCACACAAATCCATATATGCCTCAAAGATGGTTATTTCTGGAACTTACCTTTTTGTGGAATGCCAATTTTTGCACCAGCAGTTTGGTATAGGCACCAATCAATTTACCATAGCCTTCTTTTAAATGGCCCTTTAGGAAATATTAAAATCACAATCACAATGAATACCTACTAAAGGTATTTTCACTGCAATGTTTATCATTTTCTCTTTACAAAAAAAAAAAAAAACCAATATGCTGTAAATAACCCCTCAAAGAATTAAAAGGGGATTTGGGATACAAGTTGCACAAAATCGTCTTTTTATTTCATTTTGCCTTATTGACATTCAATGCAAAAAATTCCAATTATAATATATTATTACTATATTTGCTATTCACATCTGCCATTGTGACTCTAATGTCAAGGTAGTTAGATATTGTTTTACATGGATTCCAGGCACTTACCCACAGTTTTCCCAGATCTGTCAAGTGAGTCATGTACTTCAAGGAATCAACAATTGCCTGGAATGATGGCACAGATGTCTGAGTGTTACATACATTGCATTCCACTTCAATATTTTGTCAATTGTCACCTTAACTGTCTCACACACACACACACACACACACACACACACACACACACACACACACACACGTAGGGCTCTGGACAATCAAAACATCCTCATCTTATCTACATTTTAAAAAAATTTCCCTGTGTGCAATCCTTAACACCTTTAATGCTGATATTAAAATAACAAATTGAGCCTAAATTTAAATCATTTGTATTCTTAAGATATTAATTCTTAATATAACTAACTCGGATAAACTTAAGAGGAATAGGTCCCAATTTGCCTAGATATAAAAATAACTTTGACTGATCACATGAATATACCATGTTAACAACTTTTCAATTGCACTGGTTGAAAATGTGAGTAAATGTGGTGACTCATATTGGCCAAGTATGGTAATGGATTTCAATTTAAAGTGCATCCTAAAAACTGGCTGAACTATATTTTTAATAGATAGAAAGTGAAGAGAAAGGTATCAAAATGCAATAAAAATTGTTTACACAGAACATTTTACACCAATGAAGATTGTTTACATAGAACATTTTAAACCACAAATTCATTGTTATGCCTTTTAGTCAAAATCACTTCAGTCATCACTACTGCTACTGACCATCTTATGTCCATCTCTCAATATTTTATGGAGAATATGACAGAATTTCCAACATATTATATGATTTCCTTGTAGTGGCAGCTTGTTCACTGTCCCCCAGTACATCCCTGCTCCTTTCTCATGGTATGTGCCAAGAACAATAGCTAGACCAGCTAAGGAAATATCACAATAAAAAAAAAATATACAGAACATTTAAACCTAAGCACAATTTCAGTATATAAGTAAATATTGGGGTCATGGGCTGATATCCTTCAGAAAGGAGAGGAGTTGGCTTTACAATCCTTTGCCTGGTCTTAATGAATCTATTCATAACCACCTCACCTTCCTAAATGGCAATTTTAGTATGAAAAATTAAGCATAAGAATGCTAGAACCCCACGAATATAATAAATAAATCAGTATAAACTTGAAATATTAACTTTTGCAAGGACAAAAGATAAAATGGTATGACTCAGCAACAGATGAAATGTTAAGATAGTTTCTCATTTAAGTAAGAATGATATATTAGGGTATATGACCAACAAGTTGAAGCCACTTCTTATTCCTTTAGTAAACAACCATCCCCTATGTAGCAAATTTTTGGATGATGAGTATTTTTCTGTATGCTATTTCGAGTGAACAGCCTATTGATAATTCCATTCAATTCAGAACTTCGAGAGAAGGGGACCACTGAACTGATAATTCTACACAGCAATTAGAAATTAATTTAACTTTCTTTTATCTTATTAAAATTCAATAATCACATCCCATTTTTCCTATTCAGATAAGTCAGTGATGCAGCCATCTGTTTAGTTGCCATGGATTATAATGCATTTATATAATAAAACTGACCTTTTAACCATCAAAGACCATTCAATTATACTTAGTTCTGTAATACTGCACAACAACAGTATAGCACATTGTATTTATTTGCTTTGAGGATTAATGATAAGGACTGTGAAGAAAAGTGGACCAACATTGGCTTCTTTTTCTTTTGTACACCACTGATTATATGGTTCACCAGCTAAAAATAGCATACTTCAGTTAAAAATTAACATACTTTTTACATTACACACGAGTATAAATATTGTATAAGTCTACACAAGCATGTTATCAAAACGATCAAATCTACAAATCTCTTTCTAAAATATTTGCAGTAGAAATTGGTCATATCGATTATCTTGATCAGGCCTTTATCAGATTAAGCAAGTACTAGTACCTTTTTTTTATACAAGATTTAACTATTACATAAAAATCAACTATAACACAAAGTTGACTTACTTTTTCAAGAGTACAACATTGACAACACTTTTTCATTCAATTATTAAGCTTCAACTTTTTAGTTCTAGCCAAAATGCTTTTGTAAAAAGACTGTTTCTGGTCATCTCTGCACTTTGACAGCTTAGAATCAATACACCAGGCTTTCACTTAGTAAGGAAGTGTCAAATAATCAACTGACAAACCTATTTCCGAATTCACATCTTGCCTCAAATTAAATATAAAGGTCAAATTTAAGTTGAGAGGAAATGCTCTTTCGTTATTGTTGGTGTTTAATGATGCTGACAACTGCATGTTAAACTTTGATATCAAACTGTAAGTGCCTGTTGGAACCGAGTCATCAAATCACTGAGAGTAAATTGTAAGATTTTTCATTAAAACATCGATTAATATGCATATTTATGTATTAAACATAGCATTATGACATTTTAAGTACATATGAACCATTTCCATGTTTACATTTTTCTTCTTTTCTTTCTAAGCTCAATATTGATCATTATGGATAATTACGTCTTTAAAATAGCATTACAACAGTTTTAGTACATTTGAACCATTTCCATGTGTTAACATTTTTTCTTGGTCTTTTTGTCCTAAGCTGAACCAAATGGTGGTGGGTGGGTTGGGTTATTTCAGGTTTTGTAAAATATGATAGCAACTTCTCCCTAAAAATACTGAAACTTCCACTCCTCCCCTACTGCTCTGATACTGACTCCTGCTCCACTACATAAGTCATGGCAGATTTTTTTTTTTTTTTTTTTTTTTTTTTTTGCATATTTTGTGATTCAAAATTATTCCTTTTTTGACATTTTAAACTTTATGGTTAAAAAAGGATACTTCTGGCATGCTTCTCCTTCACTGGTACTTCATTAGAATTGATAGCTTTGTGAATACTGGTTACCTGTAATAGAGTTACAAGAAATTTGCATTTATTATCAATATACATTTCAACTTAATTTGGAAAATTAGTGTAAAGTAATGTAAAGTTAATGCTGATACAACTATATAGCTATCATTGATAATGTGTCTTCTTTAGATGAAAACGAAAATTAAAATATGAAAAGACAATAAGTAGAATATTTTTTTCTTAAAAAAATATCAGATACCAAGCATTATTAAGTCTCATGCCAATGCTATAATGCTATGCCGACCAACAATTCAATCTAAATATACAGCTAAAGAGTTTTATGATGATGACAGTAAAAATTTGATAAAAAATCGATTAACAAAGATAAAAACATTTTTGTTTTCTCTGGTACTTGTATCACAAATACATTTACTTTTCTGAATTATTCACCTGTGTATTTTATTTTGTGCAATACTAATATTCTTACTTTTAAACTGAACTCTTGACAATAGCCATCTAATACATTTACCTTTGGCTTCCCATCTTTTGTTTCCAGTCTTAAATCATCTATTTTTGTGGCTTTTACCTCAAGAATATCTTCCACCTCAAGAGGGTTCAATATTTTCACATGTTTGTACCTTTTACCCGATGATTTGGCTCCCAACATTTTGGCATAAAAATTATACGGTCTTTTCTTATCTTTTTTTCCACTGTTATTCTAACACTCTCCTATAGCCCATATAGTCAAATGCAAGACTACTATCAAATGAACTGACAGTTCTTTGTCTGCTGGTTTATAACCTCCACAACCCGGGATCATTTAAGGATAATGGATATATACAATACCGGGTACCAGGACTTTTATTCTTATTTAAATCAGTTGTTTTGATCCATATGCATATGCTGCATACTCACGATGAACACAAACAACAGAAGACTCTTACCTAAGCAAACTGGGATGCTTTTGTTCAGATCATAATACAGGACTTTTGGGAGAGACTGAATATTGATTTTTAAAAGGTGTGTATATCAAGAGCAATATTTTGGGGATGTGGACTATTTCAAAATAAACTTAATAACAATTAAGTTGAACTAAAACTATTTTGTGTTTTTACGGTTTGACTCACATTATTTATGGAATTAAAGACACATGCCAATTTATCTATTTACCAACTGAAATAGTACCTAGTGACTAAGACAAAATATGTAGTAAGCTTATTCTAAATTGTCATATAAAAACATCACTCCAGAATAGAAATTATGTTCTGATGCTTGGATTGTTGTTATACCCCAGCATTATTTATTTAAACCACAGAGGTATTTGGTATTTGGAAACAACAATGTTTTTCTGTTACAAGATGCCTGATCAGGTTTTTCTTCTTTCTTTCTTCTACTTTTAATTTTGAGTGCCAATTCCACAAATAACAAGTTTGCTCAGGAATAGCTGATAGAAAACATACTTAATTATACTACAGATAGTACTTAGTGACCAAAAATGCTAAAAATATACTATAGGAAGACTTGGAAAAGTGAATAAAAATTTCATTCTGTACTCAGTTTTTCATCTACCAGTGACAAATTCTAGTTCAAGAATATTTTGGCTGGTGACTTTAAAATGTGTTCCCGTTTCTATCAAAATTTTAAACAATCAGCATTATTTTTCAGAATTCAGAATGTTAAATGAAAGATGTTTATATTAAAGGTACTTTTACGGAATTTATTTTTATTGCCCTGTGATTTCCACCTAAAGGCACATTCCACAGGTTGTAAGTTTGAAAACCAATCAATTTCAAAATGAATTCTATGATGCCCTGAACTTTTTTGACCACATATGTCAATCTAATAAGTTTCATGCTTACAAATACCAGATGTTAAATGAAAAATAACACTGAACGCTTTCAAAAATGATCACTGACAATGAAAGTGAAAAAAAAAAAAACAGATCGAAAAAACAAACGGATGCAGATATGCTCTTGTAGATACTTAAATGACAGCATGTCGGACTTCCTATCTATCCACAAGAATAATTATATGTATATGTGTGATAACTAATACGTAACAAGTGAGGGATAAAATCACAGTTATAAACATATCAACATTCTGAGATTTTTATTACGGAAACATGAAAAACATGATAAAAAAACTTTGAAACTGATACGTTTTTTGAAGTATTAAATCAACATTTTGGACATAAATAAGGAATTTAATGCCAATTTTTCGATTTCTGAAAAAAATCACACCAAAGGTTCCCTCTTGAAATTAGAATTATGACTAGCTGAATCATAGTTCTAAAACCGTACAAAATGGCACCATTCACCCTCTAAAATACCAACATTTTTCATGGCCCTTCATCAGGCCTTGAACCCCACGCCAAGGGGGGGGGGGGGGGGGGAGGAGGGTCAACTTTGCATCCGTGGACCCTCCCCCTTCAATTAAACCTGGATCCGCCCCTGAGGAATCAATTGTGAATTCCCCCACTTACCAAGCCAATACCAATGTATTTTTCCCATTAGAAAAAAAATCTGATTTTCTCATAATAAGGTTAAGTCAGATTCTTAACCCAATTTTCAAATTTGTCTGGCTTTACAATAATGATTCAAAAGTTTTTTTTTAGCTGTGTAGTACATGTGTGTTCAGTGAATCACTTTGCAATACTTAAATTTGCATAAAAATGCAATTTTATATGAGGGGCATTAATTTTCGTAATTTTCAAAAGGATGCATCATGCATTAGAGATATAAACACAGCCCATCCATGGAGAAAATAGGGCAATATCATATGTATATATAACAATTTTACAAATATCCCACGGTCCCTTGAATATTCATATTAAAACATTGTGGCCATGCACAGATGTGTAAATGCCTAAGCTGACAGTACCTTCTCCTCTTTGGTCATATCTTAAGGTCAATGCATGTATAATTTGTCACACTTAATAAAAATGCTGCAATATACATGCATATTTTCAATGCTCTTTAATACTTTATAAAATTTTTAGCCGGTGTGCTACTAATTAATACTTCCGCAAACAACAAGGTCATTTTAACGCTCCTCGTTTCATTTTTGTACAATGAAACGAACAGCCACTGCCCGACATATATTAGCAACTGTATATGAGTGCAAAAAAACGCCCTCCTTATCATTAAATATAAGGTCAAGTCTTACGGCTGTAAGGGACATAAAACTTAATCTCAATGATGGCAACCCTTCGCCGCTGTCCGCCTGAGCTTCACATTACCTGCGATTTTTCATGCTGCTCTCTTTCAACTTCTAAGGTTCCTCTGGGTCGTGTAAATAGTTGAGCCATGCCTTCCGGTCTTAATCTGTAGAAGCTGAAGTCACTGTAAACTATGCCATAAGATTTTGATTGTTTTGAGAAATGACTGTATATCTTGTCGACTCGCTAGTGGCACATCCACACAACAGTAGAGAGCCACCTCCAGACTGTGCTGACCTCTGTATGGCGTCTATGATACTAACTTTCTACATTGGTTTTTACGACAAAAAGCCACAAAGTTAATTGTTTGTTGAAACGCACTGCTTTTTAAAAGACCACTTATGCAATTCACCTAAATGAACACCAGGATGTGATAATTGATTTTGCGGAGTCGCTGTAAAATATATATTATACCTTACGACACAGTTATGTAATTTTTTAAAGTTTAGTTTAACAACAATCAAGAAACAATGTTTGCGTTTCATGTGTGCAAAAAATATTTTAAATGTCCGAAATAATAATTTAAATTTTTAAGGAAAATAAGTCTTTAAATACTCACAAAGAATATAAGCTAATGTGTGACATATATGATATAACAAATCTAGGAATAAAAACGATGTAAACAAACTGTAATCCGCTGAAAAGTGGTGCAACTGATTGTGCAAGGTTTTTGACGGTATATTCGTATATAACAAGAAGGCGACAGGTCAAACTCTCAATATAGAAGTACAGCTACTAGTATTAATTTTATTTAACTTTAATTGAGCCTTGAGTTTAACGAGTTTATTACTCACTGGATCAATCCTCATAAGTGGAAAAATGAAATACAGTAACCATACTAACAGTAACATGGCGCTAGACCCACTCACCCGAGAACGCGTGGACAAGACGAAGCTGGGGAAACGTGTGGCATATCTGCTACGATATGGTGCGGAGAAAGAAGGAATTGAAGTAAAAGAAGGAGGTAAAAGAAGGTTTAATGTGATCTAGCTCACAGCTTCTCATATATTCGCTTCATTTTAGATATTATTTCTGTTGAAAAAGTGCACTGTGGGTTACATAGATGTTGCTTAAAACCAATCAGACATTATGTGCCTTTATTTACAAAACATAGATACTTGTTTAAATACATGTACTTGTTCATTTTTAGAAAACCTTGTAAACCTCTGTTTTGTTTGTATATATAACATTTTACCAATTATTATTAGGTTATGTTCCTTTATGTCAACTTATGCAAGTTCCACTTATGAGACATCATACTGCAAAAGAAGTGCTGGAGGAAGTAGAGCAGTCTAAAGGTTCCAGGGGGTCCAAGAGATATGAATCAAAAGTAGAAGGAGAAGAGACTTATGTTAGAGCAAGGTACTTGAGAAGAATGGAAAGGGTAAGCATGTAAATACTGTAAAATATTTTACTGCTAATTCATAAAGCATTTTTGAAAGACATTGAATCTTATTTGATTTGATTTGATTTATTTATTTATTATTATTTTTTTTTTTTTGGAGGGGGGGGGATTTGTAGTGCATAAAGAATATTAATCTATTTTTTGTTGTTATTTTCAGAGTTCTTTTCATGAAGGGACCAAAGTAAAGAGATTATTAGATACCACTATGGATTTTATATGCCAAAACCATGAAATGTATGACTTGCAAGATTTTCCAGATGAATATTTAATAGGGTACGACTATGGCTGGAAGTGTAAAGCTGATTGAAGACTACATTTAATATTTTTAAAAAGATGGCATATTTTAAGAATTCATCAGAAGAAAACCTAATACATACATGCATGCACATTTGTTATTTTACAATATTAGACCATCTTCAGATATTAGCAGACAATATATTGGCTGGTAAATCCCAGTTATTTTTTACTAAAGCTATTGACAAACCAAACTCTATTTGTTCAGTGAAAACACATAAACTGTAGCAAGGGATTCTGTTTAACAATCAGTTTGCTTTTTAATTTATGAGTCATTTAATCTGTTTTATTTATTTATTTTTTTTTTTATTATTTTATTATATTTTATTTTATTAATTTTTTTGCAGGCAAATGATACACAAGCTGAAGAGAGAGAAAAAACTCAATTCCAAAGTTTTCCAAACATTATTATGCCCAGCTCTCACTCACCTGGACCTTCATGGAGTTTACGTCACAGAGAAAATAATGAATCACATTGCAAGAAACTGCTCAGGATTGACACATTTAAATCTCAAGGACTGTGGATATGTTATGACTGATCATTTAGCTCAACGGATATTTAAGGTAAAATATTGATTACAGGTGTTTCCTTGGGATTTGAGGTACAGGGAGTCTAAAATTTGTAATTTGGTCACTGATTTACTGGGATTCCAACCCAAGAAAGCCCAACCAACCAACCCAAAACTTTTTGGAAATATAGGAGTTTTTTTTTTGAGGTTGTTGAAAGTTCAAATGTCATCTGGATGGCTCTCTGGGAAAAATCTTGATTATAATATATTTGTTATGCACATGCATTGAATTTGTTTCATATGTTCTTCAAGACTTTTTACAAATGCTTTATTGTATCACTGTCCTTTTCAGTGGAAATTTTGTGGCAGGAAATTTAATTGACCAAATTAAGTGATTAAGACTAATGTTATTAGTAATTAAGTCCTCATCATATCTGTCTTTTATTTTTCAGAAGTTATGTAACCTGGAAGTGCTCAATTTAGAGGGTTGTCGTCATCTAACAGATTCCACCATTATTCTGATATCTAAACATCTCACGAATTTACAGCAGATCTACCTCACATATATGCCAAAGATTTCTGAAAAAGCTGTTTTCGAATTACTGGACATGTGCCCAAACCTACTCCATGTTGACATTTATGATAATAGAAATATAACTGAAGATGGACGATTAGAACTTGCAAAGATAATGAGTCTAAAGAATATAACTATAAATTTGAAATAATATTTATTTAGAGCAGGTGCTAATTTTGTTGTTTGTTTTTAAATGACTTGATCAATTTTAGACTGTTGTAAATTCTTACTACTGGTAACACCAGGTTATCAATGGATATATGGAAGAGACATTTGATGCATTTTCCATGTCTCAATACAGGGCTTGATTTTTGGCAGGAAAATATTTTCTTTAAAATCTGAAATTTATACAGTCCTTTCACATGTATTCATGGAACTCTCATGAAAAAGATGTCAAGTGAAACATCAAGCTGTTGCTTTTTTGTATAGTCTATTGATAGATGTAGCCTTGTGACAATCTGACAAAAGTTGGCTGTTTTTTTGCAGTTGTGTCAAAATAAAATTGAAATGTCCATTGATAAAGCTATATCATTCCTGGATAATATAATAATAAGGGGTTTTGATAAGTTTAAATATAATAGGCAAAATAGCATTTTCCCCTTTTCTCTTCTTTAAAATATTTATCTTAATATTGGAATTAGAATAAATGCTTTTACAACAAAAATTCTCTTTTTTTTTTCACCAGTCAGCACGCTTAGAACTCAGAGTGGCCAAATGCCTATATCTTCAATTTAACTGCCTTATCAATTGGCGTTTGTAGTGATTGATTTCCAATCTAGCTTTGCAACAAAATAAGAGATTATCCTGAAACTTGGCATGGTTCACAACTACCAAACTACTACTAAACACTGGCTATCAAGCCAAGGAGTTACAACAGTTGGAACTCCTTGATCAACCCGAGCATCAAATACTTTACAAAAGTTCCCAATAATACATACTATTGTATCTTATCATGTCTTTAACTGTTTACTTTGATAGCCCATGTTACTTGGTGTATTTTGTATACGAAGTCTTAAAAAGCTAGAGATCACCAGTTTCACTTTGTTGTCTATTACGAATAACTCAGATTACCTCGTTTTGCACTGTATTTTAGAATACTATTTCATACTGAAAGCGAGGTCATTTTGTAGAATATTGGTGCACATATTTTGATGACGTCATTTGTTTAGCACCTTGCAAATCTGAAAGTGGCAACTTTCTACAGGGTAGCAACAGACGTAATTATAGCTATACATGCTTTATTCGAACAACACACGATGTATGTGAGGGCCATGGTAGGTCTGTTTCAAGTATTCTAATTAGTTTAGTAATGCAGCATCCAGGGCTGTAAAAATGTCGCCCGAAAAGATTAGAATCGGGTCACACAAACAGGTGCTTGCGTTGCAGTCTCCTCATTTCTAGAATGCAATGTAATGGAAGATATCTAGAGACAGGTTACCTGTCTGCTTTCTACCATCAAGCTGTTTTAGCAGTTACAACATAGATTGAAGGCTAACCTATTTAGTATTTTGTGACTAATAGGGCACTAGAACATTAGAGGGTTGAAAGTACATGTACATTGAGTAGTAGCACAATGTTCATGTGTTAGCACTCCTATTGATGATTTTGTCATCTACATTGTGCTTTCGTATGACTGCAAAGGACTAAAAAAGTATAAAATGAAGACCATTTTCTGTACCAGATCTTGACTTTCTTTGTCTTAAATGTGCCCATAAAATAGAAGGCCTAGGTGCTGAGCACTAAATGCACACTAAAATTGCTGCATTCATCTATCTCTGACATATTTATCCCCTATTTATCTTAGCATAGGGCATATTTAATAGGAACATTTGTGACAAGCAGATATGTCATTACTCTATGCACACATTATATGAATGTAATTCTTGCCTTTGTATAAGAAAAAAAGTGAAATGTCCACACCAGCTCACCCATTCAGTGTAATTTTGGCTTAATTAGTAGTTGAAGCCTCTTGAGAGTAACTATGAGGGCCTCTGGAAGAGAGTGTAACATACTTTGGCAATGCTTTTCACAGTCAAAGGCCTCTGAAGTAAGAAGCGAAAAGGTGCTTTATGCCGACGTAAATGTTATGTACACAAGAATCGCTTGAGCTATAGCTGATAGTCTGAATACAGAATAAGCTTTTTTAGTTGACTCGCACCCTCAGAAACTATTTTTCTAATTAGTAAAACCAATATATGTGAATATTAACAGTTAAATTGAAGCATGGGAAGTGGCACCTCAAAGAAATCAGCTCCAGTGAAGCAGCAGTCTCCACCTTCAGAGCAAACCCAGAATGGGCTAGTTTCTAGGAATACAGGTATTTTTCATGTAGAAATGATTTTTTGAAATATTTTTTATTACCAGAAGCACTTATTTTTCATGTTTGTGCATATTGCTAAAAGGAACACCAGAAAAATTTTCATAATAATAATGTTAATAATAATATTTTCAGTTTATGATTATTAAAGTAATATATATATAATAATAATATAAATATTAGATTTAAACATTGAATCCATTGCGGTGTTTAGTAGACAATGCCTATGAATAATGATTATATTCACAGCCTTTATACAAATACAATATGTTATTTATTTTCCTATTAGTACATGTAGAGGAGCATGTTGAAAGGGGACATGGCCAAACAGCAACTGATGGCCATGGGAAGACTCAACTAGTGGATGGAGAAACTGAATTAACAATTGAAGATATTGAGCATGCATGGAACAAAGTAGACGAAACTGCAAAAAAATCAGAAAATGACAAGTCTCCACACAGCAAAAAACTGGTATCTGGATGGAGAGAGATACGCATTTTTATTTCATCCACTTTTACTGACATGCAAGCAGAAAGAGATGTTCTGTTGAAGGAGGTAATTTTAATATAAGTTTTTTTATTTCACTGTTTTTGTATTATGTTTTTATATATATGTATAACTGTTTTAATTTTATTTTTCTAGGGGTAATAAATATAAAAAATTAAGGCCAATTTCTGTAGCATAGGATTATGAGGTTCCTTCCCCAAAGGTGATGCATGCCTCAATGTTGGATTTGCAAAATTTGTTAAACATTTTTAGGTGTTCCCAGAGTTGCGTGAATGGTGTCAGGAGCGTAAACTTGACCTGATAGATATTGACTTGAGATGGGTAAGAATGTAAATTAACACAACACATAACTAGAGAATTAGGGAACATTTAGATTTATGATAAAAGAAACCTCAAGTAGCTAATGGAATTTATCTTTATATAAGATCACAACTCCTTTGAATTTTGTCTTGAATACATGCTATTTGCATGTAATATATTTGACACAAAGTAATATTTAATGGACATTTCAACATTACATGGTTATGAAATTATTTCATTTTATTTTAGGGTGTGCCAAAGGGTGCATCATCTGAAGAAATACTTAAAGCCTGCCTTGGAGAAATTGACCGCTGCTATGATATGAATGACATGCCTTACTTTATAAATATGACAGGGTATGTACTCATAGCCAACCATGTTTAATCTCTGTAAACTGCTATGTATTTATTAATTCAATTTAAATCATAACAAAATAATGTGATGATATTAGTAAAGTGATAGTTCTGCCACATTTTTTCTTTTGTGTGAAATTTATTCCTATTCATGCCATAATTGCATGTGATACTTTTAGGCACAAAATAGGTTGGATTCCAGATATGGAAGAAGTCCCAGAGCACCTGGTGGACGAATATGAATGGATATTCAAATTGTCTGTAACAGAGATGGAAATTGTTCACGGTGCATACAGGAAAAAGAATCCAAATGGTAAGAGTACATTTATGAGTTGCATACATGCATGTATATACACTGTTACTGTGTCTGAAGAGATTATGATGAAACGTAAATATGTTTAGCAAACATGTTCATAAGCTTGTATCATTTAATATAAGTAATATGCCTGAGCAAAAGCATTATAAATGCCACATAGATACTGTAACTAGTAGCTTTATGTGATGTGCAACTTTCCTTACAATGGAAATGAATGGGCATCATTAATTTAGCAAATTACAAATTATGAAAATTGAACGGAGTTGTATAATTCATGTATTTACTTTTGAAATATTAAACTTAACCCCATAGGATCCGGTTAATGCTGACCCACTAAGTTCTGCTGTGCCCAATTAATTCTGTGAGCTAGCCTTGAAAAGCCGGGTCACCTCAGTAAATTGGCCATAATTTATTTGTTTGCCTTTATTACCCATACAAAGTATACATTTTTAAAAAGCCAATATTTTCAGCTAAATGAAAATAGAATTACATTTAAATTCAACATGCAGTATCAAGAGTTATGGCCAGTTAAAAAACTACATTTTCACTTGGTAATGGGTGAAATAAAACAAAGTTGATTTATCTTATGCACATTAATTTTTTATTTCTCCATACATTTGCCAGAAATTTCACAGAGATGATGTCAATAATAGTAACTTTCAATCCTGGAAATTTCAGCAAGTTACCTCCATTAATTTCTAAGTTATGCTCGTTTTGCTATCAGGTATACTTGAGCCAGCTTTTCAGCTCACCTGAACATCGTAACCAGAGCTGAATAGAAGTCAAATTTTAACAACATCTATGACAAAAACATCTATAAAACTTATATCATAAATAAAGGAATATCAATGCCATTGTCTATATCACTGTCCCTCGAAAACACCTTATCAGTGTCGTAGTTTTCAGTCATTTCAATAACAGTATCCATTCGCAGGCCCCTTCCGTAGTGAGAAGTCGCCATTTTGTTTTTACTCTCTCCCGCTAAGTCTAGAAAATCGCTGATTTCTCGCTCATATATATTTCTATTGTCCTTTATATCACAAATAAATGAATAACATCGTCACTGTCTATGTCACTGACACACAAAAACTTCTCATCAAAGTCCGGGTTTTCAATCATTTTAATAACAGTATCCCTTTGCAGGTCCCTACCGTAGCGAGGAGCCGCCATATTGATTTTACTTTCTCCAACAAAGTCTTGAAAATCGCCGTTTTCTCGCTCATATATATTTCTATCGCCTTTAAAAATGGTGACAGTGAGAGACAAGAAACATGCCCGAATGTTAAACTTTATATCATTTCATGACTCACGACACAAAAGAGTACAGAAGCCAATCTTTCCAAGATATGCACATATGCGGTTCTTGGCTTTTGGGGTAAGCGATAATTGAACCGCACATATGCAGTGACGGGCTCTATGGGGTTAAATGTTAAATAGCTTGTGTGTTTTGAGACTATTGTTTCACTTTTTCTCGTAGCCCTTTTCCTAGTGAGAGAGGATCCGATTTATGAAGCTCATATGTCAGGGAAAGAACTGGGCAGATTCAAAGAAGTCAACAACAATAGACCAGTAAAAAGGGAAAAACTGTTGAAAATGTTACAGAGGCAGTTCCCTGTATGTATGATATTGTATTTTTATGAACAGGTGTAGTAATTGTTCAGTCAGTATAGGAATATGTACAGGCATTACACAAATCATACATGGCAAATCCAAATGTGACCTTGATTTTAACCTTTGACCTACCTGTTATGGTGAAATACACTCATACATATTCCTGTATCATTTTGCCAGTCATCATGTTTAAATTGATAAAGGTTGTCAAATGTACCAAATATTTGTCTTCTTTTATTCTTGGCATTTTATCTATGACATATAACATAACTTATAATTTAAGACAAGTTGTATATTTTGCAGACTTTTGTTTGGTTTTAACTGTCTGTACACTGCCGATGTTTATTCTAGATTCTCTCTATCTGTGATTTTGTCAGAAATTACAGTCTTGGCCTTGAAATAATAATTTTGTTTTTGTACAATTGCCCGAGCAGGAAACTATTATGTCATACAAGTGCTACCTGTTATCTGGTAAAAATGGACTAGAGATTCAAGTGGATAATTTCTTCAAAGATGCTGTAAGTTACCTTGAAGAAAGTATTTGACATAAATATATTTGCTGCTTACCATTAAAGATTTGAATATAATTTTAGAGGCTGTTATTCATTAAATGAAATATCCAATATCAGCAGTCACCTACAGCAGCAAAAATTAAAAGGATAAAGTGGAGTATTTTAAGTTGAACATTAAAAGTATCTAGATCATGTTTTAAGATTAAAGAATCCTAGATTAATGTAATTTTTTTTCACTTTCTAATTTTTATTTTCCTCCTTTCATCTTGGTTGTTGTTTTTTATTGTGTAGGTCATGAAGTTTTTTAAGAAACGCATTGATGAACACTACCCTCTGAATAGAGGTGCTGATGTTAGTCCTTTAGCCAGGGTGCGAGAAACCCATGAGGCATTTATGGAAACAAAGAGTGAATATGTGCTGGGGCGTGATAGTATAATCAAGCAGGTAGATTTATTTCTCACAAAGCATTTTGGAAAGAATGCATTATTTTGTAATTTGGGTTATTTTGATAATGGAGCTAATTATTATTATTTTCTATCAAATTAGAACTGAAAAAGTAGATGATGTAAAAGCTAATTTTTGCAAGCTTAGTACATAATAAGACAATACTATGCATTTGTTTTATTTTCTGAAAGATGAGATGTAAAACTGACAAACATTGCTCGATTCAAGGTACATCTTATCACAATTAAGAACATGTTAATTTACATTGGCAGATCCTTGATTATGTGAGAACTGATGGTGTCAGTGCACCTCTAGTTGTCGTTGGTCCAGCAGGTATGGGGAAGTCTTCAGTGATGGCCAAGGCAGCCCAGGAGCTCAGTTTTGAAGCAGAGAAAACGGAACAGTCTGACAATGTTCAGCAGAAACTGAAGAGGTGGGTGGGTTTAAATATAGTCAAATTGCTATGGTTGTTGCTTAATGTTCAAAGTTATGCATATGAAACTATCCCAATTTCATATTATTTATTTTTTTAAAGCTACCTATATTTACCTAATTCAGCTCTTAAAGAACATTTATAATGCCCATTATATGCAAGTTCTTTATGTCTATATTTCCTTCTGAAATGTCTGGAATAAATTATTATTATATTGCAGCAAATCTGGTGAAGATATTGCCCTGTTTTATCACTTTGTTGGAGCGGTGCCTGACTCAACAGATCTGTTGTTGCTAATAGAGAGACTCTTGGCAGAATTGGGGATAACACCAGTAAGTTTTTCTGTTATTTAATTGAAGTGACTGGAAATAAATGGTTCCATTTTAGTGTTGTCATCCACTCTGCACCTTATCACTTCTGCCTACTGGTCACAGTTATGAGTCATATGGTGAATTCTTCAGATAATAGATATTTAATCTATAACAACGGACTGCTTTTATTTTTGCCCAACTCATATGAGACTTTACGACTGATTGATTAATAGTTTAAACCAACCAGATATTAATCAATCTACATATTGTGTTTGTTATTGATGTATTTGGTGAACCTCCTTCTACTCTAAATATAAAAAATATTAAAATCATTCTGTACTTTCAGGATAATGATGCAATGAAGGACCTGGATTCAGCTTGTAATATGTGCAGAAGTATTCTGGCAAGCCCAGACACTAAACCGGCTGTCATATTCATTGATGCTGTCAACCAGGTCAGAACATTTGTTTTGTGTAAATGATTAAGCTTTGAAAATTCCCATAAGTCATATTCTGTGCCAATATATCCTTATCTTTTCCTATTTAAACCTTTAATATGATAAATTCCCACAAATGAAAGTACTGCATGTGGCTATTCCCTTCTGGGATGTAGAGGAAGACAGTGCAGACAAAGTGACTTGCCATTCATTTAGAAGTAAGTCATTCACACGTTGAGCAATGATTCATGAGTTGAGCAATTATTCATGAATAAGAGAAATTTGTGTGTTTTTTCCAAAGAAATTTGATTTGGGTGGAAAATCTTGGATATATTTTATGTAAAAGTTTGATACATGTTGTTCAGATTCTGGGCTATTGTCCTTTTGAAAAAAGAGCTGTGAAAGAATATTTCATATTGAATGATAAAATAACAGATATTTTTCTTTATATTTTAGTTAACAATATGCCCTCCTGCCTTGAACATGGACTTCCTCCCTGGAATGCTGTCCCCTAATGTGAAATGTGTTGTTTCTGTGACTGAAGACTCTCCTCACCTCCAGTCACTCAGGAAGATGGGGACACAGATGAAGGAGATTAAAGTGACTCCACTTTCAGATAAGAAGATAAAAGAGGTGAGGGAATTATACATGTATATTGCATTTACTATGTGAAATGATTTATGATTTGGGATGCTCAGGCTTATGTTAGGGACACACTGCAATTTGTGCATCTTGGGAGGAATTAATTTGCATGTGAATACTTATTTATGTGGTATTGCAATGAATTTTCTTTTGAATGCTTTAAAAAAAGGCACAAGAAACTTCCTGAAATTTTATTATATTTTCTTTATTATGTTATTTATTAATATGGGAGAATTTTTAAAGAAAAATGCATAAGGCAAATAAGGCCATGAGTTGTATGTATCTTGTTTTTCTTGTTTTGCAGGAAATTGTGACAACATATCTCCAGAAGTACAACAAAAAGCTGAACCAGGCCCACACTGAACTGATCATCAACAAGAAATATTCTGAAAACCCTCTCTGGTTGACTGTTGCTTTGGAGGAGCTCAGGGTTTTTGGGTTCTTCAGCAAGTTGGAAAATAAGATCAATGATTTGGCTGATGGTTTAGAACCGTAAGTGTCATACTGAAGATGTTACCATGTATCTTTCATTAAAAAAATTAGAAAATCTAAGCAGAACAAAATTTTTAATTTTAATGTTGGTAGCACTTTGGTTTCTCTGTGAGCACCACCTGTAGCCCAACCTGTCTTTATCTGAATTAGAAATGTCAGATTCATTTTTGTGCACTTCTTTTATGGCCTAAGTCGAGTATGTAAGGTATTTTGTGTTATGTTTTTAGTTTGTTAAACCAAGTATTAGAAAGATATGAGGCAGAAGCAGGAGCAGAGATGTTGAAATGTACACTGTGTTTGATAGAAGCCTCTGCCTCTGGTCTGAAGGAATCAGAGCTGAGGAGACTCCTTGCCTTTGTTATACCACCTACAGTGGGGAAAGATGATGGTAAGTAACCGCATGCAGCATTATGAATTTATTATTTGTTTACGGTGTTTTGTAAATTATATGCATAAAGGAAATAAAGGGTAAACTTAATGTCATTTTTAGTGGATAGGTTGAATGTGCCTTGACATATAACCAAACACCAGCATCAGATTCTGTCATGGTTGTTGGCAACAAAGTTGCTGTCACTTTCTTGAATTTTTTGTTGGTTATGTTTTCTTCACCACCTTGAAAATTCTGAATGTGTAATATTGTATTTGTTGTATAGCCATATATGTCAATGTGAACATTGTATATTATATGGCAGTTTCATGTTTGCATCTTTTCTGAAGGATGGTTTGCTGTTGGACCAGAAGACCCAACTCCTGGTTACATCTCACCTTTTAAATGGGCAGTAGTCTACAGACATCTGAGATCCTTTCTCAGACCATATGGAAATCGTGGGGAAGGAAGGCTAGATTTCTATCACAGATCACTAAGCAAAGTTGTTAGAGACAGGTATTGGCACTACTTTGTTACTTAACTTAGTCTTTTTGATCCTCAAATTTTAAATAAATGTGAACAAAAAATATTCACATTTTATTCAGTATGTGGCATAGAGTTGTGATAAACAGCTATTTTATTCCATTTTTATTTATGATTAGATATAAATATTCATTTTTGTGTAAGTAAGAGTGAAATAAGGCTCACGGTAAAAGTGAGTTAGATCTGAATTTTACATTTATTTTTTACAGATATATGCAAAGTGAACAGCACCTAAAATGGTGGCATGAGAAACTGGAGTTGTTCTTCACAAATTCTGATGTTTTGGACAGAAAAGTAGAGGTAAACAATTTTAATTTTGAGAGAAGGACAATTTGGATTTTTTTTTTTATTCCATGGGCATTCCCAACAGAAAGTGAACTTCTTTTTTCAAAACATTTTTCAGATATATACCAAGTTATTTTTAATATAAGGGAGTACATCAATCACTGAAATCAACTAATATAATAACTACAAAATGTATGTGCCCTGAAATGTTTGGTATTTGCATCATGCATGTACCCTACTTGTTATTTCCAGGAGCTTCCTCACCATTTGATATTCCTGCAGAAGACAACCAAACTGGCAGAGTTTCTTACAGACTGGCAGGTGTTTGACAAGCTTTACAATGAGGAGTGGAGTAGCACACTGCTGCAGTATTGGCAGAAGGTACACAAAATATTACAACTGAGAGTGTACTTTTAATCAGGGATGAATGTTTTCTTCCTTCTGTGGGATAACACTCTTGCTGCATGCATGTGTAATAGAGAAAGTCAGATAGTTGTTTAATTTTTATGAAATGTCCAAAATCGGTGAAAATTTAAAGAAAAGAGAAGTGTATTTTTTTTTTAATTCTTGTTTTATAACTATTTTGATGACCCAGAAGCAAACACGCTTTTAACAGTCAAATATATTTATCTACTAGTGACGATACATATATTTTGGCATGAATATTAAGCATATACTTGTATCAATTGCAAAGTCATTGGACAACATTAATCAGGTATGAAATGTTTCATTTTCTTTTTAGGCAGAAAATGCAGGAGATACAGGGGGTACTGATGGTCAGGCTAATGTTGCAGGAGTTGATGCAAAAGAAGAAGCTAAACGTAAAAAGCAAGCTGCTATCGAGGCAAAGTTGGCTGCCATCAAGGCAAAATCACTGGACACACCGAACTTGGCATCAAACCAAAATGAGGTAGAATGAATTGATGAATTATGCTCTTTTTTTATTATCAAATTGTTTTGCTGTATACAGTACATAGATCTCATGCCTGATAATTGAATGCTGATAGCATACATGTGCTGGCTTACAGCATTATGAGGAAATGTATTCTGAATATGAACATTTCATCCTTAAAAAATTTTCATCCAGGCGAAAGTTGTGAATATGATGAAGAAATATTACCTTGCAAGTCTACAGAAGATGGAAAAAGATGGCGTAGGAAAGGAAGACTTGGCCAGAAGACAAGAGCAAGTGGCCAGGCTGTTGTAAGTGGTTTACACTGCTGGTGCAGAGTTCAACTTTTAGTGAAAATAAACTAACAACTGGAAGAAATGATTTTTAATTTTTAAGAATCTGTTAAATTTCTGTACCCATTTTGCAGCAAAAACATGAATGAAAATTTAAATCAAAAATTATGTAACAATTTGAAGAAATTGTTTTTAATTGATATAAATGTTTTAAGTTTCTGAAGCCATTTTGTACCAAAAACATGAATGACATTTCTTACTGTTGTAGCTTTCAAGCAGGATTGTATGACGATTCACTGGCATTAGCTGAGAAGGCTAGAATGTTGGAAGAACAGAGTCTTGGTGGCAGACCTGGGCAACTATCAAATCTCCTTTCTTTAAAAGCCCAATTACTTTACCAGGTGTGTCTTAATGTTATGTGTTAATATCCACATTATTATGCAGATTTTATATTCAGTTTTCAAGTTTAGGATTTTAAATGTCGTGCGATTGCAGCCACTGACCAGCGTGTATTTCAAAATTGTAAATTACCAAGTTATGATAAAAAATTTATTCAAGTCTGAATATCCTTTGTAAACAGAACTGATCTTCATTTACAAAAATTGCTATTCAGAAACTTGGGGACCACATCAATACAGTCCAGTCAGACTCTGTGTGGACCATCTTGGAAAATGCCTTCAGAGCTGTGGAAGTCAGAGAGCAAAGCATACAAGATAAAGCAGATAAGGTAATTTTCAGTTAAAATTAAAATTTGAATTAAGTAATTTATATGTTTTATTTATTTTTTTTAATTAGGTGGGCATTCAAATTTAAGTCACTGGCATACAGTTATTCTAGGCTTGGCCTTGATATGATCTCTTCTTTTTTCAACCAATTACTTCTTTTTTAACAAACATCATTTCTGAAGTGTTAATGACAAGACATTCTTTTTGCATCATTATATGATTAATTTTTTAATGAATTCTTTAAACTTTCAGATAAAATGTGCCCAGTATAAATTACAGTCTGCTATGTATTTATCTCACTGGATACAGTTGGGCGGTGGAAACCAGATGACCAAAGAGGATGCAAGAAAGAAAGGGACAGAGTATGTTGATGAAGTAATGAAGGTATTTGAAGAGGTAGGTTTGTTCTACAGTTGGCATTTCAATGAGTAGAACATAAGTACTGTAGCAGATCATGAGCATGTGTGCACGCACAATAATTGACAAAACAAAAAGATTGTCAAAAATGGGGGGAAAGGAGAGATGTTTGATTGATTGAACTGTTTTCTCTTTTAAAAATGATATTATATTGCACCAAAATACGTGTTTGTATTTCCAGTGTAATGACTTTGGGAGACAAGCTGAAGCAATGATGATGAAAGCAGTAATGGCCGAACCAGGAACAAGGGACCAGTTGGAGGTGGGTCATCATGTTTTATTTGAACTGTACTTGAAAATGGTCTTTCTTTGTTAAAGCAAAACATCTACAGTTTCCTGCTTTATTTGATATCTACAAAAAACTCGATGGTTTGTCCCTTCTTCCTTCTTCATGTGTGAACAAACATATTCAATCAAGTGTATTGGTTCCATTAAAGTTGATCCATTTTCATTTGCTGTCTTGGTTAATCAGTTGGAAATATGGGATGTATGTGCTGGCCTGTAACAGAGTCAATTGATTCTTTCTAATGAAGTGTCTGAATCTGCCATCTTACTAGTACTGCATCACAAGTTCCTACAAGTACATTTTGAAAAATTATTTTTGCATAATTGGATTTAATGATATCAAAAATAGTTATATTTAATTTAAAAACTGTCCCTTTTTCATTTTGAATTAGCTGTACAAACAAGCCTTAGACAAGTGCCAGCGTTCATATGGGGAATGTTCCCCACTGGGTGCACGCATCAACAGCAACATTGCTGCCTTTTATGAAGATGTTGACCAGTATACCAAAGCTTATGGGCATTTTAAGAAAGCAAAGGATACCCTGGAGGATTTGTATGGACCAAAACATCCCAAAGCTGTACAGCTTCAGGAGATTTTGGATGGTGAAAGATACCAATATATTGCAAAAAAGGTAGCAGGGGAAAAGGCTTAAAATTGAATAGCTAATCATGTTTAACTTATCAGACATGGGGAAACTGCCTGTCCAACTGGTCATGGCTGCTTGAAATGCCCAAGCAAGATTTTTGATATCACAGGACCTCTGGACTGGCAAGGTTTATGTGAAAATACAATACAAAATGATAAATCACATTTAAACCAAGAGTAACGGAAATAAAATACTTAGTTAAGACAGATTTATAGTGCAAAAAAAACTTAGTTAAGACACTCAGTATTTTCCTTATGTCTGTGTAAGAACAAAATTCCCAAATTTTATTGTAAACTCAAGGGTAATTGCTATCATTTTTAGAGGTGGGTGGGGATTGTAACCTACAGTTAAGTGCCATATAAATTTTATTAGAGAAGCGGCTGTTCTAAGACTATGCATTAGTTATTTTTATGAAGATGAATATATGTTCATCAATATACCATTTTCATCAATATACCAGTTTCATATTATTGTATACAATTTTTCTTAACATTTATTTTCTATATAAAGTTTTTAACTTACTGCCATGACTGGCCCTAAAGAGACATTAGTAATACTGTTATTGTACAAAGTGCCATTCCGTCCTTGAAACTGTGATATTTTACAGATTACAGATTTTACATTTAAGCATAAACAGAATTAGATTCTGGCATATATTGTAATTATTAAAGAATTCATGTACCTATGGTGGAAAAAGCAGTTCTGATCTTCAGTATATTTTTTTTCAACACTTAACCAAAGCCAATTTATTTAGACATTTCAGGCCCATTATATTCTAGATATTTCTCTTTGTTAATAAACAACTTTCATTATGAGCTTCATTTGTGATAACATTATTATGCTGACTAGAACTAGAACTATATACATTGTGCTTTTCCATTTGTACGATATTGCCATTTGAACCTCGTGCTTCTGATGAGCAGCAGCTGTAAGGTGTTATAAATCATGTAAAAATCATGACCTATTACACGTAATAAATCATATAGGAAGTCATCATTCAATGTGATTATGTTTTACATTTCTGTTTTGGGGAATAAAAAAATATTTTCAAAAAAATCAAGAAGTCTAGTTGGCTATGACAAATAATTTTTAATTGATTTATAATACAAAAAAAAAATCTTTAACAATACAAGTAAAATTGTACATTTAGAAAACTGATTTTCCAATCATTTAAAACATCTGAAAAAAAAGCAAAAATCTATAAACATAGTTTCTATTAAAACTTAATAACAATTGTTTATATTAATTAGACTTCTGCTTACAAAAATACTCAGTCACAAAATTGAACATAGCAATAAATGTTGAAATGATTGTTTTCAAAGTAATAAAAACATTCTAAGTAGAATATTCAACAAGGATGTAATACATTTAAGTTTCTATTTAAACATTATTATGCAGCATTCTAAGTATAATAAAAGAATTATAACACATCTGTAAAGGGCCCACTTCTTTTTTGTGTTTCTGCCTATAACAGTATTTTACTTTATCCTATCTTGCACCGGGGTATAATTTTCCCAATACATAAATTTTGTCTTGCTAAAGCATTTGGCCAACATGAAAATATGAGAAACAGTACACCGAGATACAATACCAACTATCCTAACTTTTTCAACAAATGTTTGCCAGCAATCCAAAATGCATTTAATATCTCAAACAGTTTTCTTTAGAAAGCCATCTTTTTAACAACTATCTCCTTAATACATTACAACAGATGTCAACAGCAAATAATGTTCATTCCAAGAAACTGGAGACGCCAGTTTGATGTACCAAACATTGGCCATATTATAGTATTTTAATAATATCTGTCAAGTACTCTGGAGGGAGAATGTCCCAAGAGTCTCATTATCTTTGGGTGTCTGGGGGACTTGTTGGATATCTTCTGCTTGCCACATGAGGGCTTGATTGAAAACTTGCAATGGTGCAACTGAGGCAGTTTCTGATTGTAAATAGTCATCCGGGAAGGAAAATGATGGCTTGCTGTTTGTCTGAAAGGTAATCAATAAATTTCAGTAGACAATGGATACATCAATAATCAAGGGAAGTGCCAAGTAAATGTCTTTTATAATGCACATCTTCATACACACAAAACAATACAATTAGAAACTGAAAAAAATTTCACAACCACAAATTGAAAAAAAATTACAGATGCATTTATGCCCTTGCTAATTAGTAATTACGTAATTAACACAACAAACATGTAACAGGACATATATTTGGTAATACTACAAATCCATTCATTTTATAATTTGTTTATCAATTTATACTCTGCACAAGCTCTGTATAATACTCATAAGAACAAGCAAATTTGATAATACTTGAAACCTGTAACCATGCATCGATCTACACCCAACTGGTCTCATAAATTACACAAGGACCCCACTCTACCCCTCAGTAAGTCATTAAGAATTGCTGAGACTGGCATTGTTAAATTGATCCACTGAGACAAATCAAATCACAAAATCCTGGGGGAGAGCCAAGTTGTATCATATGCACCAAAGTAGCTCTGGATAGTTTTCCTTCAACAAGGTAATTGAGGACACCAGAGAAAAGACCAAATCTGGATATGAATGCTAATTACTTTCTCATGTGATCTATTATAATTTCAATGGTAAGTTGCAAGCATTTTACACTCTGAATTACATAAGTACAAAATTGTAATGTAAAATGCCTCATGAAAAAATACAAAAAAAGAGGCAGCCTCAACCTCCAATTCGTAAAATAGAAACCAGTGCAAACTTGGGAGCTGAACAACATCAATAAGGCTTCAAGCGTCAATCTGTAATAGACCACAATTACATGGGGCTATATATACAAGTTTTTCCTTCAAATGCATGCTGCTGATCCAATATCCGATTCAAACTACTTGCAGAAACATTTGAGGGAAAGCTCTCTGTCTTTGCCAATCAATAACTCTTGAGACTGTTGAAATATACAGACTGCAGCCAATGCCTTTTTTAAAAGAAATCGATAGCAAAGGAGACTCAATTTCTCAATCCTATGGAGTGATGAACTTTTCACCATGGCTGGAGAAGAAATACTTAAATGATGGCCTTAAACAAATCTTCTGCATCAATGTAACAAAACAAAAAGAAAGAAAAAGGGCAGAAGTATGAAGTATATTAACTATAACTTTGCCTTTAATAATATCTTCTCTAATTTTGAAAAGATATTTTAATATAGCCAATCAATTTTATATCCGTTATGTTTAATTACTGGGCCAATGGGAAATTTCAAAATAAGTGAATAAATTGGAAAATGATACAAAATTGACCAAAACTGAAATAAGCATTGTTATGAAACACAGCACTTGCAGATTTGCAACTTTTTTTTTCATAACAGTAAGCCCTGGCATAAAAAATTAGCCACCCTTTAGATGATGAAAATAAAATAATGATAATAAATACAAAATAAGGCAATAATAAAAAAATTTAATGAAAAAGGAAATTTTAAAGTAAGAATAAATTAATTAAATAATAATAATTCATCTTACTCTTGTTTCGCGGCCAAGTAGTGAAACTGGCGTTGAAGCATATTGCGTCCCAAAGGCTTCATGGAGTGAGAGATCCCCATCTGGTGCATGCCAGGAAGTGGGATGGAGACTGCTACTGCTGGACACAGGGTTCATGTAAGTTAAGTATACACTACTATCAGGACCAGCTGGAAAACATTCACTGCTTTTCCTCATCTTCCGAATTCTTTCATCACTGGCACAATGTGTGAGATTGTCCCTGAACATAATTATAATTAAAAATTATTTGATAAATAACAAGCATGCGACTGACCTGTTCAACATAAAATAAATTTAAATTAAAAACAAAGTATGTTTTAGAGAAAACATATTATCAATCATCTATTGAACATAATCGCCTAGACTGAAATCCTGCCAGTACATTTCAGGTAAATCACTGGGCAGCTGTGGGGCAAGCAAGGATGTATCAGATGACAAAAGTTGACAGCATTAACAGATACCAGTGATCAGACACTTATAGACTTTGATATGTAGACTTTGATATAAACTGAAAAAAAAACATTGCTGTGATACAAAAAATTTACAGATTTGAAATAAATCCCTTTTAATAACCAAAATCATAAAAAAAGCAACTATGTTAGTATATGGCTAATAATAAAACCAACAATTAATTAGTAGACTTCCTACAATATATCAAAAGTTTTCAGGGGATATTTGGCCATGAACTATTCAAAACAGAATATTTTCTAGTGCTATCAGTGCACATTATGCAAACTATTTTTACATTCTGTTTTGCTTTTTTAAGTTGGACAGCATGACAATAATATATGTATGTCATTTTCAAACCTTAAAAATTAATAATCACTGTCAATGTGTCATGAATTTCTGTCCCTACTGTATACAGACACTAAACAGTGAATTCATACAAAAAGCCTGAGACCAAGTATGAGATTTAAATAGAGACAGTTAAATTGAAAATATGGTAAATATTAAGTTTCAAGAGCAATAAACTTCATGGAGAAGTTACTTGTGCTGCAACATACCACGAAGCTTGCTTCCTTTTCAACTGAAATATATGCTCCTGCACAGTTTCAGTCTTTTCATGTTTAATTTTTCTTTTGTTGTCCTGGTTTCTTGATTTGGATCTAAAAAAAAAAATAAATAAATAAAAGAAATCAACAATTCTGACCTTTTTCCATGTTAAATTTTCTTTTTTCAGTTTTTATCCTCTATGCAAGTATGAATTTGAACAATTAAATAAAAAAATTTAAAACAAAATCTTATTATTATTAAAAATTTTTGCAACTGAAAATGCCCAACTATTGTTTTAATCCCACTATACACTACCTGAGTTTGCTTGGATGGATCAGCTCTTCTCTACTTTTACTTAGCACTAGCTGTCTAGAATGATGCAAAGTTCCATGTCTGCTTGCAGTTCTGCTAGTCCTCTAAAACATTTTTGTTTTTTAATTCCAAAACTCACTTATTTCATTTATAGATGCATATTAAGCAAATACTTAAGTGAAATCAATACCATTAAACCAAAGCAAATGCCATTATAGCCTTTCAAATACTATGACTTAAAGATACACCACAAAGATTCATTACATTATTTCCTGAAAAAAATATATATTTGCAAAGATATTTTTGCTTTCTTCTTGTGGCTTACAGACTAGAGGGAAAACGGAAGGTCTAAATTACCATCCAAAATTAAGAAGAAATTTCAATATTAAAGCCTTTTAATGCCCTAGTGTTTTTTTTTTTTCAGGGGGCATGTGTATTTTGCCTGTGTTGTTTAAGAAACTGGTATTAATAAATTATATGTTACAGGACCTTAACTGTAGTTCATGATATGTATCTTTTAAATATTTCACATTGAAATAAGAACCATGCAATTTCTATCAAAACATTCCCAATGCCCAATACATCAATTTGTTAAAAAAATAATATATTTTAACATCAACTATTCAAAACAATAAAACAGAAAAAAACAGAATTTCAAATGTATTAATTTCAAACAATAATGACAAAAAAATATAAAAATATATTTTTAAAAAACTTACTGATCCTATCCTACTGTAAACATCCAAACCAACAGTAGTAGGTTTCTCATCACAAAGTGTATTTGACCTGAAACAGTAATAGCATAATAAAACAGAGCTAGTCTTGACTGAGAGGCAAAATAAATAGAGTCATATACTACTTTTTGATCCAACCTCTATAGACCTGACAGATCACGCGAGTTTCACAAGGCCCACACATGGTGGATCAAAACATAGTGTATAACTCTCACTACTTAGTCTCTTAGCATATATAAGTGTTTCATCATCTTATCTGAAGACCATGAAAACCTTTCTCATTGATTACAGCATTCTTAAAAAAAAAGCAGATAATAAGTCTTTCCTTTAGAAAATGATTGATTGCTGGTTTGTAAGACTATTAACATGAATCTATTATTGACAAAAGGACTAAAATAGGCTTAATTAGTTATCAATATACATTTTGCAAAACTAATTTGATTTTTAGAATACATCTTAATTTTACGATGTAAATTTGCACTTTTTGTTTCTGTTGTTGCATAATATGAACGTATNTAATTAAGGGTCTTCAAATTGCCAGTTATTATCAATGTGACATGAAATGATTTCTGGTAAATAAGGAATGTGTATATTTGCTTAAGGTTGGCTTTTCACTACACAACCTTTCAAACCATGGTAGTCCAGCATCCTCTGATGCTTCTTCAGCAGAGACACCATCATCAACATTAACATCTTCAGGATGGTATTTAGGTTTAAATTCACGCCGAACAGTTTTAGAAACCCTGCACAAAAAATAATCATAAATAATTTTTTTTTGTAAATTTTTAGAATAAAGAATGAAAAGTTAACTTTCCATACAAGCACAATTTTGCACAAATCAGACATTTTGTAATTCTATGGGATGTTATTTCAGCCATGCAGGAAATTCAAAATGTTTTGTAGCCATACCTTCCAAAGGGTAGTTTTGCCCTTTTCTTTTCATAGTGATATTCAATATCAAATTTTCCAAGCCCTCCATGTTCTTTGGACTCATTGGATTTTACAGGTGTGCCAGTTTCAACAGTACTGCATGTGACTCTGAAATCTTCCATTTAAATAGTTTCTTTACTGGCAGTATCTGTAACTGTTGTTATCTAAATATATATGATTGTCCCATCTATTTCTAAAATTCTTCAAACAAGAAACTCTTGATTATGTTGGCGTTTAGCAACTTTGTATTCCTTCAGCTGTAACTTCATCACAAATCTTGAAGTATCCATAACATGTCTCTCTCTTAAACGATATAAGCACAAAAGATAGCTAGCACAAGTCACAAATACCAGTACAACTAAAGCAGTGTATGCTACTGCTGCAAATTCACCATCCATTGACATCTGTCTATCCAACTGCAAACTTTCCCAAGTTGTAACCCATACATGTACATCCACAAAACCTCTTCAAGCCATAATAAACAGTGCTGTTCTGCCTGACAAGGCCAAGGTTTGACTAATAATACAGTAGGTTAAGCTCCATTAATTCTACTCGTTCCTATAAGCAGTTTTTTTTTCTGTTTCATAGAAATCCATCAAGACCTTAGGAGACCTTGCATTTATTGATATCCAAGTGAGTTGTGCAAAGGAAAACTGTTCAACTTGATTAGAAGACAATGTTTATAAGTTAGATCCTCCATGCAGTATTGAGGGCCAAAATTAATCCTTGTAATTCAGTCATATCTATTAGTCAAGTCTAAGTTCCCCATCAAAATACATATAAACATCCAAATTTCTAAAGAAGTATCAACAGCAATAAGAGACAAAAAACTAATTGTTACAGTTGTACCATCAATCAGTGTGGGTGAAAGTTCACTCCAATCAGGCTCAGTAACAAATATGAACATTTGACCACATATATATAAACATCCATGCGAGGTGTCACTCTTCTTCTCCTATGCAGAAGCAAAGACAAACTATGCAGTACACTGTCAAAACAACCACAGCAATAATCACTCCAAATATCACCAAATTTGGTGTAATCACCATTGGATTCCTTCAGATATACATTTGGATATTAGAGCTCCCTCCGTAATTCCTCTCTCCAGTGCACTGTAGTGAATCTTCAAGCCCAAGCATTGTACATTCACGTGGTAAGAATGAGGTTGATGAAATCAGTGTGGTTCAATAAGTCTCAAATTTCCCAATCTTTACAGTCAGCTGTTTTCCTGCCAGTAAGATGTGAATAATACTGTCATTTGCATCACAGGTGATAATTAATGCATGTCTTAATTGCCGAAGAAAGCATTTTTATCAATGGTTCATATAGTATCCTCTGGTTAAACTTGCCAGATATACAATATCTGTAATATTTCAACATTATGAGAGATCTATACTGTACATTTGAAGACAGTATAACAATGCAGCATGGATGCCTCAGAGAGGAAAACCATAATGTGGCAGATTTCCCAAAAATTGGATTTTGTATTTATTCAAATGAGTGTGTCTGCTGCAATCGATCCTTTTTTCCTTCATGGAACTTATTTGCATGATACTGAAAAAGAGAACAAAAACTGACAGAAATTACAATAAATCAAGCAAGTAATAAAAAAGATTAAATCAATTTATGCAATCCAATGTTAAGTCAATATTGTTCAAATTTTGCTTTATTTTTTATATTTACCTAGAATTTTGTCACCAACAAATATATTTGATCCCTTTCATCTTGTTTAGGTGTTGAAAATACAACTTTTTACAGCCTTGTTATTTGTCAATTATAACACGATTCGATACTCTGAAACCAATGATAGATATAAGATATTCTTGGTGGACTTTAAAAAGTTAAATGTACTAATGAAGTCCAAACACAAATAACCTATTCTATTCCCAAACCAATATATTAAAAGTTATATCTGAAAAATTCTGAAATGCAAAAAGTTTTTAAGTAAAATGAGTGACCTTGAAACAAATACAACATTAGAATTTTAAAAAGTACAACTTTTATTACCAGAAGAATAGTGACATGTACTATAAAGTTTAAAGAAAATTTTTTCTATATCATTTGATTGTATTTTTTAAATGAGATAAAACAAATTTTACAAACATAGTCTATAACTATTATGTAAATCTGAACGATTCTGGCAAAAACATCCAGATACAGTGCAGTCAGTAACAGTCAAATAGAAAGTGCAACTTATGAGTAGGGTAAATTACTTTTATTTTTCAAGGAAAATTCAATATGGCAGGAAATCCTAAATGTGATACCTTTTTATAACCTATACATGTTTTGGTACATGTGCTAAAGGTAGTAAACCAATTCATTTTTAAATATCTGCTTGTACTTAAAGTTTAATTAACCATAATGGCAGACAAAGTGGTCATCCTTCTAAAAGACTAGGACTCAACATAACAGCAACAAAATCCTAGCATATATTAGCCTTTTAGGAAGCCAAGAAGTTGGGAGGAGATTTATAGTTTTTTGTTTGATCCTACCCTCAGAGGCAGAGGATCCGAATATAATATCATACATAAAGGTTGAATAAATTCAAATTGCCAGTTCCAAGTACTATCTATTGATTTTATATCTACTACAGTGTTATAATAACTATTAAGGAACATATAAACAAAATAGTTAAGGCTTTCTAAGATTGGACGTACCCATCCAAAACCATCATTGTTACATTCTAAACACTACTTTTCAATATGTTTCACACTTAGGCATTTATTTCAATTCTTGCACTTTTAATTTGCTTGGTGTGATATTGCAAATATTCAATGAATAATAACTTTAGAGCTAAATTACTCATCAAAACCATACTTCTTTGATCATTCATGCATCCCGCTGCAGACGGCTTCTATAAACGTCATCGGAATGTGTGTAATACGTCATTTGCTTTAGTGTCGCTACAACAATGTCAACAAGATAATCAAGATGGAGGTGTAAATGGACATTTTAGCTATCGTTATTTTTCGTCTGTGGTGAGTTGATTATCGCAGTTTTGTGGTTCTCAGACTTACTATATTTAACATATTGAATTAGCAAACATTACGCTTTCGTACATTTAGTTTATTGATGTGGATTTTACACGACGGATATTTTATTTTATTGCAAGGTGCTCGGCGTTACAGATTACAGATTCTTTATTGATACACCTTCACAAATAAGGTACAATCAAAGACAGTACATCTAACTATAACAATACAAACAAGTAAATGAATAAATATACATGATTTTAATGTTTACATGTATAATAATACCAATAAATTAGTTTATAAAAAAATATATATATAAAATGTATAATGATAATCTATAGGTGATTAATTTGAATACATACACAAGAAAGAGTACAATGTATTAAGAGAAGGCCTGTTCCCTTTGTTGGAAGCATCTATTTACAAAACACATAACCATTCTAAGAATATCTACGTCTTGAGCACCCATAAGAAAATTAAACAGTTCATTATTGCTTGTTACGTTTATAATTCCACTAGAGTACTAGTAGTACTAGTAGTAGTACTGGTATTGCAAGTGCTAGAAGTAGCTTTACTGGCAATACCGCATTTAATATGCTTTTAATAGTGCCAGTAATTGTTCGTCTATGAACACATTCGTAAAAGTTACAAGCTGTCCAGTAAATGAATTTGCATTTAACTGTTACAGTAGTGGTCCAAAATACATGTACATACAAATGCATGTATTTTTTATATGTAGAAATCACATCAAACAAAGTCATTAATTCAATATCTATATTACATGAAACTGTTTTTGTTTTAGATCAATATTCCTGCTGGCCAGGAATTAACCAGTCATAGATGGCAACTAGAGAAAAGATTAAAAGAAGAAATGTTAGAGTCAAGCCAGAAACTCCTACTTACAAAGGCTTGAAAGGTATTGTTTTTAATTAAATTTGATCTAATGTTTTGAACAATTTCATGGAAATACAGGTTCCTACAAATATACTATAAAAGACTAAGATAAACTGCAATTTGTAAAAGGATTTATATTAAGACAATTGATTTATGTACTCTCTATATAGTCATTTCATAGTTAAATATTACAAAATGCTTCAAGATTCTGATTTTTTATGGTATTTCATAAAATAGCATCTTGAATTATTATGTCATACCTTGAGGTGAAAGTAAGTGTGTGCATGTGTTTGAGAGAGAGAGAGAGAGAGAGAGAGAGAGAGAGAGAGAGTGCAAAAATGTATATTATAGACTTAAAGTGAAATATTTAAAAATCCTTTAGATGACCCTTCATTGCCTGGTACATATGAGAAACCAGGGGAAGATGAGGGGAACTCAGGTGGCAGTGTTCCACAGAAAGGAAGTGTTATATCTGTGAAGGAAGCTGTTGAAAGCAATCAGATTGACAGCGAGAAAGAGGTGAGTTAAACAGAAATTGTACTTGGTAAGTTCTTTGAGCACTTACTTTTTATAATGATCCACTTCATTAAATCAGTATATTTTGATTTCTTGTTATATGTTTACACTTAAATATGACTTTTATGAATTAAATATGACTTATATGAGTTGTGAGATTTTCATCTCAGCATACTTTCAACATATGAACACACGTACATCAGTGAGGGCCATTTTGAACATGGGGCTATGGTCATCTTTATCTCTGTTGTATTTATTTTTGAAATACAATGCCTGTCATTTCAGAAAGGAGACGAGGAAGAGAATGAAAAGACTCCTGAGCCTGGTACCTCTAGTCAGAACCTTAACCCTCCTTCAGCAAGAGGTACTCCAGGTAAAAGAAGTCCAAGCCTGGAGACAGAAACACGTCCAGCCAGTGTAGCCAGCGCACGCAAGTCACCACTGCCATTTTTGAATAAGAATGTAGTTCAACCCATAGATGATGAGCAAGCTTCTCAGATGGGAAGCATGGTCTCTATGAAGTCTTCCCATACTGCAAAAGGTATGCCTCTTTATTTTTTGCTATGAATTTCTCTATAGTGAATTCAAAGTATTTATTTCTCATTGTGAGCATTACAAAAGTAAGATAAACAAGATGGTGCACTACAGTCAACATTAAAGCCATGAAACATACCAGATTTGTTAAATTTTAGATGCTTGGATTGATGAGAATGAAGAGCCCATAGTCCGCCCATCCTCTGGAGGTGCTACAGAATCCAGACCACAGTCAGCTGCTTCACAAAGACACACGAAGTCTCCTGGTGAGTTGGATTAGGTCACAACAACAACAACAAATCTATACTTACCTGGACACAATTACTCATTTTTATGTTTTTAACAATAATTTCTGGGTTTACTGTAATGTGATTTCTTAATTTAGGTAAATGATCAATTTTCACCAGACCAGTAACAAAGTCATGTACATCAAATTAATATTTTGTAGTTTCTTTAAGTAGAGGAAATATTGAAGTAATTGATGAGCATTTTACATCTTAACATAAGCCTAGGAAATACTTTTTCTCACACACCATCACTATAAATTTCTAGCTCTATAAACAAATCAGTTGTACACAGTTGTTCTGTACACACTGTAGCTGTACTCATGGATTATTACCTTTAACACAGCCAAGCACTCCTTTGGGGTATAGACTTAACTTTCTCCTCAATCTTTATCTTCTAATATTTTGCATACCATTTTTGCATAACATTTTGCATACCATTTCTGGCAGGTTCTGTTAGGTCTTGGCCTTTAGCTTCTTTTATCCTTTCTTAGGTCCAAGCATTATCAGTGTGTCTGAGGCCAAAGCAGAGAACAGAATCGGAGACATCGGTGGAGATAATGCGGATACACAAAGTATCACATCCCGTACATCATCCCCTATGCTTGCGCCACCAGAGCTACACGGGGAACAGCAAGCTTATATTCCATACCTGCAGGCGCGGAATTGTATTGCAAAGATTGTAGACGACATGAAGAAAATGAAAGGAAGTCATATCTTGATTGTGCAGCAAATCCAGGATGCTTACAAAGACATTGAAAATGAAACCCAGGTGAGGGCATTTATTTTCTTATCATTATTTCCGCATTTTGGTGTGTTTTATAATCTCAACTATAAACTGGTAGTGGTATTACAAGTAAGAATGTTATATTGGACCAGATTTATTTTCTTATCATTGCTTCCATATTTTCAGTAAATAGGTGTGTTTTATAATATCAACTAACCAACCTGCTATAAACTGATAGTGTTATTTCAAGTAAGAATGTTATATGGAACCAGATGACACCATACCCCTATGAAATTAATATTTGTCACAAGTATTATATTTTATTTCTAGGGCCAGTTTAACCTGTTTGTCCTCAACCTACGTCATCAGTATGCTGAGAAGGTCAGCACATTTCGCCATGTAATCAATGTGCACAGGGAAGAACTCAGTCAGAAACAGCTCTACTGGGATAGCATGTTAGCAGTAAGTTTGATTAGATTCTTGGTGTTTATGGTCATTTTTATTGAACAGTCTTTAAAAGAGATGTGTATGCTTTATATCTGTGTAAGCTTTGGGTAGAATTGGGTAGAAGTCAAAAGTGATCTTAATATGCAGATATTAAATAGTAAAAAAATCTATTTATAATGTTTTTAAAATTTATAACATCTATAGCTTGTGTAGACAATGTGGTTGATATTAAATTTATGTTAATTGTAAGCTGGCCTTCATTTCAGAGTCTGTCCAAGCGTAACAATGAATTGTTGCGAGACAAGAGAGCACTGCTCATAAAAAACAAAATAGAAGTGGACCAGCTGGAGAAAGAAAAAGTAATATATCATTTCAGTTTTATGATATTGATGGTTGAAAAGTAAAGGCAATGTTACTGAAAGCATAGAAAAGCTGAGATATTAAAAATAAATAAAACATAGTATATGTGAGTAGTTACAAAAAAAAACAAGCTTGTGCATTTAAGAAGCACATTCCTTTTTTTAATATAAGTAAAAAAAAAAAAAAACAGTTTTATGCTTTGTCCTACATGATTTCAGTTGCATCTGTTTTAAAACTGAGCATGTTATGAGCCAATCTATTCTTCTTTAATTTTGTGACATTTCTAGGATGAAATAACGGTTGAGTTTACTCACAAATTGGATGAAGCTGGCATTGCATTGTCAAAAGGTAAAATTGATTACTTCTGTGATTGTAACTTTTTCCAGTACAGTTTCTTGCAAGTACCATATTAACATAATCTTATTGTATAATTGCTTCAAAAACTTGGTTTTTGCTTCCTCAGTTCAAGTTATTCTTTTAATTCTTTTTATTGTATTTTTTATTTCTTGTAATTAACAAGAATTTTTACTTATAGCTAACAAGACACTTGAAGATGAGAGAGTACAGTTTGCAGAAAAGGAAAAGAAATACCTGGAAGAAATTGAAGCACTCAAGAAGATGCATGGAGAAGAAATGCATGTTGTTTTGGCTCAGAAAGATGAAGAGTTTTCAAAGAAATATGAAGAACTTCGTTTAAAAGAGGAGGAGGAAAGAAAGGTAATAATGAGCCCATTTTAAATAAAACTATCTCAGATATTTTAAATGATTTAACATTTTATAAAAATAATTTAATATGTAAAACCTGATGACATTCTTTTCAAATTGCTGTTACACGTTATCTGTGTTGTGTCCTTATTTAAACTAGAAAAAAACAGTGTTGGCTAGCTATGACATTGAAGAAGCACTATATTTTTTTGAACATTAAAAGGATTTTAACAAAGTAAACCTTTTTTGTAAAGTCATTTTTTTAAATGTTCCTTAGGTTCTCAATGAAGCACTTCAACATGAAAAAGATAAGGTAACCAAGTTGGAGGAAGAATTGAAGAAGATGCATGAGGAATTAGAGAATGCCCGTGCTCAAGCTGCAGCTGCAGGAGTGGCCATAGTGGCTACAACTATTAAGGAAGAAGAACACAAGACAATGGTAGGCTTTCCAATTACTTCACAATGTTTGGAATGCACTTAAAATTAGAAACAATTTAGTAGAATTTTTATAATCTAATGAGATGGATGATTATAATTATAATATTTGTATAATATTTGAGTTTTTTTTAATTATAGGTATAATATAAAACATCTTAATAAGACATTTCAAATTTATCAGTAAAAAGAAATTATGTTTTTAACTTTTTTTTTTTTTTTTTGCTTTCAGGCAGTGCATGTTGAATCAAAACCTGCTACAGATACTGTGGTGACCAGTGCTCCTGTTCCCTCTGCTGTCACAGCAACCAAGGTGGTGGTCAAAGACATGTCTGAGGAAGAACGTTTGAGAATGGAAGAAGAAAGAAACAAGATGGCAGAAGAAAGAAACAAGATGGCAGAAGAAAGAGAAAGGGCCAACAAAGAAAGAGAGGAGTTCCAAGAAGACAGAAAGAAATTCCATGAAGAGAGAAATAAACTTGTGCAAGATTTGACCAATGTTCAGCGAGTGAGTCTCTCGTTATTTGGGATGAAGGATTATATGTAGAAAGTAGTTTTACTAAAACAAACAGCCACTTATCAAAGTCTGAAATTAGGTTCAACATTACATGTAAGGTGTATCCTTTTAGTAGGTAAAGTTTAACAATGACAAACTCATTTCATTTTTAAAATGTTCTCTTTAATTTCACTGTACAACTAAGTTAACTTCGTGCAAAATATTTTTCACATATAATTTATTATTCATCCACGGAATGTTACCTATTCACACTGAATCTATTTATTTTTATTTTTATTATAGGAACTGTTGGAAGTGCAGGCTAAGTATGACTCTCTAAAGGCTCAGCTTGGTGATGTTGCTGAATTGAGAGCTAATTACGAAGCACTTCAGACACAGTTTACAGTGGTAGCTGCAGCAGTGACAGTGTCAAGTGAGGAAGACAAGAAAAAGGCTGAGGTGAGACATTTTATTTCATGCTTGTTGGATTTTTAGAAATATATTTAAAATGAAAGCATATGTAATGGAGTGTTGGTTCATCTTTTTCTGAGGTCTGCAATATTGAGTAGGACATGCAGCTATGAAAGAGTTGTTTTTGAGATGCCATTATTTCTTTGAATATGTTTCTAGAAATCAGTATTTAAAAACATTTTTCTGGGGGTTTAGAATTTCAATTATTGACAATTTCTTGAAATATTTATTTATTTATTGTTTGCATCCTGTCAGTAATTCAATATCAAGTATTATATTCCTTTTCTTCAGGAAAATATTAAGAAAGTAGAGTCAGAAAGAATCATAATGATGGAGGAAAGTAAAAACCTTGAAAATGACATCAAGAAATGGGAGGAGGACTTTAAACAGCAAAATGGCAGAGAGCCAAAGGAGGAGGACAGGTCTCTTTACTATATAATTATTATTTACAGTATTGGGCCTTTTTTTCTTTTAATCACATTGGCTCATTACTGAACTGTTGATTTCTTTGCGTTTCAAATGCTGACAGCTACAATGCATGTTGATAAAAAAAGACTTTTAACATTTAGTATTCTGCAGGTTTGTTTAGTTGAAAGGAAGCTGAATTCATTAAATTGTCTTTATTTTTTATAATTAACTTTTATTCTGAATCTAATATTGACAAAAAATTTAAATCATCTCAGGAAAAGAGAAAATTCAAAAAAGACCTGTAAATGATGTGAGAAATTACAATTACATTTTAGAACGGATTCAATCAAGGAATTTTATGTGATGAAAGAAGAAACAGATGGTATGGTTCACAAGTTAGATACCAAAATCACAACCTTAGAACAGCTGAAAGAGGGCAAGGTTCCAGAAGCACCCAAAGTTGAGCCCAAACCAGTGACAGTGGTTGAGCCAGAAATTAAGACCGTAGAAGTAAATATTCTGTTTCTTATTTGTGAAATATTTTTAAGTGGATTTGTTTCTTTTGCCAATCATACATTTTATGTGCCAATCTGTATTGTGTGCTGTGTTGTAAGAAAACAGAATAATGTTTTGGTCAAGTAAATCAATTTTAACATTTTCTAAATGTCCACATGTAGATCAAGGTACAGGACCCAGAGGTAGTTGCAGAGCTAGAAAAGACACAGGCAGAGCTTGCAGACCTGCACAAACAGATCGCTGCTCTCCAAGAAACAAACAGCAAGTTACAGGGAGAGATATCAGGGCTGCAGGCTGAAGTGTTGGCAAAGAGTGCCTCCCTGTCTACAGTGGAGGCAGAGAAGTCTGGACTACTGGAGCAGCTGAAGGCAGCTTTAGCTGCAGCGGCAGTCTCTGGAGCTGTCACAGCAGAGGTACCAGAGTGAACTCTTAATGATTGCTTGCATTTAAAGTTTAACATTTATATGTTTAGGTAATTAGAACTATTGCTTTGAAGAATTGTCTTACTTGTCAGGGGAAATGGTGCTTTATAATGCTTGAATACAATTAATTTGTGAACACTTTCATATTTTTTTAAAATTGCTTATTAAGTGAAATAATGTCTCTCTTGTGCAAGGTGTAAATTGGCATAGTGTTTTGAACTTTTCTTGGAAATTTTCTTGAAACACGTTTCTCAGAGAGATGTTTTGTGTTCAGGTCAGTGCAGGCAGTACTAGTTCTGGGGGTATTGATGCCACTGTTCATGCACAGCTGAAGGCAGATCTGGAGAACAACATTAAGGAACTAGAGAAACAGTTAAAAGAGAAAGAGAAGGTAAGTATATATCCTTGGGCTACCTCTGAAGTGAACACATTGTAAAACAAGTAAATTGACTTGATTTTGATCTTTTGGCTTTCATTTATTCCAGACTTTATAATTATTCTAGTGAACGTCATCAATTTTAATGAGAGTTATCCAATAACACATTTTAATTTATTGGTTCACAATTTCTAGGAACATGACCACCAGATGAAAGAAAAGGAAAGAGAAAAGAAAACCATGGAGAGAGACATGAAGAAAGTGATCAAAGCCATGGCCAAGCAGGAGGCAGGGAAGAAGTCTGACCAGGATTCTCAGAATCTGAAGTTGTTGCTAAAAGCTGTGGTTGATGAGGTGATAATCCTACTGATTTATTTCATGGATGTTTGGTGAACAACAGTTATCGCCAGTGTTTAATTGGAAAACATTTTATAAGCTCTTGAAATGGTGTCTGTGTAAACAATTTCTTTGAAAATGGTAAACAGATTTTTTTCGGTGTTGGGTCAGTATTGTAAATTTTTTTTTTTACCAACAAAAAAAAGTAATTTGGCACAAAAATTCTATGTAAATAAAAATATGACATGCATGCTCATTTTTAAAAAATTTTCTTTAGGCCAAACTGGTGCATGCTGAAGTATCAGCTGCTGCTAAGAAAGTGGAAACCAACCATGGTGCAGCAGAAAAGGAGACTCCAAAAGTGATGACAAAGTATGATAAGTGTAAACAGAATACAGAGGCTTGGGCCAAGAAATATACAGAAAAGAATGGGAAGGCACCAGAGGAGGCAGACAGGTAAAATAATTATATTATATTATAAGCATAACAATATTTGAAAATAGTAAATGCTGGCATACAATACTAGCAATAGGCAGAAACTTGAAGGACACCTTATTTATGTTATTTACTAATATTTATGTGATTATTTAAAAAAAAAAGACATGCAGAATAATTTTTTGTGGGGTAGGGGGAGATCTTTTCTTCAATTTGAATAATACTGACCATTTTAAGATGCCTATAATATCTCAGTCCATTGCACTATGTAAATGGTTTCAAATTTTGTTAATTAGGGATGCTGATGCCCAAAAACTTTTTGCTGAACTTGAGAAGTCAGGCGAGGAAGTCACCAAGGCAGAGCTGAAGCTCACAGCACTGGCCATGTTGAAGACTGGGGTGATACCTGAGAAATGGAAGCCTGCAGCAGCAATGATGGGAAGCAGTGCTACAGGTAAAAATGCTATTGTTAAACAGAATGATTTCTACTTTGAATGCAATTCGGTGTCTTAGATATTGTAGCTACAGATATTGGTGGTTTTGTTCCTGTACTTTTTTTTATGGGTAAAAAGATTAGAGGGCAGTTTATTTGAAGATTAGGAGAAGTTATTTAAGGACGAAAATGTAACAAATAAATTTTTTTTTTTTTTTTGAAAACCAAGTGAATTCCTGTTATTTATATTTGTTACTTTTCTTTTTATATTCATTCTATTTTTTGTTTAGGAGTTGGAAAAGAAGAGTTGGAGAAACTGGAACAGCAAATATCTGAGCTTGAAGACAAAATATCTGAGTTGGAATCTGACAATGACACCCTGAAAGAAAAAGTTTCTTCACTGGAAGAGGAAGACAAAGTAAGTTGGAACTTAATGTAACAGTCAAGTCTTCCTTGTAATCAATTTGAATTAAAATGTGCAGTTTAAGTTTTACTGAATAATTTATGCTTTTTGCCATAAAAAAAAGAAACATATATGACTATGGGTATGTCCACCATTTTAATATCATGTCCATGACCATATTCATTAATATTTTTTATGAGAAAGAACAACCAAACAAACAATCTACTATACTATTATATGTATGACTTGAATTTATGTTCCATCTAATAGATAACCATCTTTTATCATTATTTCTGGTGAAATTTTTTAAAGGAGAAGGCAGAAACTATCCAGCAGTTGGAAAAAGAGTTGGCAGCTGCAAAAGCAGCCGTCACAGTGACAGCAGGCCTGCCAACAACAGTGACAGTAGACCAACCAGCAGCAGTTACAGTAACAACAATGCAGAAGACAGATACTGTGGAGGTTGACCTTGATACAGAACAGGTGGATGCTGAGGTACAGGAGTGGAAACTGTGCACATTATTACTACACAATGGATTTACATATTGGGTGTCAAAAATTTGCCAGTTAATGGGTGCATGTAGTAACAATTTGAAGTTACACCAAAAACACCAATTTTAGGCTCAGTAGCAGTGCAAATTTAGAGCATTTATATTAACAAATAAACAAATGTATGCATTTGCTTAAAATTAAAACTAACCTTAAAAATCAGAAAGGCAATTTTTTAACAGAATTATATTATTTTGTGATATTCAGCTCCAAAATGCCCAGATGTCCGAGTTGCAGGCCCAATTAGACAAAGCTGAGGCTGCACTGAGAGAGGAGCAAGCGGCACATGAGAACACCAGAGAGGAACTGGAGGCACTGAAACTACAAATTGCAAATCTTAGGGAGGAAACTGAGATTCAGAAATCAGAATCAGACTTGAAGCTGAAAGGGGCTTTAGAGTCCCTACAGGAAGAACTCAAAGCAAAAGAAAAGGTGAAATACATGTAGTTGAACATATATTTGGTTTTGTGGAGTCAAGCAACATGTAGTAATTTATGTAATACACAAAGCGCATTATCCAAATGTAGCTAACAGGTCATAAATCAGATAGATATTAAGGACATCATTGATTAGAATTTTAAGTACCAGTCATTTTAAGAAATCAACTTCACCATTCCAATTTTTCTTTTAATTTTTTTCCTAGTCACTGGCAGAATCCAAGACTAGAGCTGATGAACTGGAGAGGGTGCAGTTGGCAAATGTACCAATAAATACAGCCAATGAAATTAAGAAACTGAAGACTAAAATAGTGAGTACTGTCATAAACATGAACATCCTTTATTTCTTAAGTACATTGAAAAATTCACCAGGAACGTTACAAAGCCCCCATCCATAGTAATATGTTGCTCCCTTTTTTATGATGTTCAGGTACAATTTTTCTTCACGAAGATACCAGAAAATTTTCACATTGACTCAAATTAATTGAGGTTTACTCCTTTTAGGCTGCACTTGAGAAAGAAAGAGATGGCAAAGCCAAGGAGGCAACAGCATCAAAGCATAAAGTAGCAGAACTTGAGGGGAAAGCAAGTAACTTACAGAAAAGTTTAGAATCACAGAAAGCAGCAGTTGAGCAGTCAGAGGTATGGTTTGATATTATTTTGTGCACTGATAATTTCAGAAGAAATCTCAATATTTGGAAGAAGGTATGAAAAGGGACACTACTAATATAAGGATTCTGTAGATAATACCTCTGGTAGAAATTATGTAACTGGTATGGTGGAAATATATTGCTACTGATTAAAACTACTGTAGATCTCAGATAGATAGGCCAACAATCTGTTACTAAGTTTTAGCCATATTTGATGCACTTGCCATCCTCCTGGAATCTACAACAATTATCATATTATTCTAGGCCAAGTTTAAACAGATAAAGGCTGAAAAAGATGCTCAGACAAAGAAGCTTTCAGAACAGTTTGAGGCCAAAGAGCAAAAAAGAGCTGCTGAAGAGAAGACTAAAATTGCAGCTTTACAGAAAAAGGTAAGTTTTTTTGAGGTATTGTCGATCCTTATTTTATTGTAAGGTTCCCTTTAATGGGTAAAATCTAGTATTAACTTTTTATAGACTAAGTGCAATTATACATTGTTTCAAGTTTCCTGCTATAGATGCTGTAAGGCTATAACAATTTATAACTTTTGTAGGGTAATTAATAACTAGTTTATAATCACACCTTTGGACCATAGTCCAATGGTATTTAATTATTTATTTATTTATTTATTTATTTTTAAGATACGTGCCCTTGAGGCAGCTGGCGCAGCTGGTGCTGCTGGTGCTGGTGCTGGCAGACCTGAAAGAGTAAGTTTAATTTATTCTCTGGTTAATACTAACTTGTTTAAAATATTCGAATACATTTTATTTGTCATATTTTTAATTGAACCATGTAATATGCATTTATCATGTTAATAACATATCCAAACATTAAATATGTTCAAGAAAACAAATAACCTTATATACTGGTGCATTTGTGCTTCACACTGGGAAAATCATAAAATGTAACATCTGAGGGATATGTTATTTGTGCATTTTCTCAGGGAAAGGCAGGAGATGGCAAGTCAGAAGCAATGCTGAAGAAACTGCAGGAGCAGTATGCTGCAGTGAAGAAGGAGAGTGCTGAGAAAGACAACAAACTGAAACAAATGGAGGCAGAGATGAAGAAAGTGAAAGCAGATGCCAATTCAGCACAGGATGTAAGTAAAAAATGTCTATTTGTTATTATTTTTCTTTTAAATAATAGTATGACATATAAAGATATTTTCCTGGAAAATTTTTAACATCACTGCACTTAGTGTATCCTTGCATTAGAATTTATTGGATTAATGTTGGATTTTAATATCCAGATATTGGATTTTAAGACTGAATTTCAAGGATTGTAAGTAAATAGCTGAAACAGCTTGTCTCTAAGAACCTAATTTTAGCCTATCTTCAATTCACATAATTTGCAGAAAGCAAAACAGCAGAAGCATGAGAAAATCTTGAAAGAACTTGAAAAGAAAATGGAAATGGAAAAGCAGAAATCTGCAAAACAGGCTGAGAATTTAAAGACACAAGAGGAGGAGCTTAAACAGCTGAAGAAGGTTTGTATATGTATATTGATAATTTTGTGTAGTGCACTCTATTTATAAACAAATATCAGGTTAATATTTTAGAATTATAATAATTCTCTTTTAAGAAACAATTTTGGAATTTATGTTCATTGTGCATTCTTTGTTCATTTTCATAGTTTTAACTTTTCAATTTATACACATAATTTGAAAGCTATTTTACATTTGAGATATTCTCCTTAGAGATCTTCTACTGTCTCTCCCTATCATCATACTGAGAGAGTTCACTAGGCACTGTCTGAGAATGAATGGAAAAGTCCAAAGTGTTTGATGAAATTAAAACATGTCAAATAGCTTTCAAACTGTGTAGAAATTGAGAAGTTTAAACTACAATAATGACTTCATCTGCTTCATATGAGTATGACTTTGATTGGAGAATCTTTTTTATTTATTAAAATAGGACAATGATAACAAAAGTAATGAAATCAAGAAGCTGCAGGCCGAGATGGAGCAGCTGGGCGTGGCAGCCAGTGATGGTATCAAGGCCTTGGCCAGGGTGGAGGAGCTGGAAAAAGAAGTGAAAAGATTGCAAGAGGAGAACCATGTATTGACTGAAAATTTCAACAGTGAGAGGGTAGGCAATTAAAAATCACATTTGATTTTATTGATATTCTGTTATTTGCACATGTAATATGAAAATATAGCCAGAGATAAGACTGGATAAAATTTGGGATAAAAATCTTCAAATTATAGGTCATTATTGTATGCTCTTTAATTTTTAAATGGAATAAACACATTTTTGGTTTTGTTTTAAAAGGTACTTAGAAAGAAGTATTACAACATGGTTGAAGACATGAAAGGAAAGATTAGAGTGTATGCCAGAGCAAGGCCTATGAGCAAGAGTGAATTAGACAGGGTAAAAATTGTTTTCATGACTTTTTAAAAAGTAAAGGTATTTTTTATTTATTATTTTTTTAATGAACAAATCACTATTTTGATCTTCTTTTATCTTTTTTATTAGGTAGAAACATTACGTATATTCATAAAGATTTTCTTGTTTCACACCCACTTAAAACAGATTTTATATATTTTTAGGACAAAAAAATTTAATATGAATAACTTAATAAGACCTAACATGTACATCATGCAATGACTTGATTACCTTTTACTTTTGCAGGGCAATGTCTTGGTGTTGAAATCTCCAGATGAATATACAGTCCAGGTTGACAGCAAGCGTGGATTGAAAGAATTCCAGTTTGACCAGATTTTTATGCCAGAGCACTCCCAAGAAAAGGTCTTTGAGGACACTCATGTAAGATTGAGGAAAACAAGGTGGAATAATGTGCGAGGAAAGAAAGCTGGAATAATGTGCTTCTTTGTGGTGTCCCAATGGGCACATGCATTTGAAATACGTTGATATATTTTATAAATCTCTTCCTTGTAGTGAAGAACCAGAAGTTTTATTTTGGATTTGTCTGGATTATACAGGGATGCAATTGAAGATGATTTAGCAATGTTTCATGTTTGCATTCTGTTGCAGTATTCGTGTTTATGTGCTTAATTAGACATTATTGGTTAATTGGATTTGTGTCAATCCTCTTTCCATGCAAAAAGTACATTAGGAAATAAAAAGTTGATGGCCCTCTAATTCTAAGGATTTGGGAGATAAGTTGTTCCCTTTAGAGCTGTTAATTCCCAGTTCATGTCACTTTGATATTAAGAGGTTAGACCTTGTTGTCATTTAGTATGACATGCATGACTATATTTTTCAACTTTGGATCAGTTTTTGATCATTTCAGTTTTTTTTAAATATTAAAATATTTAAAACAGAAAAGTCCCTTTCTCTTTTATTTTCTTTTTTAACAACAATACCTACCCTGTTCCTATTCCCAGATGTTAAAGTGAGTATCATTTTTTAGATAAAAGGGAAAAAATCCACTCTGTTAACTGATCTACCAGTGCTGGGAATTATCATCAGCTGTATAACGTATGGGTTAAAGATCACATTTATTTTCATTCAAACTCATTTAAGCGGGCGAATAATGTCATCACTGTGACCAAAGCACCTTTTGTAAGACCAACCATGCACATTTAAATCAGTTATTTTTGTATATTATTTATAATAATGTAACTATTTACATTGCTTTATTTTCAGAATCTTGTACAGTCTGCAGCAGATGGCTACAATGTGTGTATATTTGCTTATGGCCAGACAGGCTCTGGGAAAACATACACCATGATTGGAGATAGTGAACAAAAGTCCCCTGGCATAGCACCAAGGGCATTTGAAAGGATATTTGAGCTACTTGAGGAAAACAAGTAAGTTATGAGAGTACATTTACCTGTTATGAGTTCAAAATAAATCGAGCAGAAAATATTGTGACTAAGTGTGTCTGTGGTTGATTTTATTTTGCTTTGCTGTCATTACCTGAAGTCCCAGCAGTTCATTTATGTACATCACAATTTCATTCATTGTAACTACTTGTACAGACATTGAATTTGTTTATTAGTTAAAGATCTAGTAGTAAATTGAGCACATTGAATTATTATATTTATTTATTTATTTATTTATTTATTTATTTATTTATTTACGAGTTCTGTGGATTGTTTATTACAGGAGTAAGTTCCTCTTCAAAGTGTCAGTTTATATGTTGGAGTTGTACAATGACCAACTTCTGGATCTGTTTGGAAAGAAGTCTGAGGCTGATGTTAAGATGGAGATTAAGAAAGATAAGAAGGGTATGGTGTTTGTCCAGGGAGCAGAGGTGAAAGATGCCCACAATGCCAAAGAACTTATGGCATTGTTTGATGCAGGCTCCAAGAGCAGACACGTTGCAAGCACAAGTAAGGAAAAGATGTCTGTGATAAAACTAATTTATGCATTGAAATTGTGCAAAATGTTGACTCTTAAGAATATGTCATAAATTACTGCACCTAAGCTTTTGTGTAGACGAGATACAAAATGCCAATGAGATAATTCTATTAATAACATATTACCAATGAAGTGCAGATTTTCTCAAGTGATGGTTGTCATATTTAGCCCCATCTAACCACCCTGAGTTTTAGAGGACATTGAATATGGCAGAGGCATGTAGATAATAGAGGCGAGTAAGAAGTGTCCTTTAAAACTCAGGGTGCATTTTACACAGAGAGCATTAAAAGATAATGATGACAGTCAACTTATTTGTCTTCTAGGCATGAACGCAGAGAGTTCCAGGTCACATTTGGTGGTTGGTGTTATTATTGAAAGTACAAACAGGACATCTGGCACAGTGACGAGGGGCAAGGTGTGTATGGAACTAATGAAAATAGTTCTTTAACTATCATTAAAATTGACGAGTTCTGTGGAATATTCTGGGTGAAGTATTGAAGGATTTTTTTAAATTACAAAAACTGTATAATTGGGTTTTGAATAGTGTGAATGATATTTTCTGTTTAACATTCTTTTTCAACTTTTTGTTTAAATTTCAGTTGAGCTTAGTTGATTTGGCAGGCAGTGAACGTGTTGCAAAGACCAATGCAAGTGCTGAGCAGTTGAAGGTATGAAAAATTGAAGATATGGGGATTGTTAATTAGAATTGTTTGCATCACTATAAACTTGTTATCATAATAAAACTTAATATGTGAATATTGAAAACCTTTAGGGTTTGATTATTTTCTGGTTGTTTGTTTATTTTATTTCAATCATTTTTCCTCTTTAAAGTCACATTTGTATGTCTTTCCAGGAAGCCAACTCTATCAACAAATCTCTGTCTGCACTTGGTGACGTGATTTCTGCCCTGTCCAGCGAGCAGTCCTTCATCCCATACCGTAACAACAAGCTGACCATGTTGATGCAGGACTCCCTTGGGGGCAATGCAAAGACGCTCATGTTTGTCAATGTGTCACCAGCAGATTACAATGTTGATGAAACGGTGATTTCTCTCACGTGAGTAGATATCTTGCATTTTTCTTTGAATAATACAATCCATTGAAGTGTTTCGAGTCCATCATTTTACAGAATGTAAGTTTTTCTGTTTAACATGTGATTTAACACAGCCACAATCACATGATTTTTTTAAAATCCTGTGTTTATAGGTATGCATCTCGAGTGAAACTGATTACCAATTCAGCCTCAAAGAATGCAGACAACAAAGAGATTAATCGACTTAAACAGGTAAGACATACATCATCCTCTTTATAAAGACAGCTTAAAATCACGATTATATTTTTAAAATAACTTTCACAAAATTGTTATTATCATTATTGAGTAATATATTATGTTTGCTGGAACATGTATGAATGTTAGTAAAGTGAAGTTAAAATATAACTATTGTATAATTTAGGTGATTGCAAAACTGAAAGCAGGTGAAGAAGTGGATGAGGACGTCTGAATCTGAATTAAGAACAGCTGCGGATGTTTTACATCATTTCTTGGACAATTATATACACCAATCTAGAGTCATATATATGCATGTAGACTATATTTATACAGAATAACACATATTTATATTAGATTTTGCCATTTTTTAATTTTTGAATGTATTCATTAAACTTGTCAATATGAAAATTTACATGTTTGTAGACTAATCTTTAATATGCATCATTTTTGCGATTTAAGAAATATTTTTTGTTCAATTTCATATTGTGTATCATGTAGTTTTGCTGATTTTATGACATGTAACATTATAATATATTATATTAGCTTATAAATAATGATTTTACTGTGATGTATCCATCCGTCCAATTGAGTGGAAAATGCTAATCAAGAAATATTTGTATAAGGCACATTCCAGTTAGGCATTTCATTATTTTAGAAAAAACATTTTGCCACAACTTTATTTTTCTTTTATCTCTGTGCATTGAAATCTATGCATGTTTTTCAGCTACTGGCTAGTTGAACGAAAGGTGCAGAATTACCATACTTGTATATTCATATAGAAACTTTGTAATAATAAGAGAAAAACCTTTCAAGTGACATTTTAGAGTCTTCTGCTTTTCTTTCACACGTATTGAAACTGTCATGGGAACTTGTGATTTATATATGTGCTTGGAATTGATATGCAATGCGAGTGTAATATTATTACTTCATAATTTCTATCAAAGGGTGGATTTTCTGTTTTTGTGTATGCTCGGTTGTGGCCGTGAACAGTAAATGAATCTAAAAGCAACATAAAAAAAATACCTGAGAAGACCACCCCCTAGCCTACCAAAATAAAAAACGGTCAAAATTAGTGAACTTTTTATCAAATTTAATGACCTCACCACAAGTACACTTTGTTAGACCATACACTAGTAGCCGTTGAAGAAACAAAAGACCCCAAATACATGCGAAAGAATTCAAATAAAATAGAAAAAGCTACACATACAATTTCATACAGTGCACGTACATTTATTAATGATCTTTTCAAAGGAAATTACATCGTTGCTTAGCTATTCAGCAAGATACCACATAGACACCGCTCGTCATCGTCTTTTAATAGAGACGATGAAATAATAGTGCGCCAGTGGTAAGGACCTTTAATTTACCTATAAATACCAATAATTCATTCAAATTTGCCAGGCAGTCTGCTAAACAAGTCTTCAGTTTGACCACACTGCAAGATTTATTGGACGATCTTTATTTTTTTCTCGGAAAAAAATTAACACTGAGGCTTATAATGGGATATAAGTCAGAGGGACATAAATCAATAGCACATCTTTAAGGCAGAATAGAATTAATATCTGCATATTAAAGTATTCAAAGTATTCGTGTAATTTTGGCATTATGATCCAAAAAATCGTATTTCATAGTGCAGACTAACAACAATAACAGGAAGTATTTAAGTAGTAGGTTTATATTCTCATTAAAGAACTGACGTGATAACGAAGGCCAAAACGTTTCAAATTGAGTTCTATTTGGACGCTTTCCACAGAAGTCAAAGTGCGCAGCATGGAGATAAACGGATCCGGTTCGTATGTGTCAGACAGGAAATACAACACTTGTGTAGGTAAACAGACTAAAAAAAATAGTCATTTATGTTTGTTTCACTGGCAATGCTTCAACTGCTTCACCTTCTAACAGATTTGCCACCAACAACATATGTCTTTGACATCGAAACAGCGCCCTGTGAAGAAAAGTAAATAAATAATTTTAGTGATTTTAAGTATTTTTCAAAATAAAATAAAAAGATAACCACACCCACCCCAACCAAACAAACGGGTATCGTAGATATATGTAAGGAGGAATGCCCCAATGCCACTAAGGAATATTATCTGTTGTGCTCCCTTGATGCCACGAACTCGAATGTGTGATTAATTGATAGGAAGCATATTACATAATGTAGAGAGTACGTTTGTATTGGAAAACAGTTAATTTATTAACATATTTTATTTCCTTGCAATATGCCTACTGGACTGTGAGATTGGTGAATTAGAAACGCAATTTGTAATGCAAGGCTTACTTGTACATTTGGAAAACGGTTAAATCAAGAAAGCATTGCATTTTCTCTATGCAAACGTTAGCATAAAGGCTGTTAAATACATATTGCACTTAATTTCGTTTAAGCCTCTCTTTTTTGTATTCATAGTGATAAACTTTATGCTATTTTTGTACCTAGGTTTTTTTAAGGTAAACCTATAAGTAATTATTTGTATAAACCATTTGAAGACGCTTTTTAAGGAAAAACCCACGCCGTTTCTGAAAGAGATGAATATAGTTATCCAATCAATTTTCAATATAATTCTTGTTTGCATATGTTAATCTCGGGACTTCAAGTGGTAAACTCAAAGTCTTGCCTCTATACTACGAATATGCCCTGCACAAAATATGTAAGTTGTCAAAAGACATACGTCTCAGATGTGTATTCTACAAATAACTGTCAAATAAAATGAAATCTCGTTCAAAAATTTTCTTCCAAAGATACACCAAAATATGATAACTTTTATGTATAAGGTTATTTGCACGACAGCGTATTTGGCGAGTGTACCAATTAAATCATTCTCATGCCACCCCCTTGTTTTTCACTACCCCATCGCGGTTAATTCTATACAGATTCATTACATAAAAGCATTTTAAAATAAAACTTTTTTAATTAGATGCTTTTTATTCTTTTTCATTATGGTAGACGTAATATAGTTATTTTGCATGACACATTACCGTAGATTGTGCTAAAAGATTACTAGTGCCAAAAAAGGACAATACGATGACCAGAAACTGCATTTCTCTTAATTAATTATATTACCATTCTTAACAAGAAAAAATGTTAGTCTTAGAGGATGGATAACTTTCTTTCACTCTTTTTCTAATTAGACCGAAGGTTTTCATGTAAAATTGTGCTACTACATGTTTTGGAGAGAAACTTTCAAATGGACTTTTATAAAAGTTACTTACATTTATACAACGCATTGTTAACACTGTTTGAAGCTTAATTTCTACGCGTTTGTATCTCGCATATCTTAGTTATTAATAACTTCCAATGCTAATACAAACAGAATGTGTCTTCGGGACCTTAATGCTGCAATTTTGGATGTTTAAGGGATAACAACTGTTCATATGAGATTCAACATACCATAATTTACACATTGAAAACAACACATAGAAATATGATAAATTTCATTTTACCACGAAAGCGGCGTTTATTGCAAATATTCTGAAATCTGGGCTTGCTATCGGACCACGCGGACATTCATGGATGGCTACCTTCCGTAATAGTTTCTTCAGACATTATTACAGAAAATACACTAAAAAAATGACGAACTTTTAATGTGGGAATGCACGTAGTTTCGAGGAGATTTAAGTACATGTATCTATTTAAACTTAAATAGATACGTATCTAGTTTAAAAGTATAAAAAACTTAATAATAAGTATTAAAAACTTAATTCAATCCTGTCCTGTATTTGTTATTGACTAATTTATTATTGCTTATAATTGCAAACCTGGGTTGAATGTTGCCTCTTTGGGTTAAAATAATAATGATTATTATTAAATGTCTCGTGAATATGATTAATATACAATGCATAATCAAAACAGTTGTCTAAGTTGCGACTCACGTTTTGTTATTGTTTTATTTCTTCTCACCATCGGCTCAGAGACAATCGTATGTCGTTCATTCCTTGGTTGTCCCACCTTGAAATTCAAAACGTCGCCAGGGACGAAGAAACGCAAGATGCTCTGTCTGTCACCGGCGTCTTCTGGGAAACTAAGGTGAAACTTTGGAAAAGAAAAAATAAATAAAATGTTTTTACAATTTGAATGCAGGGTTGCCGAAGTTTTACGCATAGTCTATGCACTTTGGACCATCGCTACTCACCGTTTTCAGGTGTCACTCTGTTATTTATATTACGAAATAAATTGGCAGTCTTCAGTATATCAGTACGTACATTTTTGTTGTACTGCAAAAATGAATAAATGGATACATAATAGAAAATAAGGAATTAAATAAATAAGTAAATGTGAAAATGATGCTAACTTTTAAATGTCTACTTGTGCTTTCATAACATTGACAAACTTGGTCGTTACATGTACCATGAGACATATTATTACCAAACCTTAATATGTGATGTGAAAATGATACGCTTGAACGCAATACTTTTTCATATATTTATTAGTATTTCTATTTATATATTTATAAATCAATTTATTTATTTATTTCATTAATTAATTGACTTTTACAATTAAATAAAGGGTCCCAATAGATGCAATAATTAAATACATGTAGCCTATATATTAAATACATGTAAATAACATCTTTCATATCATATTAGAATGAAATTGCTAACAAAATTAACGTCATTTCTAAAACACTTGCTCTCTATTTATTTAAACTTACTGACAACATGTGAAAAATTGAAACTCAAAAGATAGGCCTACTTCTCTTTAAACAAGACTCTCCGAAACTCCGTAAAAATTCCAACTTCTTCACGTGTCAGAAACATAGCCTCATGTGAGAGAGAGAGAGGCAGAGAGAGAGAGACGGTAACAAGCATAAACGGTAACAAGCATGTTTATGCAGTCAGTGAGAAAAGAATACCCAAAAGACCGTTTAGTCCACAAATAATTTGTATAAATTGTAAAGAAGAAAAAAACTCATAACTGCCAGTTTTTAATTTAAAAAAAACGGGTAATAATGGCCATAGTACTTTTTGTATTTGTAAAAAATCTAACTCACATGCATATATACACAATGTTTAATTAATTTCTTTTTTCTTTTCTTCCTTTTCTCCTTTTCAAATCTCAGTTGTATTTCATTTTATTACATATGTACAATCAAATATCAAAGGAAGAAATTTGGCATTATACACTTATTGAAAAAATATCTCACGCACACATGAAAAAGTTCAGGGTGAGGGTTATCTACAACGACAACCAATTTTTAAAAAGTTTTGAAAATGGTCCATTGCAATACACAAGCTTAAATATAATATAGATACTTGCAGACCAAAAATTTCACTTTTTGTCTTTTTCTTACTTACCAGTGGGCGGTTTACTCCAACTGGATAAGCTGGCGAAATCTCAACCGACCCCTTAAAAAAGGCAGCAAGAAATAAAAATAGAAGATGCGAATTCATGTTCATCTTGTAGTGGCGGCGTGCGATTTTTTCCTTGTTGAGTGCATGATGGACCTAGCTTATATAAGGAGTTCCCCGTTTCGCTGTGAAAACCGCGTGACAGGGTGACACAAAAGTATCGTTGAAGAAATACTTTGTGATTGGATGGAATAACAAGAAAAACGATTATTGTGCCGTGTATGTCAAATGGAAAAGGTAGACATTTTAATTCTGAAAGGGTATTTTATTAAGATACGGCCCTTTCTTTGCGTGTCCAGCAGGCAATCCAACTGAACAATTAAAAGACAACGATTGTAAATGATAAATAACGTCTATCATATCATATTAGAATGAAATTGCTAACAAAATTAACGTCATTTCTAAAACACTTGCTCTCTATTTATTTAAACTTACTGACAACATGTGAAAAATTGAAACTCAAAAGATAGGCCTACTTCTCTTTAAACAAGACTCTCCGAAACTCCGTAAAAATTCCAACTTCTTCACGTGTCAGAAACATAGCCTCATGTGAGAGAGAGAGAGAGAGAGAGAGAGAGAGAGATCACGTTTTTAAATCTCTGTCCAAGTGCAACTAATTATTTCAAGTAAATAGCACCCGTTTTAAAACGTTTCAAAGGTCAAAATTTAGTTAACTTTTAACCAACATAAATAAGGCCTAGCTCATTAAATGAAACATTGCGCAAGTTTTGTAATACATAAGACATGACTTATATTTTAGATAAAACTATTTTAAAGTGAAGTGTACAACCATTGATTATCTTCAATTGAAGCAAGTCATTCTTTATTCAAAAAAGTTAGACCAATTTCCTGGCTGAGGTGAAACCGGCTTGTAAAATAAGCCGAAAAAGTAAATAACTTTCGTTTTTAAACCGATGACGCACGGAAGCTTGGACCTAAACACAGTCGCTTCTTGAAATTAATGAAATCGAAGACAGAACATATCTCATCGTGACATTAACCAAATTCTAGACCTGCTCTTTATTCTGATTGATCTGATTATTTGGTTAATGGCCTTGTATTGTCGCCAAAAGGATCAGTTTGGGATGCGCAGTTCAGAGAAAAGTAGACTAACAACCATGTACAATGTAGACTAATTACTCTGATGAGGAAGTAGGTTACTTAAGAAAGTGGAATGACCAATTTAACCCCAAAACACCAATAAATAATAGCAGAAAATCCTCCTTAATTATTTTTTCAGTCGTTTTTTCACCCTTCTCATCTTAAATCAGGCTGTATGATATATCAGAAGTATGTCAATTTTATTTGCAATGATTGAGTCTGGGGAAGGCAAAGCCGCGACAGCCGGCACGTGACTCTCCTGTAGCTTCAGAGGTCCCCTCCCTCCTCTACCTCAGATTTAAGTCATGAAAAGTACAGTTCAATGGCGAAAGAAACGATCGCGTCAAAAGCAAGCGGTAAGCGTTTTTCCCCCTTTTCTGTCTTTTTGCTAACCTATCAGCCCTATCTGCGCCCTACATCCGATACATGATCCTACATAGATACATTAGGCCTACAGTTTGAATGCCTGCTTTAAATGTTTTATGACATATAAGCCCGACAGAAGATAGGTAAAAATTTTATCTTTGCCCCCTCCCCTTCTCTAAAGCAAAATCGTAGTCCCCCATCTGCAAACATAAAATTAGCGAAGCGTTGCAGTTTTTTGTCTAGTTGAAAATTTTGACCTAACTCTATAAAATCAGACTAAGGTACTAGGGCACAAGGAGCCTACAATAAATTTGATAAAACAGTTAGATCGCAGACACTTTTTGCTGTTTTAACACGTTTTAAAGCAAGTAGGACCTAGGCTGCTAGGTTCGTTTCGCACATCGGAGTTTGGAATTCTTCCTTGCTCATTAACCGGAAGTGAGAACAAGCGCGGTGTTTAGTTTTTGCATCAACAATGATAGAGGATCACCAGGGCAGCGATTACTTTCTAGAAATTAAAGACATTGTCCAAGTGGTAGAATTTTCTCCATTCGAATGGTCAAGCAACTTATTAGCTGTAGGCACGACGTCAAGAGTCATCGTGGGTTCTTGCAGATTTCAGGTTAGTCCTCCACCAGTCGGTCTTATTGTGGACAGCAACCTACTGCAGTATGTGTATTTCCCTTTGTTTTCCCAGTGCTAAATTTATTTGATTTCGTTAAACTAATATTGAGTCAGAAACTCCTGGGAGTCATGTATGTGTTTGGATTCCATTTTAGCATTCTGGTGACGCAGTTTAGATAAGACTAATATGCTATATTTTAACAACTGCATCTGTATTATTTATTATTTAGGAAGAAGATAAAGAGGTGGATGGGTTGCAATTTGAGCAGTTGAGAGATTTTCATCATGGGCCAAGAGTAACAGCAATAGCGTGGAGTCCACAGACAGCACTAGCGATTATTCCCAGAATTTTGAGGTATAAAAGTCAGTGTGGCTGATATGTTTGTATAATTATTACAGTGCAATAAATTGTAAACACAGCATACACTGCTTTTTAAGTGTTACAGATATTTTCGTTTATTTGCCAGTTCTCAGTTGTATGATCTGCACTCTATTTATGAGCAAAGAGTTACTAGTATGCATCACAGAAAAGCAAACCAGATTCTATTTTGTCCTACTTTGTTGTAGGTTGGTGACAGCAGGAGGGGACAGGATATTGCGTCTTTTCAAGTCTGACCTAAAAAATGAAGATGCTGTACAGGTATTCTAAACAGTTCTACATGCAGTACCTTTACGTTGTGAAAGCAATTTTCTTACTTTGTGTTTTTTTTTTTTAATTTTCCTTGACACAGTATTTTCCAATATATCAAGAAAGAGGTCATATATTTCTGGTCCTTTCAGCAGTAGAGGAAAGTCACTATCAGGTATACATGGATGCATTTTTGTTATTATTAATTTTTTTTTATAATTTGTAGTCAATCACACTTCCATAATCTTTTTTGTGTCATTTTCATGTGATAATTTTTTATATTCAGCTACTGGAAGGACACACAGACTATGTGAATGATGTTGTATTTGAGCCTGAGAAGGGTGACCAGTTGGCCAGTGTTAGTGATGACCATACCTGTAGAGTATGGGACTTGAGTGGAGTACAGAAGGCTTCTTTCCCTCTTGGTTCAGCGGGAATGAGTATTAAGTGGCATCCAATGGACTCTTTGAAAGTATGCACTGTTACGAGAAGTGGTATTAGAGTTGTAAATGGAAATATACATGCATCATGTTTAATACTTGATTTTTGATTTTAGAAAAATGGATCATTCCCAATGTTTTCAATAAGATATCAGTAAGTTAGAGTTGTAAATGGAAATATACATGTATCATATGTTTAATACATGAATTTCAGCAATTTAAGAAAAATAGATTGTTCCAAATGTTTTCAATAAGCTATCATTAAGTTAGCTTCATGTTAAGTTACTGATTTATAAAAATAATTGGCTATTAGTATAAAACTTGGGAATTTTTCTTTTTTTACCATGTAAATGTTATTGTAAAGAAATATTCAAAATAAGTACCCTGGATCTCATTTTCAGATAATGGTGGGAGAAAAGAATGGCACCATACGTTTCTACAACCTACTAAGCCAGCAGCCTCTTTTATCATTAGACTGCACAAGTAAACCTCTGAGGTCTGCAGACTGGTGCCTGGGGGATGCTCTCAAAGTGGCTGTGATGGGAGCAGGGGACCTTCTTATTTTCGATACATCGAGATCAAGGTAAAGTTCCTCATATCAATGTTATATGGGAGTTGTGATATTTGACAACACTGGAAGCAATGGTTTGAAAACTAAACAGTTCACATGTAAAAATGTTTAGTGTTTGCTTTCCAGCCTTCCTGTTGAAAAGAAACCCATTTTCAGTGAAGGAGGCAAACAAGCACTATGGTGTAAAAGCAATCCGAACATTGTAGCAACAGTTGGAGCACCACAAGGGCAAATCAAAGTATTAAATACAAAGTTCAACCAGGTAAGTTCATAGATTAACTTCAATGCAAGAGATCAAAGAAAACTACTGTTTTTAATTTGTTAATTGAACATTTATTAAAGTAATGTCTTAATGATGATTATCACTTACTTTGGAGCATGAATTATATTTGAAAGAGGTCTTGTCACAAGAGCATCATCAGGCTGAACATCCACAGGTCGTCATGTTGGTTGATCTGTCAATGATTCTCACTTGGAATCATTCACAGGCCAACCAGTATCTAATGAGAATATGCATTTTCTGTCAAATTTCTTTAAGTGCAATGAAAAGATGATGGTGAAAATATTTTCAGAAACTTTAGACATTGTATCAGATGTTCTCCTAGGGTTTCTTTTTCTTTATTCATAAAAGGGGATATTTATATTACAGGTGCTATTAAATGTGACCTGTCCAGTTTCCTATGGTTTGTCGTGGCATTTTAGAATGCCGATACTGGTGGCCGGGGTTGATAGACAACTGAAATTTTGGGTGATACATTCCACATGATGATACTAGGCTATAAGTACAAGAAAAAGATTTTAATTTCTTCAGAACATTTAGTGTCATTCATATCAGCCTTCAAGTAATTGTTGCAAGGCATAGACACTGTCATGAAAAAATCGTGCAAAGTATATCATGTGGAAATACTATTTACAACCAAGTGCATCAAGAGATATTAATAAAATTATGAAAAATATGCAGAGCCGAATGCTATAGACATTTTGACAAACCAAAAGAGAAAGTGGTTTATTTTAATTAAAATATTATTAACTATTTCACTTAAAAATCTTTTTTAAGGGAAATAAAATAAACAACTTGTCTTTAACTCACTGATGATTTTTATTTCATATTATACATAAAATCATACATGAATGTTTTGATTTCATCAAAACAAATGAAAGGCTGCTCTCAGTTTGAAAACTTGCCAAAGATGAACATCACTGAACAATATCCAAATGAAAAATGTTTTCATAATGTAATATGATGGAAAATGATAGGTCTTCACCTTTTTTTGACTGCAATGAACAATGTTGTCGACAGATTAAATTTTCCCCTGCCTGGACAGTCCAGCTTGTCAAATTTCCAAATACTTTCTAACAGCACTTCTGCGCATTACCATCCACTAAGTCAACTTGTCAATTTTTTTTGTGTCTACGCTGAACACTACAGATTGTTACCAGCAATGATGTGCTATAAAACATCTCTCCCATGCAAATGCAGTTATCACCTTTTCAGTTTTAAACCACGATCTCTCTAAAAGTAATAGTTTTCTTCTGGTATGATATCTGTTTTTTCTTCTACATTAAACCAGATGTCATATCAAGTGGGCCCTTAAAATGTTAAATTTCCCATTATTTCCATACCAATGTACTGAGAACTTTTGGTCTTGAAAATCAGATGAGTATTGACTGTTCTTCATCAGTTGTTGACAGAACAGATTTCACCTAAACCATGCTGGCAAGTCTTTACTGCCTTTGGATTTTTCCAAACGCTTTTGTTCTTTTGAAAATTTCTTCCTTTCTTCCAAAGCCTTTTCCATAAGTGGTTTATTTTCTTTAAAAATATCTGGCCAAGTAAATTTCACTTCCTCAGGCTGCAAATGAACCAGATAATACAATTACCAGATTATATATAAATAAATTGAAACATTTGTGAAGTTGCAAGAAAATATAAGAATTACAATAAATATTATATATACAGAGACATGGTGCAGTTAAGACAAAAAAAAAAAAAAAAAAAAAAAAAAACAGTATTGCGCTTGACAAGCTCTACAAAACAAAAAACAAAAGGCCTCTAGCATTTACGGTTCTAGAATAAGAGAGTTTTCTGTTTTGGTATCTCATGGCTCCTTCTCCCGTGAAAATGCACCCATTGACCCCAAACTCCCAAAGATGAAAGGAGTCCCTAATTGTAACCTTTCACTATAATATGAGAGCTAAGGTCCGTGTAATTTCTGAGAATTGGCACAAACATTTTTTGGCCGAAAATTTCCATTTTTAGAAAATTTTGGCCAGTTTGACCTTGAAACAGAGGTCAAAAGTCAAATCCAGGAGCATATTTGTAATCTCCACATGACTTTCAGTTAGACTTCTATAACAATTTTTCCCATGTTTCCTTCGGCTTGGGAGATTGAATTTTCAAAAATTTTGACAAGGGTGCATTTCAACGAGCATCACGGCCAGTCCAATGCACTGACAAAGACAAAAAAAACAGGGTTCAAGTTGAAATTATATGTGACCTAAATCCAAGAGATGGGGACACAGGTCCTTGTGGTCTAGGAGGAGAAGCAGTAAAGGAGAGTTGTATCCCATGCCGTCCTGCAGAACCTCAGGAGCTGGCAGAGCTGTATGAGACGGATCGGTACTAAAACCATAAGTACTGCCAGCGTACACGCTAGTGGTACTAATAATCAACTTCAAAAATAAATATTTCCAATATTCACAACTTACACATGCATATTACTCAATTTACATCAATAAAAGCAAATAGCATACAAATGCTCAAATTAAGTTCTTACCACTTGCACGTAGGCTACTTTAAATTCATCTGTAAAGTTGATAACCCCTGACATTTCTCGCTCAGCATCGCGTGGAAACCGCTGATGAATTGGATAACCTGGATTCCGAACATATTTAAGCCACATTTCCTTAGTAAATGGTATACCTTAAATATAGAAATATGAAATGGTTCATATATCACAATCATCTGGTAGATGAGAAGTCAAATCACTTATATATTATTGAACAGTGACATTTGAAATGACTAAATTTTTTATCTCCAGACACTATACAGACACTTAAGCAAGTTTTTTTTTAAAAGTTCTGTTTATATATATCACACATACCTCTTCTTATTTCTGTTCTGACCCTAAGAACTGGTACCTCATATATCTTTTCCAAGTAATTTTTCACATCATGTGTGCTCATTCTAGAAAAGAAAGGCCATTCAAAAGTTCAATCATATTCCTAGATAAACCTTACGACTGTCAAACAATTTTAGTGAAAGTGCTTACACTTTGAACATACTCAAGTCATTTGTTAATTTGCAACAGGATGGTCAAGTGTGGTCATTTCTTCATGTTATGAAAATGTCACAGTCAAGTCTGAAATCCAGACAGAAACTAGAGGATCAGAGAGGCCATACTGCCTTTGGATGTTGTACCACCAGCTGGAGTAAGCGCATTCATACTGACCCCCCAAAAAAAGGGACACCACCACCAGTCTTGTGCTTGACAAGCTCTATAAAATACAATCAACAACAGTTCTAAAAATTTGCAGAAAAATGTAATATATATATATATATATATATATATATATATATAACTTTAAATGTTACAATGAAGCAGATTTTCAAATTGACCTGTATTTTCCAAACATTGATCACTCCTGTGATTTTCTAGACAAAAGGCCTATTGGTTTTTCTTGAAATGTGTTGTCAGTGTTGCATATATGCTCACAAAAGAGAAAACCTAGGGGCAACTTGGCATATCTCAGCTGGTTTTGAAGATATGAGGGGCAAGAAAATATGCAAAGTTCAGTTCATGGTGAAAAAGTAGGTCAAAGGTCATTTTCAATGTCACAGTATATGACTTCCTATTCAAGTTCTATAGTAACCATGGGCATTTCTTTGCCAATTTTCCAGATTTAAAGGCCAGAAAACATGCAAAGTGCAGTTCATCATGAAAAGTAGGTCAAAGGTCAATTTCAAGGTCACAGTTAGATAACCAGTGTATGACTTAGCATTTAACTTCAATAGTAACTATGGACCTATCTCTGCCAGTTTTAGAGATATAAGGAGCTAAATGTTACAATTTTGGAGTTACAATAATGTGCCATAAAATTCCTACAGAAGAAAATAATTAAAATAAAGAAGGATCATTTTGTTTGAGATTCTTGAAATGGGAGGTGATCAGAAGTTCCAGATGTTCAAATTTCATGAAAAAATCTCATTTTTGACCAGAAGTTGTCTGCCTTGCCAAGCCTTATGTTATCTTTTCTATATGTTCAAAATTTTATGCATATTACTGTATTGCACATTTTACTTTCACCACCACAATATACTTTTTGATACAGCATAACTCATAAACCGTATGGAACACAATAAACGGAAACCACCTCAGTGTTGGGCTTGACATGCTCTACAAAATGCAAAAAACAAGAAGTCTCTAGCCTTTACGGTTCCTAAATTAGAGAGTTTTCAGTTTCGGTAACTTATGGCTGCTACTCCTGTGAAAATGCACTGATTAACCCCAACCTCACAGAGAGGAAAGATGACCTGACAATAATATTATTGGTTAGGTCTATGTAGTATCTGAATATCAGCGCAAATGAATTTTTTACATAAAAAAATTGTTTTTTTTTTTGAAAATTTTGGTCAGTTTGACCTTGAAATAAAGGTCAAAGGTCAAATCCAAGGGCATACTTGAAATCTCCACATATGCCTTCCCTTAATTCCTTTGGTATGGTAGATAATTAGCATTTAATTTTGCCAATTTTGGACAAAGGTGCATTGCAATGAGTGCCACACCTAGACCCCAGCACCGATGAAGCCCAAATTTTAAGTGGAACAAGTTAAGATTATAGGTGACCTAAATCGAAGAGATGGGTACGCAGGCCCTTGTAATCTAGGAGGAGAAGCAGTAACGGTGACATGGCGGCGGAGCCAGCAGAACAGGACTAAAACCATGTGTACTGCCAGCGCCTACGCTTTGGAACCAAATGAAAATTTATTACATGCCAGGGTAAAAATGAAGTTCTTTGCTTAATACAAAGTTTTCTCATTTAAACAAAATCCCTTACGTTAATCAAACTTGGCAGATTTCAGCTATGCCTGAATTTTAATGCTGACCATCACATAAACACATTTTATCCCATATTTCATCATATGGGATTCAAAAGCTACTGTGAAACCTACTGTTTATGTACTATAAATTGCAAATAGTCTGGGGGCATTTCACGGTCTGGTTTTACTAATTTCATCCAAAAGGTAGGTAGAAATACTCTGTTCTTCGGATCTCCTTTCCAGTAGACAGGGAATGGCGGAATTGTTCTTTTCCAAAAGGGAAGTCTGAAATGAGAAGCATGAACAGTAATCATAACAATGAATACAATTTTGAATAAAAAAGTCCCCTGGAAACGACTTATTATTTATGTTTACCATCATGTGTTTATTGCCATGTCATGCCTGTATGAGAAAACACTGCCAAAGACACTAAGGGTCAATATTTCAAATTAGTTGCTTTGACCTGTATGTTGCACTCTGTATAGATCACTGAAGTGTGCTTTGTAAGTTTGTACCAGTACAGTAGATGCGCCCCAGTAGATGTCAAACAGGGGGCAATCGATATTACATGAAGAAGCGACCCAAACATAACTTTCTATCGGGGCATTTACCTTAACACAAGTCCTTCTGCCAACCTTAAACTTAGTCATGGATATTATTGTATTTGCAATATACGCGTATCCAATCTTATAAACAGTTGTTAGGAACAGCTAGACGTAATGTAACTAACTAATCTTGGTAGGATTCGGGAGTAATCAAGATATATAATTGTAACACTCACAGTTACGTGCATCTTACTGACATAATAAGCAAGTGTGATGCAGTGCTACCGATTGCTGCTGCACCTACATGGTTTTATCCTGTGTATCACATTCTATAAAATATACAAACTTACATAGAGCCTGCCCTTTTCATCCAATGTGCCATTTTTACGTGTGGTTTTTTAGGTCATGTTCTCATTTTCAGGGACAATTTTACTAATAGATGTAGAGTTTCGCATATCCGAAATTCTCGAGAACGAGGTTTAAACGTGGAAAAGTGAACACACACGAGAAAAGCCTTGCAGTGTAAGTGTTGACGCCGTTCATTGGATAAAATATTTCCCGTTGTATTTGTGAAGAAGCACTTCCTGTGTTGAGTCATCTTACACCTGAGAACATTTTGAGGTCACACACTTGTGTTGTCGTTTATGCGAACTACAGAGACACCAAATAGAGGAAAAGCTGTGATATTACTTAACGAAACAGGGAGAAAAGAACACGTCAAGGTATGTGACCACTGAAAGTGTAAGTGGAACGCTAAATATTATCTCAGATACGTCTACTGCCACTGGATCTTCGGGTTTTTGACATTTTTGTACTGGTAAATATTCATTTAGCGCAGTTGGTAACCCATGCTATCTTATCTTAAGTGTAAGTATTATCATGTCTGATATGTGGACAAGTTTTATGTGAAAATCTAATTAATAGTAATACTGTACGACGCCTTTTTTTACCAGTCTAAAGAGAAAAAGAATGGTATTTTAGGAGCTGACTTAATGATGGTTTCCAAGTTCAAATATCTTTGGGGGAAAAGTTTTATTGGTCATTTGTACCAAGACTTTCTCACAACAAAAGAGCCCTGAGAAGAATTTTGATGCCAACCTAAAATTTTCTGATTATTCAAAGCAATATAATGAGTTATCAACTTATCAGTATAGCTGAAGATTACTTTTCTGGCTAATTAAGCATCTATTTATGTGATTGTCCACATAGAGATTGATGACATCATCAACTTTCTGTGTCACATACAGGTGCTGTCACTGCTTGAGGGGGAGTTTTTGTAGTTATAAATAGCTTCCATTTAGTAGTATTTATAGCTGGTTTCCTTAAATATTTTAGTCAGATTTAAACTGAAGGAAAGACATAACAGTAAGTTTGTGACATTTTGTAGACTTTCTCTATAAATTAATCATCTAATTTTGTTTGATATATTTTAATACAGTACTTTAATGTACAGTACTTTAATTTAACTAAAAAATAATTTTGCTGGAAACTATAAGACAACATTTGACTCAATTTTACTAAGATTTTTAAAGAGAATGACACATATCTGTAAGTTGGACTTACTTTTTTTCACTTTCTCTCATTCAGCACATTGAAACATGAAAAGCTGTTAGAAAGACAAAACTAAAATAAAGATGTCTTACATAATTTCTTAATTGAGACAGATATCAGTATGTTTCAGTGGACCAAAAGAAAAAGATGAAAAAGAATATATATATATATATATATATATATATATATATATATATATATATATATATGGGGTAGTGTAAACACTCGCCAATTTAGCCAAATGCTAAAATTGACTTAAATTGGCTAAACAAAAAGGGCTTGATTTGACTCATTTTAGTCAAATTAACACCATTTGGATAACAAATTGACAAAAAAGTGATGATTTGGCTAAATGAAAAAAAAATTGCTAGTGCTACCCCAGTATATATATATTTTTTTATAATTTTTTTTTATTGATTGGATGGAAGCTGCTTTAATTAATATAGCATTTTTGCTAATATCACAGACATGCTGAAACTGTCTGTTCAATCGGTCATGACCAGCAAAATTTTTCTGGACCGGTAAAAAATTGGACTTGGTTGGTCCAAAAGACCGACAAGAGTTTTAAGAGGCGCCATTTTGAATTTACAGTCATTGTTCAATGTACTTCAAGAATAAAATTGTATAAATCCCACATTCAAAAACAAAGTTAGCTACCTAATTGTAGTATCTGTCTCAAACAAATAGGGTGATTTACGGTCTGGCAAAAATCCATTAAGTCGGGCAAATTTTTCATAACTGCCGGTCCAAATGTCCGGCCATTCTTAAAAAGTTTTCAGCATGTCTAATATCATGTGTTTAAAATTAAACAAGTTGATCCATAAATGTATAAATATTGAAATGCAGTGCTATAAGGTAGTTAAAAAAAAATGAAACATCCCAAAACAAAGGTGATTTAGGTCAGTTGCTATTTATTATATGTTGAAATATGACAGGGATTCATACTCATTATAACCAGTAATGAAATGCAGTTTAAAGTGATTGATTATTTATCTTAACAGGAAATATTAATTATCAATGTATGTTTTTTTTTATCAGTGTAGAGATTTAGATGTGGGTTGAACTGAGTAATATGCATATGCTATAAAAGTGTAGGAGGAAAATCAACATTTGTTATTGAATGCTTTGAGTCATGTTTCCATTGTGTCCATTGTGTAATGTTACAACTAATTGTATTTATAAAGGTTTATTCTTTGTTCAATATTCTTTTTGACCATTGTATGCTGTCTCACATAGTCTCACATGTTATCATGATAATAGTTTTGTCATTTAGTAATAGAAAATCCACAGTGAAGCTTGGAAAACTTACTGATTCTATTTTGAATGCCCAAGTCCTGTTTTATGCCCTTTGCCATTTAATTTATTTTTACTTTCATTTTACACAGTAGGTGTCAAGATTTCCAAGAAATTTGTCATTATGTCATCAAATATTGTGAGGTTGGGTCTGTTAGGTACATAGGTCAATAATATGAATTATTTGTATAAAAAGGTTTGTGATAAGTGTAGAAAGTTAGGTTATCAGTTATAAGATGTCTGGTTAAAGGTGTAAGTATCAGTTCCACTTACTAGAGTCATACTGTCCGGGTTAATCCTGACCAAAGGTGCTAGGAGAAAAAAAAAGGAAAAGTTCACTGAAAAAACATTGAGGTACAAGTTTGGTTTAAGAAAATTGTAAGTTAATTTAGAGAAATTTCTTTTTATTTCTTTAGTAGCCTTATATTTGTACAGGTCTTCTTACCTTTGTTTTATTTTACCTTTTTAGGTCACACAATGAGTACCAAGACTCGTCCTGGTATGGGAGCTGGAAGGTCTACCAGTATCCCTCTGGTGACAGAAGAAGCACGGCGTGTGCTGGAGCATATGCTGCAACGCAACCTGCGCACAAGTGCTCCACCAACACCAATGAAACAGAAAATAATTGAAGTTGAAGTCCGTGAAGAAGAGAGACAGCAGTGGAAAAGGCAAAGTTACTGTTTAGCCTCAGAGGATCAGGTTATTGATGATATTGAAAATGGAACTTACAAATATCGCCCTCCTGTACGCAAAGCACACACTGTGTCATCTTCAGATTTTAATGCCAACTTAAGGGAAAAGATAAGAAATTCTCGGGGTTCTAGCATTGAGATGGACTTGGATGTATTAGAAAATGACCACACAAGCATGCAAAGGTTAACAGCAACATCAACACACGAACAGAAAAGCACATCTCCCTCACCAAGGAAAGACACTGATTTTGAATCGAGCAGTGAGACATCTGATGCTACTTCTGTTGCCAGCAAAAAGAAAAAGAAAAGTCCCTTTAAACGAGCTACAGAAAGATTACGAGAAACATTTCGAAGAAAAAAGAAGGATAATTTCAAAAACAAAGAGCTTTCTAAATCAGCAGAAATTTCACGTGTTGAATTAAATGCCGAGAGAATAGAAAAGAACAAAGCAAAAAAAGAGAAGAAAAATAAGCCAAAGAAAAGTTCAAGATGGAGCCTGAGAAAACGGGACAGCGTAGACAGCGTGAAGTCAAGTCAAGCTGTAGACTTGGGTTCGACCCTGGATAGCTTAAAATCACGCTCCACCTTAAGCTCTTTTGAATTATTAGACAAGGATGACATCTTATCAGAAAAACACACTCACACAAAAACACATTATCACCAAGAATTGACACCGTCAAGTCAGTCCCAGCTAACCAACAAGTCTGGTAGTTTGAGCAGTGGAGTCATTCTACGCACTGAGAATACCCAGCAAGTTACTGATGTCAATGATATGGAACATGGCACCAAGATGCATAAAGAAAAGACTAGCAAAGTGAAAGAAAGTAGTGGAGCCTTTGACAATGTCTTAAAGCAGATGAAAAAAAGTAGTTCATCACTGAAGAGAAAATTTTCCAAATGTAAGTTTCCAAATCAGTATGAGAGAAAGAAGTAGTTGTCATTATTTCTTATAGGTCAGGTAATTTTTTTTGGAACCTAGAAATCGTGTTTCCTGTGAAGTGTCTTTTTATTCAAGGTCCCAGTGGGTCAGTCACAGAACAAATTTAGTACATGGCAGCCTCTTTGGGAACTTTTAGCAGTTGAAAGATAAACACCCTTGCATAGAAAAACCCTTGATGGTGGTTCATGCCTCCGTTTCAGCCCATTTTTGCACTTGAAACTTGTTTATAGGTATCCCTTTACCGTTTAGTTTTTAATGGCCAGCAACAGAAATATTGTTTTTCACTAAAACTGGTTTAAAATATTGCAGGGTACTAGTAATTTTGGTTTAGATCCCCAAGCATGAAAGTCAAAATCACATTCTAGACAATGCATTTTAACAAGATGGCAAACAGTTTCCATTGAGAAAGGTTCCCTTTGATTTCATGCAGTAGATACATAATTGGACCATATCCCTATGGGACCATAAAAAAGTCATAGGAAACACAATTTCTAAATTTATGTATTGGAGTCATGGGAATGACTACTGGACTCTTATCTAGCCTCTCATTTTAAAAACAGGTGTATATCATGAAATACTTCAGTAAATGGAATACTTGAGTAATCAGTAAAATAAATAAATAAGGAGTTAATACTGGAAACCAGTTTAATTATTGACTTATTAATACATGATGATGATTTGATTAATCTTTGATAAAGGTTTCATGAAAAAGGAAAAATGTTTTAATTAAAAATGTTTTTTTACAGCTGAAAAAAGGAAAAAATCAAGTAGTGGCACTACTCCTCAGACTCCGTCCAACAGTGCTGCTGTTGCTGTATTCCATAACTTACCATACGTGGCATCCAATGTAGAAGTTGATGGAAGTGACAAACGCAAAGTGACCAGGGTGTTTCAGCAAGTGCTTGAGCGCCAGGACAGTCTAGATGATGTGGACGGACTGACCATGTCTCAGATGGGCATTGATTCCTCTCAGGGGTCAACAATGCCTGTCTCTCCAATGGGCCCTCCTGCAGATCGCAGTCAACTTCAGCTTCACGGTCTGTCGTGTCACAGGCCCTGTTCTCAGTATGAAAACTGTGAGGTTGAAATTGATTGTGATACTACAGAGAGAAAAGTCCGCCACCCTGATGGAACAGTGGAGAATATTGTCAGTCACAAATGTCAGCGTCATCATCTTACCTTGCAGAGTAGTGTTGTCGAAGATGGCTTGGTAACTCCAGGAAGTAAGTATCACCAGAAGTTCATATGCTTTTGCAACCTACTGTTGTCTTAAAGATGTAAGAAATTTTGTTAAGCCTGTCAACCAAATTCCCCTGTTAATTTTAAGTTTTTATTGTTTAACCCTATGTTTCCTCAGTTGTTTTGACAGCAAAGTATTGTTCAGCTGACTGTTACATACGGTAATAACAATCTCTGCCTTTTCTTTTGCACTTACTACTTATTTAACATCAAGAAGGTATAAAAGATCTGTAAGCTCCTTACACCTCTTTTTCTGGCCTGGTATTAGTTGATTAAGGCTGTGTTTCAAGGTAACCCTCATGAGAAATACCTATGATCTGTAAAACTTTGGTTGGAAATGAGATGTTATGATAATCCCTTTTAATGAGTGCTTAGGTGAATCACTGTAAAAACAAAGGAATGATCATAATAGGAAGTCATAAGGTGAAACCCCATACCCAGAGCATGTAGTCCTAAAATTTAGAATCAGCAGATGTTCACTGAAAGCATTAATCAGTTTTCAGACACGGCCTTGTTGTCTTTCTCAATTAATAATATCTGCAACACTTCACTTCCTGATTGTTTCCCTCTCCTGCCAACCAAACAGGTGCTTTCCAGAGAGACCAGCTCCTTTTCTTATGTTAAGCACTGCTAATGTGAGGCATGACCCCATTCTTGGCAATATGCAATGGCCAAGTACATGGTTCAGAAACCCAGTCCAATCTGAGAGGAATTGTTATTAATGATTGACCTGAACTTAATTAATTGCTGTGCATGGAGGGCATTTAGTTCAGTTTCCAAAGATATTTTCCCAAATAATATTTGTGTTATTTGCACAGTATCAAGCAATTATAGAATGAACATGTGAATTATATCAATATTGAGAGAGGTTTAGAAGGAAAGAATGGATATTTCATAACCTTACGATTAAATGAACAGTAAAAAAACACTCCAAATTTAAATCACAAAAATATCCATCATTTTGCTTTATTACAAGTTAACAGGATATTTTATGTATTCCACTATCAAAAAAAAAAATACTGAGATATTTTTATCATATGGTATCAATGTTAAGTCAGCGTTTTATGTCATTCTCATTCATCTTAATTTGAGCTCCTCCGTAGGTTGCCTTCACTTGAAATCCCAGGAATTATATGTTATAGAACAGGACTGTACAGTACATGAATAATGAATCATCACACCCAATCACTCTTGCAGGTACTTACAGGTGTACATGGGGTGATGTATTGTCTTAAGGTGAAGTGTCAAAAACACATGCTGGTTAGGTTGCAGGCACACCTGTTACTAGAGGCCCTGTATTTTTTGAGCCTGTGCTTTTGTTAGCATTTATCTGGATGTCTCTTGTTAAGGCAAGTGACATTTTTGAAAAAAGGTTGATGATATGAATTGTATTTTTAACTCTTTAAAGTAAGACATAAGAGAACTGCATATGCAGCAAGCAAAATGATGGTATATGTATTAAAGAAGAAACAAACAACAAAACGAAAAACAAACAAACAAATTTTTTACCAGTGTTTGAAAATATCTATTTGTTAGAGACTTAAAAAAGCAGAACCAATGTGACATGTCCAATGAAAGGGGTTTCACTGATTTCACCATGGTTGTCTATGAAAATAAGTAACAATATGTTCATGGGAATAAGACTTACAGTATAGGTTCAAGGGAGGAAGATTTATGTCCATGCATATTGGTTTCACTTATGGGTAACTAATGGGGGAAATTAGTACCCCCACGTAGGTATCTTAAGTATGGGTGTCTATCATTTTGAGCATCCCTGGGAAATAAATGCGAGTCCTTAGCATACCCCATAGTCTTGTAGTCTGTTTAAGTTACCAAGTGATAACTGAAAATGTAGAAAGCAGCTCATAGTGCCTGCAGTTTTTCCACATATTGAGGGCTCTAGTATTTAAAAAAAATAATGCATTACGGAGACTTTTCTTTTAAACTAGTATTTGGAATTGAGTAAAACTAAACGTCTTGGAATCTCCAACCACTTCCTTTGGTGTGGTTGATGAACTCTAGGTAATGTAATTAACCCATAACCCTACTTCTTGGTAGATATTCAGGGAATACAAATTCCTCAGTTCCTGTTCGGCATATTCCTATTGAAAACAATGTTTGGGGCTATGGACTAGAATTTATGTACCTATTGCTATTCTTATAACCACTGGAGACTAGATATTTCTCTTTTGTTGGCAAACAAAGTGGCGATTTAGATTCAAATCCCCTGATCTAATTATTAAAGAAGACTTTCGATTATTACATTAAATACGTATATATCTTCCCGTCAGTATCGTTATTGTTGGGGATCGGGTTCACAGACAACCACAATGTGTCAGTCTCGATACATCCCAAGCACCAAGTGCTTCTGAGCGCCTAGTGCGGATAACTGTCTTTCAAAGAAATATATGAGTAAACAAACTTACTGTCTGTGGAAGTTTGGTGATGTCAGCCGTCCCTACCTCTGACCTGTAAAGTGGCACATCGCCTGGTGTATATATATATGCCAGCGATGGAGGGAAGCTACTTTAGTCTTATAAAGGAGATAGAAAACAAAACATCACTTAATTATAATTGTATCATCAGAGAGGAATACATTTTATCTGTAGTATTAACAGAAGGCATAGAGGGTATATTCTATTTCAAACCATTACAATGGCAAGGGATTATCTCACAGTTCAAGGTATTTGAGGATTTTTAAAATAATATCTATTTTATAAAGATTATACCCAGATATTTAACTGGTAGGATATTTCATTGTTGAGGGAAAACCAGTGGTTGATTTTCAAATCCATTTTATTTTCAGTTTCTGATGATGGAACTGCTCACCATGACCGAACGCATGAGCAGAAAGAAGAAATGTATGAAAAAATTGCACAAAAGCTTGCAGCCATTGCAGACAGCTTTGTGGAATCAGAAAGTACTCAGTCTGATAAAGAGTCTCCAAGGGATAGAGTGGATTCAGGTGAGTTATTGAAGATATTGCAACAGAATTTTTGTAAGACGTGTACAAAAAATTTGTATGAGAGAAATTCACTGGTAAATTTTTATTTCTTTTGTGAAAAATAAACACCTGGCATGACTTTGAATTAGTAAAAAAAAAAGATTTAGAACATATTGAAAATTAACATGTTTAAAAAAGAATTATGCTACTTATTACTAAGTATCCAGTAAATGTGGCATTTTCATTGAAAGCACTATATAAATGTATGTTATTATTTTTAAAAGGATTTGGTGGATCTGGTGAAGGTGCTACAGCTGCTGCTCCCCACAGCCATGAACCATCCTCACTGGAACTTCACCTGGGCCAGTGCTTAAAGTGTCATGGAGACAGAATCAATGCTCAAGTAAGTTATGCTATTAATGTCAACAAAACCAATCAGATGTCCTGAAAACAAGTGCTGTCAACAAGTAAAATTTTAATAAGAAAATTGCAGTTTGTTTATATGACAAAACTGGAACTTCTAAGAAAATTACCAGTAATAATGTGCTGTAATGCAGTACATGACTCTGAACAGGTAGCAGTTTCAGAAGTCATTATGGAGGAAGACAAGAAAGTGACTCACAGTGTCACTGAGTGCAAACATTAAATTAATAAACTGTGTCCAAAAAGAATGATAGAGTGTCACTGTTTCTGTAAAATTAAAGTCATACTACCCAGTAGCACATAATGGATAATGAAATGACTTTTCTTATTTTTTCAGATGTCTTATGCCACTACACAGGCCTTCTCTTCCACTGTAGCAGCAATAATCCATCATGCTTCCTATAATTCATTCAAACAGACTCTGACAGGGTACATAGGTTCTAAGCCAGAGGTTCAGCAAATTGCTCTTCTGTTTCAAATCACAAAAGCTGCAGTGAATGCTGTTGGAGCTGGTGGAGCAATGGCTCTTCAGATTAAGGAGATGTCTTTGGCATACTTTACGGACAAATTTGCAGGTTGGCTTGTGGACAAAGGAGGATGGGTAGGTATTTTTTTATGAGGAATTGAAGTAGGATCAGAAGCATTTGGTTGTATCCTGGATGATTTTTAAAAATGAATAAGTACTATGCTTTGTCAGTAACTTGTTTCATTGCTACATCAATTGATTGAAAAAGAGAATATGTGCCTATGTCATAGCATCGAGGAAATGAAACAAAGGATGAAGGAATAATGAAAAATGAATAAATAATTAGATGGAATTATAACATCATTTACTGACTGGTGTACATTATGTTTTTCAGGACTCTGTAATGGAAGAAACAGATTCAGAGTTAGACTGAGCAAAGGAGATGCTTTTTATGGTTCCTTAGTCAAAGCCTGAGTCAAGGCAGACCACAGATTGTTGAAGGCCTAGTTGTCCCAATAAGCCTGATGAAGAGCATTATACGTGATATCAGTCAGTATTAGGAAAGATGTAAAAGGAGTTTTTTATGAAAGGCAAACTGAAAGTAAAGTACTGAAAAGAGCTCTTCAAGTTAAACAAGAGNTAGAGCTCTTCAAGTTAAACAAGGGTTATCACAGGTGATTACAGTCATCGCAGATGAAAAGTTCTGTGGAGTTGAAGTTGAACAACGATAAGAATTGCACACATGATTGAGGTGGTCCAAAGCTGGACAACCCAAAAAACAAAGGCAATTTGTTGTCATTTCTAGTAAATGACTTTGAAGCACAAAAATTACTCACTGATTACTAAATAATAGCCCAGTACATCAGAGAGATTATGGTCTTTATGGACAGACACTATGTGTCTGGATATTTATTTTGATCTATATATATCTGAAAAGACGAAGTATTTTACATTGATTGTGTTAAAAAGTTTTAATTTTTATTTACTAATGTTAATTTTATTGTTAAATTTTTCTCAGGTTGTAACTAATGTCCTTTAATTTATATTTGACTGATTTAAGTGAGGGTGAATTACTTGCATTACTAAAAAAGGTAATGGCTAATTTTAAACCATTGGTTTGATGAGATGAAAAGGGCAAGTTATAGAAAGAGATTAAGCATAATATTGCTAAGATTTAATAAGCTTGTGATTTAGAAATGTTACAAGTATAGTGTTTTGTCTTGTGTGTGTTGAATTATATGATGTAAATATTTCAGTGTCTCAAGATTGTGGTTATTGGCTATGAAGTTTTTAAAACATTGCCATATAAACATTTTGTTTCCAATTCTTAGACTGGCTTTTTCAAAAGTGAATTTGTTGCTTCTCAGAAGAAATATTTATTGTTCATTTTCCATACCTTTGAAAGCCATCATCAAAATGGCACAAAATCTATGCATCTGTAGTATCACTTTCCTTAGGATATCTTCCATTGTCAAATTAAGTAACTTACAAGTCTATAAAACCTTTGAAGTGCACTTGGAAACCTGTCCAGAAACCTGCCAGCATCCTTATTATCAGAGTGGCGACTCTCCTCTACCCAGTATACATGTAAACCTTTTCTGGTTTAGAGGAGGGTTCAATTCTGAGTTTGGATGCTGGAAACCAGTTCTGTGTTGGTTGTGATACAATCTTTATAAGCAATACAATTTTGTAATAATGACATATTTGTTTAATAAAATGAAGTGAAATGAGTAATGTTATTCAGGTTTTTGATAATGTCCCAGTTACACTTTTCTAGACCTCTTGTTGGTCAGTCAAATTCAATTTTTATTGTATCCTCCATCTTATTTCTTCTCGTATCAATGAAAATACAACCACAGGTACTGGAGATTTTTGATAAGCCATGTTGAAGCAAAACATCCAATTTTTACCTCTCTTTGTAATTAAAATGATTAAAATCCTGTAATTATGTGAATTAATTGTTGAGAATTTATGCATCTGGCAATCATCAATCTAAATTAATCCTGAGCTTCCTGACCCAGCTTATTTGTATATGTTGTAAATTTTAAAACTGGTCACATTCTCCATACAATACGGGTTTTAGACACAATGCTCTTTAATCATTGCCGATTATTTTGATTTCATTAAAAAATGTTAAGTCGCAGGATGGAGTAAGTGATTCCTTGAATGGACAATTTTATGAATTCAATTCACTTCTTAAAGTGGATTTTTAAGTAAACATTAAACCCTAGCTTTACAGTCTTTCTCCTTGACATAGTTAACTGCTGTTGGATGGGATGAGAAGCAATCAGTTCTGTAAATGAAAATTCATTTTACTTTTATCCATGAATTTTATTACATGTATACAATTTTCTTTTTTATGACACAATCACAAATACAGTCATTTAAACTAAAGTTGATGCTTCAAATTTGGCAAATGTGCCAATCGATTATTTCATGTGAACACTTTTAAGGCCTTTTATATTAAAATATGATTTTTATCAAATTCATACCTATATACGTGTATACTGTATGTAATGTTATTAAGATCTTATCGATAAAAAAGTAACATAACAACCATTACATGCAAAACACATATAATTGTTGCACAACCAGAGAGTATTTTGCATGTGATTAAAATATTAAAAACTCCTACTGCTGAAATATCAAATACACTTATTAACATTTATAATGTATTGAAAATAATAAATTGTTAAACTTCTTTTATGGAATGTTTTGATGACCATATGAGAAACACTATATATAACTGATATAGTTGAAAAAAAAAATGCTGCCAGTCCTATAGTAATGCCTTATAATGTCCATTAAAATACTTTATGAAAGGTGATAATCTGCCTATTTAAATTTTCTTAGTCTTAATTGTTGGAAAAGCTTTGATATAATTTTATACTGTGTTAAAATTTTCATATCATTCAGCGTTTTCGTAAAAGCAAGATACAGACTCCAAGAGTCAGTACAGCAATTGCTGCTGCACCCGCTGAATAAATAGCCATGGTAGTATAGTAACTAAACCTATCTGAGTCAAAATCACTAGTGCCATCTTCATCCTCATTTGCAAATACCGATTCATCAGACCTTTCTCTCGAAAACGATCTTTCCCTTTTCCTCAAGACAAACTGTTCAACAGGGGTTTTCTCTGATTCAGCAGTTGATTCATCAGCTCGAGGTTCTCCTCCACTGTCAGGTGCATCAGGCTGATCCTTTGCAGTAGCCTCTGGGACTACAGTATCATCTTCCTGAACAGGTGGCAGCTGTACTTCTAATGGAGACAGGGCACCGGGGAGACTGATGTCGGAAGAACTGAAGAGGGGGTTGGTGTCAATGTGATCTGGATCAACATTCGCAACTGCGTCCTTCAAAGAAAATAATATTCAAAATGACTTTTGTCTCATCAAATCTTAATTCCCTTTTTCCTTTAAAATGAATACATTGCAATAGTATCAGTTAGAATATATAGTTGGTGTCTTTTTTTATAACTTCATGAGTCATCTGGTATTTGTGGGTTTAGCTAAAACCAAGATGAGATGTATATTTTAACCAGATGTTTTTCCTGTAGGACATCACATGGAGTATATAAACAGACCATTGAAGTATTTCATAAACACTCACCCATCCTCCGTTTTGCAGAATAAAGTCTGCAGTCCTGTCAGCTATCAGTTTCGTAGCATATTCTGTCAGCCTGCCAATGCCTGAGGTACCAGTTTTTGTCAAGCCCACTGCTGCCAGTTTGGTGAAGCGCAATAAAAGGGCCACCTACAAACAACACAAGGGTAATTGTCTTAGAGATACATTTTGCCCCACTTTATCATAGTGCAATTGAATTCACTGATAGTGTAGTTCCACTCCAGCAAGTGTCCTGACAGTCCCAGCTGCTGCAATTGGCCTTGTCTTGTTTTTTAAATATTGCTTTGGAAATACTTGTCAAAATATTTTTTTGTGTTGCACTTTGCCTATATGTACATCAATTTTTTTAAAAAAATCTCAAACATGCCTAAACTGAACAAAAAATTAATATAATATGGCTTTAAATACTTAAATTCTATTTGCTATTATATTCCATAATTCCCCTTTACCTGTGTAGTTCCTGGCATTTGCTGCCCCATCACATGTGATGCCGTGTTCTGAAATATGTCATAAGTCAGGGTTTCAGATGGATAGGTGAGTATGGTATCTATGGCTTCCTGCAGTCTGCGGTTTAACTCTGGATCTTGGCAAATCTGGTCTCCTAAAAGTGCTAAACGTTTGGCCACTGCAGTCTGTGGAGTCATTGGAGTTTCACAGCATGTACCTGTTGGTGATATTACACGATGGCCACTTCCTGAAGTATGAAATAATTTATATCATACCAATGAAAATGCTAAAAATTCCAGGTTATTTTTTACAAATAACTATAAATCATTATTTCACAAATAGAAATTGAAGTTAGTACATTTGTTATACTATTTCCATTAAGTGCAAAATACTGCCATACAAGGGCTAAGAAAAGAAATATTTTTACTTGAAAAAAAAAATNAAGAGCTCTTCAAGTTAAACAAGAGTTATCACAGGTGATTACAGTCATCGCAGATGAAAAGTTCTGTGGAGTTGAAGTTGAACAACGATAAGAATTGCACACATGATTGAGGTGGTCCAAAGCTGGACAACCCGAAAAACAAAGGCAATTTGTTGTCATTTCTAGTAAATGACTTTGAAGCACAAAAATTACTCACTGATTACTAAATAACAGCCCAGTACATCAGAGAGATTATGGTCTTTATGGACAGACACTATGTGTCTGGATATTTATTTTGATCTATATATATCTGAAAAGACGAAGTATTTTACATTGATTGTGTTAAAAAGTTTTAATTTTTATTTACTAATGTTAATTTTATTGTTAAATTTTTCTCAGGTGTAACTTATGTCCTTTAATTTATATTTGACTGATTTAAGTGAGGGTGAATTACTTGCATTACTAAAAAAGGTAATGGCTAATTTTAAACCATTGGTTTGATGAGATGAAAAGGGCAAGTTATAGAAAGAGATTAAGCATAATATTGCTAAGATGTAATAAGCTTGTGATTTAGAAATGTTACAAGTATAGTGTTTTGTCTCGTGTGTGTTGAATTATATGATGTAAATATTTCAGTGTCTCAAGATTGTGGTTATTGGCTATGAAGTTTTTAAAACATTGCCATATTAACATTTTGTTTCCAATTCTTAGACTGGCTTTTTCAAAAGTGAATTTGTTGCTTCTCAGAAGAAATATTTATTGTTCGTTTTCCATACCTTTGAAAGCCATCATCACAATGGCACAAAACCTATGCATCTGTAGTATCACTTTCCTTAGGATATCTTCCATTGTCAAATTAAGTAACTTACAAGTCTATAAAACCTTTGAAGTGCACTTGGAAACCTGTCCAGAATCCTGCCAGCATCCTTATTATCAGAGTGGTGACTCTCCTCTACCCAGTATACATGTAAACCTTTTCTGGTTTAGAGGAGGGTTCAATTCTGAGTTTGGATGCTGGAAACCAGTTCTGTGTTGGTTGTGATACAATCTTTATAAGCAATACAATTTTGTAATAATGACATATTTGTTTAATAAAATGAAGTGAAATGAGTAATGTTATTCAGGTTTTTGATAATGTCCCAGTTACACTTTTCTAGACCTCTTGTTGGTCAGTCAAATTCAATTTTTATTGTATCCTCCATCTTATTTCCTCTCGTATCAATGAAAATACAACCACAGGTACTGGAGATTTTTGATAAGCCATGTTGAAGCAAAACATCCAATTTTTACCTCTCTTTGTAATTAAAATGATTAAAATCCTGTAATTATGTGAATTAATTGTTGAGAATTTATGCATCTGGCAATCATCAATCTAAATTAATCCTGAGCTTCCTGACCCAGCTTATTTGTATATGTTGTAAATTTTAAAACTGGTCACATTCTCCATACAATACGGGTTTTAGACACAATGCTCTTTAATCATTGCCGATTATTTTGATTTCATTAAAAAATGTTAAGTCGCAGGATGGAGTAAGTGATTCCTTGAATGGACAATTTTACGAATTCAATTCACTTCTTAAAGTGGATTTTTAAGTAAACATTAAACCCTAGCTTTACAGTCTTTCTCCTTGACATAGTTAACTGCTGTTGGATGGGATGAGAAGCAATCAGTTCTGTAAATGAAAATTCATTTTACTTTTATCCATGAATTTTATTACATGTATACAATTTTCTTTTTTATGACACAATCACAAATACAGTCATTTAAACTAAAGTTGATGCTTCAAATTTGGCAAATGTGCCAATCGATTATTTCATGTGAACACTTTTAAGGCCTTTCATATTAAAATATGATTTTTATCAAATTCATACCTATATACATGTATACTGTATGTAATGTTATTAAGATCTTATCAATAAAAAAGTTACATAACAACCATTACATGCAAAACACATAATTGTTGCACAACCAGAGAGTATTTTGCATGTGATTAAAATATTAAAAAGTCCTACTGCTGAAATATCAAATACGCTTATCAACATTTATAATGTATTGAAAATAATAAATTGTTAAACTTCTTTTATGGAATGTTTTGATGACCATATGAGAAACACTATATATAACTGATATAGTTGAAAAAAAAAATGCTGCCAGTCCTATAGTAATGCCTTATGATGTCCATTAAAATGCTTTATAAAAGGTGATAATCTGCCTATTTTAATTTTCTTAGTCTTAATTGTTGGAAAAGCTTTGATATAATTTTATGCTGTGTTAAAATTTTCATTTCATTCAGCGTTTTCGAAGCAGCAAGATACAGACTCCAAGAGTCAGTACAGCAATTGCTGCTGCACCCGCTGAATAAATAGCCATCGTAGTATAGTAACTAAACCTATCTGAGTCAAAATCACTAGTGCCATCTTCATCCTCATTTGCAAATACCGATTCATCAGACCTTTCTCTCGAAAACGATCTTTCCCTTTTCCTCAAGACAAACTGTTCAACAGGGGTTTTCTCTGATTCAGCAGTTGATTCATCAGCTCGAGGTTCTCTTCCACTGTCAGGTGCATCAGGCTGATCCTTTGCAGTAGCCTCTGGGACTACAGTATCATCTTCCTGAACAGGTGGCAGCTGTACTTCTAATGGAGACAGGGCACCGGGGAGACTGATGTCGGAAGAACTGAAGAGGGGGTTGGTGTCAATGTGATCTGGATCAACATTCGCAACTGCGTCCTTCAAAGAAAATAATATTCAAAATGACTTTTGTCTCATCAAATCTTAATTCCCTTTTTCCTTTAAAATGAATAAATTGCAATAGTATCAATTAGAATATATAGTTGGTGTCTTTTTTTATAACTTCATGAGTCACCCGGTATTTGTGTGTTTAGCTAAAACCAAGATGAGATGTATATTTTAACCAGATGTTTTTCCCGTAGGACATCACATGGAGTATATAAACAGACCATTGAAGTTTTTCATAAACACTTAGGCTTCGTTCACATGCAATGTCTATTTTCTTAAAATCTATTTTCTATTCGCGCTATCTTATGATCACGGTCTGTGCCCTGAATATCCTGTGGCGTAATTACTGGCAGCGCGAGCCAGTTACTTATAGTAACTTATAGTAACTAGCCTGCGCTGCCAGTAATTACGCCGCGGGATATTAAGGGCACAGACCGTGATCATAAGACATACCGCGAATAGAAAATAGAATTTAGAAAATAGACATTGCATGTGAATGAAGCCTTACCCATCCTCCGTTTTGCAGAATAAAGTCTGCAGTCCTGTCAGCTATCAGTTTAGTAGCATATTCTGTCAGCCTGCCAATGCCTGAGGTACCAGATTTTGTCAAGCCCACTGCTGCCAGTTTGGTGAAGCGCAATAAAAGGGCCACCTACAAACAACACAAGGGTAATTGTCTTAGAGATACATTTTGCCCCACTTTATCATAGTGCAATTGAATTCACTGATAGTGTAGTTCCACTCCAGCAAGTGTCCTGACAGTCCCAGCTGCTGCATTTGGCCTTGTCTTGTTTTTTAAATATCGCTTTGGAAATGGTCAAAATATTTTTTTGTGTTGCACTTTGCCTACATGTACATCAATTTTTAAAAAAATCTCAAACATGCCTAAACTGAACAAAAAATTCATATAATATGGCTTTAAATACTTAAATTCTATTTGCTATTATATTCCATAATTCCCCTCACCTGTGTAGTTCCTGGCATTTGCTGCCCCATCACATGTGATGCCGTGTTCTGAAATATGTCATAAGTCAGGGTTTCAGATGGATAGGTGAGTATGGTATCTATGGCCTCCTGCAGTCTGCGGTTTAACTCTGGATCTTGGCAAATCTGGTCTCCTAAAAGTGCTAAACGTTTGGCCACTGCAGTCTGTGGAGTCATTGGAGTTTCACAACATGTACCTGTTGGTGATATTACACGATGGCCACTTCCTGAAGTATGAAATAATTTATATCATACCAATGAAAATGCTAAAATTCCAGGTTATTTTTTTACAAATGACTATAAATCTATAAATCATTATTTCAAAAATAGAAATTGAAGTTAGTACATTTGTTATACTATTTCCATAAGTTGCAAAATACCGCCATACAAGGGCAAAGAAAAGAAATATATTTACTTGAAAAAAAAATCTTTTACAAAACTGACCTTGATGACTGGTGCCTCTTATGTTTTCAATTGATTGTCTGGCCTCTGTTGCAACAGAAACCATCTCATCCGACACCGTGTTTCTTGCCACCAAGTCCAAGCGCAGTGCCAACTTCTTGTGCACAGCTGATGACAGATGTGGAATATCAGCTGATTTACTCCTGAAATGATTATCTTTAAAACTTTGAGCAATTCTTCCCTGATCATTTGAATAAGTTCCACTGGGCACGGAACTTTCACGTAATGACTCAGTGACAGATAAAGAAGGTAAAGTTATGTCACTACTTGTTTCAGAAATAGTATAATTGGTGTGTGAGGAATCCGAATGCACACTTGTATTTGATCCTACTCTCAAACTGCCACCAGGACCAGTGACAGTCATATGACATTCCTCTTGCACAACGTGACCCACATTACCAGTAGCTGCATCTTCAAGATTTATGTCAAGTTCCTCCTTCTGAAACTCCACTTTCACAACACCTGGTGGCAACTGCATAATATCTACACTGTCAAAGTCATGCTCCTCCTCTTCTTCCTCATCTTCTTCTTTTGCATCATAAACTATTTCCAATTTTCTTTTCTCATGTGAATCAAAATGAAAATCAGAAACAGAAGCAGAGTCAGGAGAGGAAGTAATGGACTCTGATTCTGAACTCAAATCAATATTATGAGGATGCAGATGTGGTGGGATAAGGCCAAGATAACTGAGGATCACAAGCTTGGTTTCCAGTAAAAAATCATCTGGAGTGACTGGTGTCCTTGGAGAAGACCGACTTCTGGCGTTTTCTAGAGTACGGTCAGTACCAGTAGCCATCTTAAAAGCATTACTTGTCCTAAAGCAAAGCAAAAGTACTTGTCATATGGCAGCTTTTACTGATATCTTGTACATCGATGGTAAGTTAATTTGATTTTTGGGGTAGAAATTATAATGATATAATGTACTGTACAGTGAATATCGATTTTAACCAGACAATTTCAAAGAAGAAAATACGTACCAAAATAACAACTAGTGCCAGTGACATGGCGTGTCGAATAAACAATGCGGAGTAGAGGTAGTAGATAACGTGGTATCTTTCCCACTGAAGATACTTAAAGGACCCTGAAAGTATGTACATGTAATCTATTGCATTTCAAGAGGTCCAAACCAAAGTAGTTTTCTGCTAGTTTCATGACCTGGGTCTCCTTCGACTAGAGAGTGGATTACCAGGACAGCCTGCACACTAACCCATTATCTTTTGCTTATTATCTTATAACTTTACTCTTATTAGAGATTGAAATTTTCTTGGTCCGATAATACAGCTGTGGGGAATATATGCCATAAATCTTTCCCATTAATTTTCACAAAGAATGTTATAATTATAACATCTTTTCTGACACCTAGCGGTGAAACAATTTTCAAACATGTCTGACAGCGAAGACAACGTGACTGTTCCACAAACAAAGAAAACGCGAGTATCTACTCTCCAAACAGAGGGATCATTCCATACTGAAGGTTCTGGAGATGATGTAGTAAGTGTTCTAGGGCGAACTTTTATCTTCTTATTGTACATCGTACAAAGATATCGATGTCATCAGTTTCAGCTTCAAGCACGAAAATTCATGCTTTGGCCCGAGGCACTCTTTTTTTTTAGCGTGTAATAATTATTTTGATTACGAAGAAATGCCGAAATCTCAAGTAACTGCATAAATGGAAACTTTCATGGCTCTTTTAGGATGAAACATCAAGCTGGTCCAGCAATGTCGACGATGCATCCAGAAGTGAAACTCCAAATCAACCAGGACCTGGCAAAAAGGCTGGGAGAGGAAGAAGAAAATTCAAGAACTGTAAATTGCAATATAAATTAACAAATTATTTAAAGGTGAGTGACATTTGGGGGGGGGGGGGGTTTAATAAGTTGCTTTAAATGACAAATAATACATGTCCAATACATAACAATTAAATGGAATAACATTGTGATAATATTTTACCAAAGAATTTTACCTAACGTGTTGAAGAATCATTAGTTTACAGAATGTTTGTTTTAAAATTCAGGAAGACCATGGTCAGCCCATCTTTGGAATCCAGTTTAATAACAACACAAAGGATGGAGATCCGTTGAACTTTGCTTCTGTGGGAAGTAACAGAGTACGAGTCCATTTTATTTATCAGTTTTTTCTTTTCTTTCTTTCCATCTTTCATTCTGTGGAAGGAATAGGTATTCAGTGGTATCAGCTTGGCCTTCCAAGTCTGACACGTTGACATAATTCTTGGTAACAAATTTCTTTGTAAAAAATAAATAATTAAAAATTCAAAACAGTATGTGTCATAGAAGTTTGTTTATTAGGTACAAAGATGAAAGGACTTCAAATTTTTAGATATGTTTCTGTGTTTTTGCTTTCTTTTAGGTCACAGTATATGAATGTCAAAAGGAAGGGAAGATTAAACTGCTTCAGGCTTATGTTGATGCAGATGTATCCTTTGACTTAAATTTTGAAAACAGAAAATGTGCAATTTTATTCCTCTTGCTTAAAATGGTCGTATTGTCTGCCAAGTGAATAATTTAAGAAAGTGATTATCCTTAATGGATTTAAGCCAGAGGAAAATTTCTATACATGTGCATGGACATATGAGGACACGTCTGGACAGCCAATTCTAGCTGTGGCAGGCCTTAGAGGAATTATTAGGATAATAAGTCCAATTACTATGCAATGTGTTAAGGTAAGACCCAAATTATCAATAAATGAAGGATTTTTTTTTAATTTTAAAAGTTGTTGATGTATGTGTGTGTTTTTGGATGACACATTTGGAGGGTATTATAAAGATTTATTTTCTTTTTTCAGCATTTTATAGGTCATGGAAATGCCATTAATGAATTGAAGTTTCACCCAAGAGATCCCAATATTTTGATGTCAGTCAGTAAAGGTTTGCAGCTTAAAACTCTTCTTTTTTTACGTGCAATGCTTTACATCATGATTTATGTTTTAACAATTTTCACTGGGAGAAGTTTTGGCTAATAACCCCTACCAAAGTCACCAGGGCCATCCTTGTGCATATGTAAGTGTGCATAAACCTTTTTTTGGTGCATTTCTTATAGTATATGCAGTTGTATTTTTTTCCAGACCATGCATTGAGATTGTGGAACATCAAGACAGACATCTGTGTGGCTATGTTGGGAGGTGTGGACGGACATAGAGATGAAGTACTAAGTGCAGTAAGGACATAAGAAAATTGTGTGCTTTAAGAAATGGAAAAAAAAAATTGTAAAAGTATTTATAGAAATACCCCCAGTAATGTCAGACTTGAATTGATGGCTTACGTTACCATAAGACTAAGAGTATCAAAATTGCCATGTTTCTCAGTATTTATTTTTTGTGGACAAGAGCGTTGATTAATGTTATTTTTCATTCTCAAGCTTACAGAAATGAATCCAAGAGCTGAAATGCAGCTTCAGTCTGATTGCAACATTTACTCGAATTTCTAATTAATTTTGTAAATTTTAAAATTTTTTTTACATTTTTGGAAATTGCAGTGTGTGAATTTGAATTTCAATAGATTTAAAGCCTGTTTCCATTTTTTTCAGGATTTTAACATAGATGGTAGTAAAATTGTATCTTGTGGAATGGACCATTCTTTAAAGATCTGGAGACTTGATCAACCCAAAGTTCGGGAAGCTATTGAGAATTCTTACAAATTCAATGTCAATAAAGAAAATCGGTATGTGCATAATGGACATAGATACAGTTTATTCAACAAAAGCTACTTTGAGTTACCTTTATTAATTACTATATATTGGTGATAAAATATTTTTAATCTGTTGCTTGGGTAATGGTGAATATAACAATTACATATCATATTTTGCAGAATGAATTATTTCCAAATAAGAGTTGGGTTGATCTGTTTAATTAAGTTATCATCATTATTATAATTTTCATTTAATATTAAATTTTTCCATTTTAGACCATTTAAAACAGTGACAGACAATTTTCCATATTTCTCTACACGGGATATTCATAGAAATTATGTAGACTGTGTTAGATGGTTCGGCAACTTCATTCTTTCCAAGGTAAGTGTGAAAACTAAAATAAAATCCATGTTTGATATGTAGTCTATTGCATCTTACACAAAAAAGATTATGTCAGTGGGTACTCATTTCAATCAATGAAAATGCTCAATTGGATTGATTTGAACTCAATTTTGCCATCGTTTTAGTCCTGTGAAAACAGCATAGTTTGTTGGAAGCCTGGCACCTTATCCCAGACAGACAACACTGTAGACAAAGACAAGGTCACTGTACTGCACAGGTTTGACTACAGAGATTGTGATATATGGTACATGAGGTTCTCCATGGACTATTGGCAGAAGGTACCAAGGATCATGATCACTTTTCTTTTAAACTTTTTCGTTTTTTAATTTACATCTGATAAACCTTATAAAATGATAGGTGAAGAATGTGGCAGCTGTTATTGCTCAGGTTTTGAAGGCTTGGATATTTAGCCAAAATGTACCACTTCAGGTTCATATTTGAAGTTGTCATTGTAACAGAACATGATTAAATAATAATTATAATGATGATTATTAGAGAATGAAGGTTTACTTTTATTCTTCAGGCTTATTTTCCCCTAACATGTTTTTTTCCCTCTCTCCAGGTGTTAGCATTGGGCAATCAAGTAGGTCGCATTTTTGTATGGGATTTGGATGTAGAGGATCCTCAGCTGACAAGGTAACGTGACAAGTTAAAAGTAACTTTTTCTCAGGTCTCTATTACACATTTCAAAAATGTATCTTGTTAAAGTGGCTTGAAATTGACTATATTGTAGGGAAAAGGTTGTTTCCGATGAGTTTCAATTTAAAAGTTAAACTAAATGGCGTGCAAGGGGGTAAAAACAAACAATTTAGCTTTGTATGAGATAGCCACTAAAATTTCCTCAGTTTTTACAAAACAATTATTTCCTGTAAGGAGAAATGTAAAGAAAAGAAAGTTTCCATGCAAGGATCAAAGAAGCAATCCATTTTGTATAATGTTTTTCCACAATTTCAGGTGTACAACTTTGGTTCACCAAAAATGTGCTACTGCAATTCGTCAGACTCACATGAACAGAGATGGTAGCATCATTCTAGCTGTCTGTGATGATGCAACCATATGGAGGTGGGACAGAATCAAGTAAAGACATTCCATGTACAACAATAGCAAATACAGCATTTTTAGTGAACTTTTTATTCGTGGATTTGACAGTGGTGCCATGATTTTGAAGGAACAAGGATATGTACTTTAATTGAGACAAAAAATTGTAAATATCTATGTGTATATATATCAGTTCGTTTTTAAGAATTGATGTCATCCACACCAGTCTTTATATGCAGAAAGTAGATCCAGATGTGTGTCCGTTGAAGAGAAAGCAGCTTTAACAGAACATTATGATAAGGTCACATGTTCCAACATGGATTCTTTACACCTTATAGAACACACAATTGAAACTATTAAACACCTTTTCAAATGACTGTTGCAATAGTTCTTTTGCAAGTTACCCCTGAATATATCAAAGTCAGAAGGATGCTTTAACTGTGAAGGAAGAAAGCTAGCATTGCCACTTACAATTTATTGCTCTTTGCTTGAGGACTTTTTGATAATGAAAATATCTTGAAAAATAGATGTAGAGTAGCACATCACTGATTTCTTATTTTTTTTACAAAAAAAAAAATGCCTTGTAAATAAAAATATACCAAGTTTTAGTGATAATATACATGGTTCTTTTAAATATTGAAATAAACATCACTAAAGAAAATTATTCAACTTTCATAGCAATACTCATTAATTCCTTTTAAAATTATTTTTGTTACGAATATAAAATTTTGTGTATAAGGATATGCACATACTTCTTAATATATTAAGTGCAAAATCACAGTGAAAATTTTGCAAGCAATCACATCGATAAAAAAGTTAATTGTTTCTAAAAAGACAACATTTGTTTACCCGTAAGGCATGTAATTTGGATCTTCACCAAAGAGCCTTGATCACATTACACTTGTCCAAGAGAAGTTACTTGTATACAGTTTGGTCAAACACGTTTTAATGCAATACATGTATTGGCGGTTACTGGACAAAAATTGCAAATTTTGACCGGGTTGGTTTTTCCCTCTAGCAGAACTCCATTGCACAAATAACACTTCTTATTTGGCTGCTTAAGAGGAAAACCATGTTTCTGGCACAAAACTCCTTGTTTATACATTGGGGCAAATTGTCCACAGATAAAGCATGCATCTTTTCGCTGCCCGAAATAAGACAGACCCATTTTAGAAGAACAAAAAATACACATCTCCACTTTGACTCCTGTTTCACCAGGTACTGGCAATCTGCACAAGTATCTCTAGAAGTCAAAAATTAAATAAAAAATAAATAATAATAATAATCATTAACATAAGGCAGACTTGTGCTGGGATGGATCTTTGCTAAACGCTAAGGAAATAAAAAATTAACAAGAAATATATTTTGCCAATTTATCTGAAACCGTTTCTTTTTTAAATCAGAATGATAATAAATAGTACATGGCTAAGTTTCTTGATTATACTGTCAATAATCCGGGGAAAGTTTCTTTTTAAGCTAAATATATCACATTTCAAGCATAATTATTACAACATTTATTGGTAATAAAAGTTAACCTGCTTCTTTACCAATTACAGATATATATTTACTTATTTTTTTCTATACAAACCTGGTCTAAAAAGTGATAAACTTACTGGTAAATACATGCGCCGCACATGGGTCAACTGTGAGTTATGTCTTGCATTTTGAAAGAACGCAATTAGCCTGAAAATAAGGTAATGAAATTATTATACCAACAAATAAGTTTATAATAAGGCACTGTGGAGCAGACACCATGCAATGAAAGCAGTTACTGTAACTGGAAATTTGAACTGCCAAGCAAGCACTTTTAACTTACCAAGGAATCATTTCTTTGCAAACCAATTAAAACAGATTAAAATAGAACACATACTTGTCCTCAGCTTCAGCTTTTGAATAATGTTTTGCTATTTCTATGGTGTGCATTTCAGGTTGCCCACTAAAGTTTTCATAATAATCAGCCAGGTACAGGTGCCAGTATGCTGCATCTTTTTCACTGGTGATCAGCTGCTCTTGCACAGCCTGCAAGAAAATGTCGTCTCCGTTTTTTAAAATGAGAAAAACCAGCATTTCAATAAACATTTTGCTCCCTGCCAGCTTATTTTAGATAACTTATTCAATTTTTATGGTTGTATTGTCAGTATATTATTCTAAAAGAAGCACAAGAACTAAAGAAAAATATTGACCTCGCAAAAAGTCTTGTGGAAAAACACCACCCTCTCCACAGCACTGTTACATGATACACATCGCAGAAATGGTTTGAGCTGTCTTCTCACATTAGCCCACACCATAAGAGGTATTGGCTGCCCATGGGCTGCATTGCCCAACAGACTCAACAGTGCATATTCAGGTAGACCAGTACCAGAGACTTTCATCAGACATAAAAACTGAAGAAAAGTGAAAACGTTTTATATATGCAAGAAGCGTGCAGGTAAGGACATAGCTTAATTACAGAGAGTGAATTAGTTAAAGCTGTTTTATCACTGAATTTTAATAGTAATATTCTATCCTTTAAAAATGATTAGAATTCAGCAGTTATAAGAAGTGAATCTTCAGTGACCTTATAATACATAATATACCTTTTTCATACAGTTGGTTTCATCTTCCTCCACCAGTCTGGTGATCACCTGCTTCAGTAAACCACTCAAAGAATCTGGAAATTTCTGAATTTTAGTGGTTATTTTTTTAAAGTTTCCAAAGACTCGTAACTCTTCACAAGCAATTGTGAGCCACAAGGGACAGTTGGCTAGAGGGTTTGCCAGTAACAGTTTCATTTGTGTGCTGTCTAAAACCTGAAATTACAACAGTAATAACAAAATTATTCACTGGTTGAAAACGGTATGCAACCTTTTAATTATCCAATACAATTCAAGAAATGGGGCATGTCACTTCTATATATGAAAATTTTAAAATCATAAAAGTAAAAAAAAAATACCTTGCTGTATCTTTTCAAGTATTGCTCTACATAACTGCTTTTTGCATTTTCTGTTAGCCCAGGCAAAAGCCACCACTTTGGTCTCAATGCCTTTAACCTTGCAATGGTTGGCAGATTTTCTCGTCTTGTAGCTAAAATACAGCGTATCTTTGAGGGAAAGCTAGCAGGCAGCCAGTCGAGTCCATGTGAAAACTGAAAATAAAATATCAAGTTCTGCAATGACAAACTTTTATGTATATTATACATTTTAAAAAAAAGTGTCCAAAGAGCGTAACTACAAGTCAAGAACAAAAGCAATGAAAACTTTCCCATTCCCATTAATAAGGATGACATTATGACAAACATTACGGGCAACTAAATCTATCACACTTAAATTTTTTAATTGATCATTCTTGTTTTCTTCAGTTGTTCCTTGTGTGCTTTAGGGGACTTTTGTCAATTCATTTATTATAACAAAGGTCCTACCTCATCCAAACCATCAATAACAATTAGCAGTGGTGGTTGCTCACTGTTTGTGAGCTTCAACAGCAAGTCTTCAAAATGCTTTACAAGGGCTGTCTCATTTTCCTTCATGCCTTTTATTTTATCCATACCTATTTTAAATAGATTTGATTTCAAAATTACAAGAACCTTTAGAGACAAAATTAATGAGCAGAGATATGAGCATAATGTTTCAAACAATAAGTTATGGTTGATTTTGGATATAAACAGAATGATGCTCAAAGCAACACAACAGGAGTGGAAAATACCTAAACATTTATTATGTTAGGGAAAACAAATGCCATATCAAGGAGGATTTAACAAAAGTTAACAAACTGACGATAATGTAAGGCTCAAGCTTCCCCTACATCCTTTGCAATAAAAAATGTTGAGTGCAGCACTTTTTAACCCCGTCTTCACTCAAGCATGGATCCAACAATGCAGAAAGATATGTTACTTTGTAAAATCTTACCTAGTTTTTTTGCCATAATGGTACTCACTTTCTTTGTCAGGCTCAAGTTTACATATCAGCCTGTATAATAAAAGTGCATGGTCATTGCTATAGGGACTGCTGCCAACAAAATGGTAGAACACATTCAACCCTTCCTGAAACAATAAGAATGATAACATATTTTAAAATTATGTATGTTATTAAAATACTGGAACTTAAAAGAATAAATTCTGTTGATAGTTTAAGGGGCAATATGGGATAAATGACCTAAAATGTTTTCAGTTAGGGTAAAATAATTTTTATGTAAATTTTGATGTTTTTTCTAAAAGTTCTCATGTGCTTTTAAAACAAAGTCTGGTAAATACCTAAGAATTTAACTAAATTGAACTACCTTTGGTAATATATTCTAAAAAGTTAGCCATTAGTTGCACTAAGAACAACTCATATTTTAAACACATCAAAAACAGTATCTTCATGCCCTGTTCATTATCTTCAGTTGAAAGAAAAAGTGACATACCTAGGAAAGTTTCAATATTTTTTTTGTAATTGGAATGATTTTTAATGAATACACATTCAAAACAAATGTTTCTGAAAATATAAAATATAATACATGAATCTTTAATTATCTTGTTCAAACAGATTACAGAATAACCCTGTCAATTATTAGAAAGATGAAAGAAATATACTCGATAGTAAACTAAAGGAAAACTCTTCTTAAAATAATGTACCTCAGAGGCTTTTTGTACCAGTCCAGCCATAAGTGATGTTTTTCCACACCCTGCCTGTGAGCAAATACATAATATTGGTGTTTCTGTATCTGATGATTGACCTTCAATACCACTTTTACCTTTAAAAAAATCAACATAATATATTACTGAGGGACACAAGGAAAAGGTTATTTTGATTGAAATTTTTGTAATTGTCCATTAAATGTGTGTTCTCCCAGTGTATTGAACTATTTACAATTGTAAGTATTTTTAAACACTGTATAAGTAGTAATCCATAGTGATATATATCTATTTATTTATTTATTTATCTATTTGTAGTATAGAGGGCTAATAAATGTAACTGTCACATTTAATGCTTGAATAAATTATTATTATTATTATTATTACAAATATCAGCTGCAAAATGTGATAAAAATACAGTCTGAATGTTTTTTGTAGAAATCATTTATCAATAGACAACTGTTTATTTACAAACAATCCATCATACCAAATTCCTGCAGAATGACACTTTCTTCATCTTTGGGATTTTCAAAATCACCTGAAGACATTTAAAGAGCAAATCATCATAATGCTGAAAGTATTTGCAAAAAAAAATTTTTTTTGAAACCTGGTAAAATATAGACATAAAGCTTTACAAAAACCTTGAGACTTTCTTGACAAAGTGAGGCACAGAATCACTTCCATTAACATCCTCTAAATTAAACCACACCATAAGATTAAAAAAGCATGTATTTACCACAAGTATTGTCTGCTGGGTAGGGGCCCCCTTTGGCATAAGCCAGCAGCACCTGTACCTCTTCCTCTCTTCCAATTAATCCCTCTGACTTCTGTTCTACATATTTCTTTTGCATTGCATCCTCTGCAAATAAATATATCATACAAAAAGAAAAGAAATAAGGTACCAGCTGACAAATGAACGTCACACAAGTTTTAGCATAAAAGAATATATATATGTATGTCTACACATCTTTCTCAATCTTTAGCCAATTTACTAGAAATAAAATATTTTCTTACCATATTCATCACTGGGTAATGTTTTGATATCTCTTTGGTTAGGGAATGTTTTCTCTATGGCATTTTTGTAGAAATATAAAACTTGAGTAGCAAAATCCTCCAGACCAGTAAGTTTAGCCTACAGAATAGATGAAAACTCTACTGCAAAATTCCAAATAATGAACAATTTCTTTTAATTTACATTTTAGACTACACAGAAAAAATATGTCCAATTAAGGAAACTATATTCATCTTACTTCAGAATCAATGACCTGACAGTCATCAAGCATTAGTGCATTATTTTCAAAAGAAAAAATTACAATACATAAAAAAAGCAAACAAATATTTACTTACCTTTGGACGTGTTCCATGTTCATTCTCCAAACTGACTTCACATGAATAATGGAATGTTTGATTTGGGAATCTTTTATTCAGATTTTCTTTCAGCACCTAAACAAATCACATAAGCACTATTTACACAAATTTCCTAAGTAAGCTTTCCTAAGTAAGCTTTTCATAACACTCATTACATGTATCTTTATATATCCTTATGTATTTAAATTTTCAAATTTTCAAACAAAAAACAGTCTTGTTTAAAATAATTTTAAAAATATTCAAACCTTCAGATGTTCTCGGGGTAGCACACCCTTCTCATAATATGCATCTGCACACTGTTCAGGCAAATCTGCTAAAAAATCTTTTTCTCTGATGAAAAAGGCAGCATTGAGATTTTTTGTTCTAAAAAAAAAAAGGAGTACAGCATATCTTTTAAAATTTATCATAACAATTTTAGGAAGATGTTTTAATTCAAAGGTAAAAAAGAGCCAAATATTAACTATGCTACACATCCAGCTCACCCTAAAAAAAACCCCAAAATATATCATCTTATAACACTGTGGTAGACCAGCAGCAAAAAGAAATTTTCAAATGGTTTCATTAATACCCTTCGCTTATTTTAATAAAATTATTAAATTAAAAATTAAAATACCATATCTGTAAGCTGTAGCATGATATCTCTTAAATGTATACATTTTAAATTTTCTTTGCGCCTTTATGTAATTATTTATGATGACAATGTGTGTGAGTGCACATGCGCATTTGCATGCATGTATGTGCGTGAACACATTTTAAAATCAATCTTATAACCTTGATTTTTCAACATGTATATTTTTTTAGTATGTGATCTGACCTGTATCCTCCATATAACACTTCCATACATGTGATGGAGGTATTGGGCACCCACAGGTACTTCTCCTGGACAGCCTCTGGCACATCTGACAATGATGGGATCCATCCATATCTAGAAGAGAATCCAATTGGAAAACAAAGGTAAAAATAATAGTAGCACTAACATTTAGAACTACTGGTATACATATGCTTTCATTTGTATATATGTTTGATCTCATGCCTCTAGGTTACTAAAACTGACCTTTCTCCCAATAGATTAAGAAAGAAAGGTTTCCCTTCAGTTTCACTGTGACACCTGTCCAGCTCCTCTAAACACGTGGCAATGGTGGCAGCAGTTGTTGAATCACTGGGGATACCCCAGCGTAAATCACACTCCACCAGATGGATTTTCCGTTCTTCACACCATTCACGTAGCTCAGGAAAGACCTAATAAGAAATAGGTTAATTAAAGGAAGGAATTAATTTCGCTAATTGAGACTGAGGATGGTCAGGATCAAATCATCACAAATGGAGTGCATCTCTTCAAGATGTTTTCACTGATTAATGATAGGCCTAAGGGAAATGCTTCCCATCTTTTTTATTTTTTAAACATCAGTGAAATTGTGTTCATCAGTCCTTTGGTCTGTGATTTCTTCACTTGTGCATCTACTAGTACCTTTTTCACCAGAACCTCCCTTTCTGAATGGAAATCTCTAAATGTGGACGATACAAATATTCTAGCAGTTTTCCAGCCTGTGACATCACTTTGTAGTGTCTGATCTGCTGAAGGACAGTAGCACTTCTTTTCAAGTCTTTCACATTGTCTATCAATTTCTTCCCAACACCCTGCTACTTGTTCTTGGCTGCTGATTTTGTCAGATTCAAGATCAGGTTCCTTTTTGTTGGTCCCATGTGGCGCAGACTTTAAATAAAAAAAGCTCAAATAAATATTCCCTGACACTCAATTAATAAAAGTAAAAATCCAAACATAAACTGCATTAGCAAATCACATAAATAAAAACTTAAAATTAACATATTTTACTGGTAATTACATGAAAGTTCAGTATATTTCACAATTTCATGACATTACCCTTGAAGATATATTTGGTCCCTCTCCTCCATGGCCCGCTGTTGAAGACTACAAATACAAAAGGAAACTACTTTCAACATTTAAATATATCATTTTAAAATCCACCCCTAAGACTAAAAGAAACATAAGGATATTTATATAATCAAGATAAAATTTCCATTATATTGTTTTAAAAACTTAAAAGTTACAAAGCTTTAAAAGTTTAACAGATATCACTTGAAAATATTTAATGAAAGTTGGCCTTGGTTGTGGAAGGTACCGTACCAGATAGTACATCTTTGAGCAGGACATAACTAATTATTTTTGTAAATTATTTTTTGTGTGCATCAAACTTTTTTTCACTCTAGATTACCTAGTTCACAAGCAAGCTCAGGATAATTTATATTTAGCACTCTGAGTTAAACTATTGCCAAAGTGACAAACAAAATTTGGCCTTTAAAAATTGGCCTTATGATTGTGCAATGAATAACAATGCTGGGAAAAATGACCCTAATTTGTTTTAAAGGTCTACGGGATCCTGAACAAAGAGGTGATAAAACTCAAACTCAAACACAATTTTTAGGTTAGGTATACTGTTTGACACATGGGAGCACTGGACTATCAAATATCATTCAAATGTCAATTACATGAATGTTACTCAGTACCTTGGTCTCTTCTGATTTCCTGGTTATAATTGAGCCCATACTGAATTGTCAGGAACAGTTCACTGGCTAGATTTTGTCCTTTTTAGGTTCTGCAAACAGCAACTGCAATTCACAATCAATACAGTATGGCATTTCCATATGAACTGACACAGCTTGTTTATCATAAATGACTAAGCAGTTTCAGTAAAAGATTTTGCATCAAATACGTCAACAGGTAGCACAAAATGTCATGTGTTAGCACATTTATATATATTTACGGTTTTTGTTATGTATGTTAATAGAAATTAAAATGAAAACGCATTGGCTTAATTTTCGGCCTTATAATTTTATACGCTAGGCACGTACCTGAGGTAATTAAACCTAAACCGTAAACAGGCAAGCTGACGCAAATTTTCGTTTTGTGCCCTCACGAGTAAATTGTAGGTAACTTGAATCTAAAATGTTTTACCAAATTTATTGAGTTAACGTCAAAAACCGCTCATACATAGACAACAAGTGAATACCTTGTTCATGCATCCCCGGTTTTTATCCAGAGATTGATAAATGTCATAAATGCACTTCTTCCTAACTACTGCACGTGATCTGTTTGTTTACAGGGGCCGACCGGTTTACAGTTGTTGCACCACGCAGAAATCTTGCGAGGGTGAAGGGAATATTCGGTAGACTTAGACCTACTTTGTTTAAAAACAAAGAGCATTGCAAGGTTTATAGAAGGTGCAGATATATATTTACGCTTCTGTAGAAATTAAAAATAATACGGATGGCACTGAAGACTAACATAAAGCGGTCAAGGTATGATCATGTGACTGTTTAAAATGGCGGCGCCCAGGCAAAAACGTGTGGTTGGTTGGTTGAACAGGTGAACATGTTTTGTTTTATTATCAGGTGGTTTAAATTTTCAATAAGTACAAATATAGGGCACGGTCCCCTTAGTCCTACTGTATCCAAATGATCACAACTCAGCACCTTTATATCGTGCTGTTAAAAAGAATAAGACATGCCGAAATGGTCGTTTCATTTCTTTAGTTACTCATTAACTTTTCTTCAGGTCTGAGTGGGAAAGAGTGTACCATGGACTATACAGTAATGAAGTGAGAAAACAACAGCAGGCCATACAGAGGGTAGCTGTGTGGAAAAACAGGTAACAAATTGGTTAAAATGCGAATTTATTCAACGGTGTCATGGGCTTTGTGGCATTTTTGTCCTGTGCAAATGTATACCAGTACATGTACAAGAGGTAGGTGGCTGCCTAACTATAAGAAGTCACCAATCTCCACATCCATTTTCACCTATTTTGGTCGTTAGATCAGTTTTCAACACAACATTGAATTAACTAATTTGATAGTTGGTGGAATTTAAAACACATTGATATGTAATATATGTTTTACAGAATGTTACATAGACTGCCTGTTGCTGTGGAATGTACTGCTGCACTAGTTGAGGCTTGTCTGGATCACAAGGCTGCTGTCCAGAAGGGACCACATTTACCAAATCATACCAAATTCCAGCATAACTTTGCAATGGCCTTGATAAGGTGATGATTTTAAAATTAAAAAAGTAAATAACTTTTAGAAGCAGAAGGACTGGCATATCTATCCAAATCTGTTTAGGATAGAATTTTGAATTATAAAGAATTATGTTTTAGATTTAATGGAAAAGAATATGGCATAGATATTGTTTTACTAATCTCTTTATTCTGTGAAATATAGTGGACATCATGGAATGGTCTATATTCTTATAGGTTTGTGAATTTGATGACTGAAAATAATCAAAACAAGCAATATGCACAGCCAGTGCACATCTTAGCAGAAGAGGTAAGCACAGCTCACCTTGGTATAGTTGCACATAACATTAGAGTGGTACAGAATCTTTAATTGAAGTAATTTTTGATTATTTTGAATATGAGGATGATTTTAATTGATAATGAAATTTTGTCCATTGCATTACACACACACACACACACACACACACACACACACACACACACACACACACACACACACACACACACACACACACACACACAAAGAAAAATGTAGATTTATTAACAGACATTCCCTTTGAATTATGAACATGTACAACTAGTACAATTTTATTTTCAGCTTGCTATACCACAGTGGCTAGTGGAATTGAGGCATGAATCATCTCACACTTCAATGCCATCTCTAAACTTACTAAAGTCTGGGGCAAAGTTGGCACTTAATTGGTTAAAAGTAAGCTTGTTAAAGCATTTTTATGAATGATGGTTAGCTCTTTTATTTGTGACATCATGATTTTGACAATTAAATGTTATTTATAATATGAATTGTGCAATTTTTTAAAAACTAGAACAATGTATATAGAAGGAAACAAGGTGAAATTAGTTTGATAATTCTTCCAGATGTAGCACTCATCAGGATGCAGAATTAGCAAGAGGTATAGATCTTGTACTTTGATGCTTTTTTTTTGGGGGGGGGGGGGGGTTTAGGGGGGAGCAGTGATTGAAAAGAAGATGCTTTTGGGACAAAAGTAATTATAGTTTCAAAAAGTTATCATTATGTTTAAGAGGGAATACTGGGAACCACAGAACTTGCAGGATTCAAGTGATAGTGAAGATGACACCTGTGACCCAATTATAGAAGACAAGTTCAAAGATTTAGTATATGCTTTTCAGCAAGAGCAATTTAAGGTAAGTCGTAAGCTAAATGACATTGCCAGGTTTAAGAGGCATTCATCTATTTTTTGTTTGCATATCTGTATGGTCTATTTTCTTTAATGTTTATGATAATGTGATAGATCTTGTTTGGTTCTTTTTGTTCATCTTTAAATTATAAGTGAAAAGAGTGTGTTTTGTAGCAGAAATGATTTTAAAAGAGGTGTTTTTTCTAGCTTCTCAGTGAATTCAAGCAGCCAAGTAAAGCAGACAAGAAGGAATTACAAAGTATATTGGATGATCTCGAAAAAACTGCTTTAGGGCAAAGGTACAGACTTGAATAAAACTACATTTTATTATAGCATTTTTAGTCAAAATATTAAAGAATTAAGCTATAATGTTTCATGATATAACAATCATTGGAAATATGCCAAATTTGGTTTATTTAAGCTGTTTTTTTTATTGTTTTATTTATATCTATATGATAGTGTATTATCTTAAAATTAATGTAAGAACAATATTGAATATGTTTCAGGAATAAAGCAATTAGCTGGTTATGTGAAGAAGGCTATTTCATATCAACTAGTGAACAGCTTGATGCACTGGGGATCTGTGTGGAAGGTAAGGGTTAAGTGTATTAATGACCATAAGTTTAAGCTATATATATATATATATATAGCTTAAACTTATGGTCATTAATACACTGCCATTTTACACCCACACTTTAAAATCATGACTATAGTTATATGGGGACTTAAAATAACATTTCATCTTGGTAATTAATATAAGTGAAGAGTACTAAGTTGCCATATCTAACCTGTCTTACTTCCAACTTACTTTTTGTCCCCCAGATAACAGGGAACCAAGTTGTGCTTATCTTAATCAAATTTCAACCTGATTTAGAACAGCCAATTACTAGCACCTTGTGCACAACAAATTATTAGACAAAACAAACAAAAGTGCTGTTTCTAGAGAAGAACCAGAGCAATGCAAAAAGGCATTGGATTTATTTTATGAAAGCATTGCTACCACCAGTCAAGTTATGTGTTTGTCAGAAAGGAAGAGATTGCATAGTATGCCTTGCAAGGGTTCATAAGCTGTATGCAAATAAGGAATCCTTGTGTGAGGAAGTTGCAAACCTCAACTACCTTGCACCTTTTTATATAAAACTGTGAGTGATTTTTAAATAAATGCATTTATATTTATGAAAAGAAATTTCTGTATAAATTGTAGATTTCATAACAGCTGACAATTTGGATATTCCCCATGAATTACTCAAATTTTGGAAGCCTGTGCTGAAGCGTCTTCACCATCTTCAGATGACAGTCTCACTTGTTCAGCATTTGCTAGGCCAGGTTACTGATGGATCAAGCCTAAGGAACAAGCTTTTGACAGGCTGGGTTTTTACCATAATCATGGCAAATAGTGGTAATATATATTTATGTAGAATGTATGATGTTAACTTATACTTTTTAACTTAAATGAAGGAGCCCTCCATATTGACTGTGTAAAGTTCACTGGTAATCTTTCTGTCATAGAGCAGAGCACTCTCGCTTTATTTTCATCAACAGTGAAAATTAAACAAATATTGTAGAGCTAGGTGATATTCAGCGTCCTTTTCTTCTCAGTTTTGAAATTACAAAGGCACCTTGAGGATGAAACTAAGATCTTGTGTTTACATTCAGGCCTGCAGCCAGATGGCGTGTTATATAGAACCCCATGCTCTCTCCCTTGGAAAGAAATGTTGGACATGTGCATAGAAACTCCTTCAAAGTGGATGCTTATGCTGATACATGTGTAAGAATTTTGATATTTAAAGATATAGTGGTGTCACAGTGTGAATATTGAAATTTTATCAGTAGCTACACGTACATGTGGAATAAGTGACTATGGTTCTGCATTCTACAACATGCAAAGTGGGTCTTAAAAGCAATAGGATTGATTTCCCTCATCATTTTTGCTATATAATCTTACATATATATCTGATTTTAGGATATTGGAATATTTAAAACCAGCTCTTACACCTAGACAAGTTGAACAACTACTGTATTTAACATTAGTCTACCAAAGACAACAAAAACAGCCATTTTCCAGCAAAGTATCTGAAGAAACTGGGCTGCTAGCAGTCCATAACCTGGGAGATATAGTAGGAAGTGAGTTTTTTACCATTTTCTTTTTTGAACGTATTATCCCAAAGTTGTAAGATTGAAAAAAGACCACCATGACAGGGCCATTCCTTTAAAAAAGGTGAACAACTTGTGGATATAATATTGTCATATCAATGCTGTAAACTGATATTGCAGCAACTGCAAAAGTTTGAATAGATATTTGAATGTTTTTGTTCATAATTTAGGTGAAGGGATAGGCCTATAGCCAGCAATTTCAAAGGGGGGCCTGAGGGCATATTGGAGAAATGTAGTTTTATCATAGCAAAATACTTTCCAGGTACTAAAACTGAGGAACAGGAACCAGGTCAGTTAAAAGAAGAGAATTCAGTATGGAAGCTTTGTACAGGTAAAGGACAAGATATGAAACAGTTATATATTTACATTTAGTTGTTTTATAGGAATGTTATAGGGTTAAATAAGAACTTTGGGAGCATAAGCAGCTTATTTATAACTGCATTTAATTTTTTTTGTAAATCTGTTATTTTTTGTTAAAGAGCCAATTGATTGGGCCGAGATTCCTATTGGTGTTCTTCCATCACAAGATTTCGAGTATGACTACCTACAGTTACCAGATGATGTCACTTGTGAAATGAGCAAAGAAGTTAACAGAGAGGAGAGTACAACCTGTGATTCAGTGTAAGTATTCAAGATATATTTTACCTCATTATGCGATAGAATTGCAAAATATAGTATTCTCATCTCAATTTGTCCTTATAATCACTAATATTTTGAATATTTAAATATAAGATATTGGCAGTGTGCTTTATACTATTTCTACATGCACTTGATATTGAAGTGAAGTGACTTTATAATCAAATGTTTGGCAAATTGAGTAATACAAGAATTTGAATAGTTGATAACAAATGCAGCCACGAGTTTTAATTTCAAAATTCAATTTCAGGATTACTGAAAATGGACTAGATTGGACTGTAAAGGAAATGCAGAAAATCCAAGAAGAGATTAGCTTTTTCTAAAACTCAAAAGACCTAGTGTTTAATGAATATTATTTTATCCATCAGCAGTAAGAAAATGAAGAAAAAACTTTTTAAAGGCCACAGTGCTCAAATTTTTCCCATAACAAAGAATTTGATCAAAATCTGCTTTTACTGTTCCAGCTAAAGCAACTGAGATAAAATAAAGCATATTCAACTTATTAATGTGTTGTCTTTTCATTATTGTGAAATATGTGAAGATTCTTGATTCCCTGATGACACTTGCACCCCATTTCCATAGATTTTTAGATCGATCTATCCCTGTGGGGAGTCTCACTAGATTACTGTCAACTTGGCCGGCTTAAGCGTCTGTCCCGCCTACTAAAAGCTGTAAGGGGATAATTAACTATGGTGCCCGCTTGGCTGACTGCAATTTAGCGTGAACATCCAGGGAGTTAGGTCAATCTAAATCTTAATCTCTAGATCGATCTAAATCTCTGGGAAAGCACCCTTGGTGAAGTACAGCAAAAATTCTGGTTATGGAATTCAGAAATAAAACTTAAAACATTTTCAAATAATTTACAAGCAATTTTTATTTGAATACCATTTACCACTTATAATTAGTATTTAACCAACACATTTAGAACTTTTTTAAAGAATACATAGTTACATCAAATACATAAATATATATCTATATACCAATAATAGATTCATAAGAATTTTGTACATATATACATAAAAAACAAATTACAAATCTGCACAATTATGAAAATGTTAAGCAATTTTTTTTCCTGAAGAGTGATATGTAACAATGTTTTTTATTGAAAACGTATGAATTTTTTTTTTCAGATGAGTTGGGCAAATTTGTATTTATAAATATCTATCCTAACAGGACATTTTAACACCAAAGAAGCTTTTATAAAAGTACAATTGTTTACATGTGGGCCAAGACAAAAGATGTCCTCAAGCTGACCATGTCCTTTGAATTTTAATACATAACATACAAACAAACAAACACAAACTTCAGATATACCTTAATAATAATTAATGAAATATCAATCTTATTAATTAGAATAAATGAGTAGTACATTTCAAATGGCTCCAATATCTGGATAAAATGTGCAAGACTTTAGTGTCTTTACTTGATATATCTACTGTGAAATCATATGCCTAATTTCTACCAAAGCTAACAACATCAATAACAATTAACTGTACACATTAAATTGCCTACTGAATTAGGCATACTGACATATGTCACAAATTTTGTGACAACTCTGGCATGAAGAAAGCAGATTTCTTTTAGCTCCTGAAGTTAAGGGTTTTCAAAGCTTTCTAATGCATATAACTGTAATAATGTCCAAAGACCTAATTTAAAATTTTAAATTTTTGCAACATCACAATAACCTTAAAATATCCAACTGTGATACTTCTTGCTTTTGATACTACAAATAATTACTAGATACACTTGTATCATTAAATTATTTTTACCACATAATCACTTTTCACAATGGAACTAGTTAACCAGTAACTATAAGAGCCTTAACTTGCATTAGACTAAAGCAAATCTGCATCTCCTGCACAACCATGTGGCTAACCCTAGCCAACTAATACAGCATTATACATGGGGATTCTTTAGTGTAAACCTATATCAAAATTATCAAAAAAAGAAATTATCTCATTTAAATGAAAACTAAGATTTGGGCATCTTCTACCTAAAGGCAGTTATCTAAGTGAAAAGAATCAATCTTTTTTTTTTTTTTTTTTGTAAATCTTTTTAGGTCATATCACAAAAAAAAAAATGAACATATTAGTTATGTCATGTCAGTGCCATACATTTCGCGTAATGGTTGCCGTTTTATATTATTTTTGAGTAACTGTTGATATCTTTTCATGCTGGAGGGTACCATAATAGTATAAAACAGTGAAATATGATGGGGCAAGTCCAAATATTGCACAAAATGTGTGCATCACTGACATGACTGAAATGTTCACTTTTTTTTTGTGAAATGACCCATTTGTAAGTTTAATAATGTTCCCACTTAAAAGAAAAAATGTGCAAAGGCAGCAAGCAGTTTTTTTTTTTTTTTTTTGGGGGGGGGGTGTCAGTTTCACCACCAATTACAAAATCTTTTCTGTTCATCAAAATGAAATAATGCTTCGGGTTTTTATTTAACCCTGTTTATAGGGGGGAAAGCACCAGTAAGTAACAGCATACAGACTTATTCCCCATTTTTTTTTTAAATTTTGAAAAAGTTCTAAATGCACTGCATTAAACAGATAATAAAATATGCAACCGGGGTATCACCATTAAAAAAAAATTCATGTATAAACCCTCCATTTACATCTTCACCAGATGCTCACACAACTTTTGTGCATTTGTCTCCATAGGGAATTGCTCCATTACTGCCAGCACCTTCTCTGCCGGAAACAGCCCAGAGAGATGGAAGTACAGTGTAAACCTTGGATCACTGGGAGAGATAGTGATGTGACCAGCCTCTTGGCGCCCAGGTGGGGACAGGGTGACATGGGGTTGTATGTGCTGGCGAGGGGGGAGAGGTGGAGGGGGGTGGTACTGGTATGAAGTAGCAGCACCTGGGAAAGACTCAACACGGTGCAAGGGAGCAGCATAATGTGAAGGAGGGGGATGAGGGTAGCTGTAGTATGTGGGAGGCATGCATGGTTCATTGGGTTGGGGAGGGGGGATACACATCCGTGAATCTACAAAACCTGACTGAGTTGGATTTAATATGGGCCCTGGCTGTTGGGTTTGCTGAGTAAACCCTGGCTGCTGGCTGCCCTGTTGAGGGTACCCTGGATGTTGTCCTTGCTGGGTAAATCCCATGTGTTGTCCTTGCTGGGTAAATCCTGGATGGTGTCCCTGTTGGGGATATCCTGACAATGGAGGTGGTGGCAGGTATCCTTGATGGGCTGCCTGTGGTATACCTGGTCTTAACTGATTACCATACATATTCGTCCCTGGCCATACACCTTGAGCATTTTGATCCCGATATGGGTAATCCATTGTACCTCTAGTTTTCAATTTGATTTTGTCCACTTCGCCTACAAGGCTGTTGAGTTGTGTGTCTGAAGCACTGTTTTGCCGATTCAGTGATTGTGCCACAGTAGATAGTGTATTCGGACTTGTGTCTGGTGCACTCGGCATACGAGACAAAGAGCGACTGTTCATGTTATCATTTATCTGCAAAGCCATTTCAGCTGACAAGTGAGAAACAGACATGCCTGGCAGAGATTGTATTCTATATTCATCTGTATTATCTGGACCAATGCTATAATGAATATTCTGAGGCGGCCTGTCTTGGTACAAACTGCTTTGTAACGGCTGCGATAAATAAGTCACATTTTGCTGCTGCACTCTTGGGTCATTTGCGCCCGCCAGAGAATATTGTCGGTCCAGTTTCCTATGACCAGGAGAAGCTTTTGAGGGTCGAGACGGTGGAACAGGGGGAGATGCATTTCTTGCATCATCAACAAGTGGAGACTGACCAGGAGACTGGCCCCTGGCTCTCAGCCTCCTCATCTGGTCTCCTTCATCAGAGAGTTTTTTGGCCAAACTTAAATGTCCTTGTCCACCATCATCTAACAATCTATGTGGGTCGGACAGAGATGGCTGCAGACTTGTGTGCGCATATGGAGCAAGTGCTTTAAAGGTAGTTTCTTCTGCCTTAGGAGGCTCGTCTAAAGTAATCTTATGCTTTTCTCGATTAGCCCTTTCAATAGCTTCAGCTTCTTCAACCTTTCTACGATGTTTATCCAACAGATCATTATAGTCTTCCTTTTTCTTCAGGCTTATCATTTGCCTATCATTCACCTCAAAAGGTGATTTAAAATGTCTGTCTTCTTCATTTCCTTCGAGTGTTTCTTTGTACGATTTTGGTGGACGTGGTGGAGGCACAGGGCTGTTTAACTCCTGGGGTTTACTCTGTGTGGCTAGGGCAGCTTGTTCAGCACTGAGCGACTTCGTTCTCTGGAGCTGTGTCTTACTGCCACCTGGTGATGCACTGGTCTTTGGTTTTGGGGGCCTCTTGGGAGGCACATCTGAGGGATAAAAGAGACTTTTTAATTTTTAACCTCAAAAACATGACATATAAATTTGAATAAAAATGTATAAATGTTAACTGAGAATAAACTCCTGACTGCTTTGCTTTTATGAATAAAATTATAAAGATAATAAGTAAAAATGTACAATTGCTTATACATGTATCGTATTTGGCAAATATCTTAAAAGGCAAGAGCAAAGGCTGGTCCCTAAAAAATTTCAAAAACCACAAATTGTCATGTTGCTGATCTCTGACCCTATTACTCTTTAATATCAGATGTAAACAGCATAAGTCATATCATGAGAGTTTTCATCAAAGCATATACCTAATCCTTATGTACATCTGCTATTAATACATGAAAATAACCTTGAAAGAACACATATTCATCCAATGAATGATCACCAGCTCACAATGAAAATATACATATTTACCTTGCTGGTGTTCTTTGCTCTTTGTACTTCTGTCTTTCACTTCCTGAAACTTGACCTTGGCTTGCTCTGCTAGTTTTTCTGTCACGGATTTCTGTGGCTGGAGGCCCCTTTCTGGGTGATAGTACTTGCATTTATTGCCATAAGTGCACCGCTTTCCATAAGGGCATGGAGGTGGCAGTGGCTCTGGTTGTGTGGGTTCCTTTAAGAGGAAGTTCTCCAGACTAGGTCCATGACGGCCTAGAGGATCATCTGGTGGCATAAACCTAGAAAATTAGAACAGCGTAACTTAAGGTGTGTCAAATATTTAAGCTATACTAAAATCCTGAAAGATAAAAAAAACTGTTTACTTTACCAGCTATAGGGGTGACCCCTTAGTTGTAATAATTGAATAAATACAAAGGCAACTTTATGCATGTAACAATTAACATGAAATCCAAATTGCATGCAAACCCATAACATGCAAAGGTAACTATAAGTAACCGTAGCATGATGATTTTTCACCTCTACGCCACCACGCATCTTTTTTTCTCTAATTTCACCCTAATTTTCTGAACATAATGTAGTTTCCTTTACACCAACACATTATATGCAAGTGCAGAAAATTGCTTGTTAGACTTTGAAACTCGGGGGAACATAATTCAGGCAGAACAGAAATATGTTCAAAGCAATGTAACCAATGCCAGGTTTTCGGTTTAAATGGGATTTACAGAGATCTACAACAGCTTTTGAACAGATAAAAAATAACCAGAAGTTTATAAATCAATTCAGTTCAATGGAAGA